CGCCAGCTGTAGCAGAGTGGGAGGGTAATGGGCGTGACCCAGGAGACTAGGCCTTTACTGTCTCATTTTAATTGTTTTTTATGCCAGGTGCATTTTCATAGACAAATCTTGAAAAATATGACCTGCCCCTACCCAGTGCATTTTTCATCAATTTTAGGAGAATATCTGGACAATGTTTTGCAAGAGGGGAGGGGGGGGATAACCGTCCATACTACCCCTTGGTGTCGCTACTGGAAAACAAGAATGTCTAAAACAATTGGTGTCGCTACTGGAAGGCAATAATATCAAGAATGTATCAAACAACGATCCATTTGTTGAGCCGACCGCCATGTTTATTTTAAAGCAATTGGTACTTAGGTATTACCCGGACTGTGATATAGGGCCGAGAATAATTAAGCAATATCGGCTTTCGGCATTCCACGTTATACACCTTAAGCGCGGGAATGGTGAAGTTTGAAGCTGAATTTCAAGAGAATTGCAGGTTTTTACAGTTGACAACAAGAGGATTCGTAATCAGCACGAAAAAACACACAGGAAAATGCTTATTAAACGTAGTGCCGGAATGGGGGCAGCGGGACCAAATAAAAATTTGTTTCGCAAACACAGTTCGATAATCTGCAGTCAACAGTTTCGGAAATGAGGAGTGAGATGGCTTCGTTAATGACACTGATTAAAGATACATTTAGTCCACCAAAGAAGAGATCAGTTCTCCACTTTTCAAGATCCTGGGTCTCTGGGTGTAGTGCAGGCATGCCAATGGCGCCTAATCCCGCATCACCGATAGCGGGAAGTAATTTCTCCGTGGAATAGCCAATAGGAATACATCTCTAGTCAGAACGTAATGAGCTGTGCATGCACAGCGACCTCGATGCGGAGAGGAGGCGATGAAGAATTAATAGGCGTAGCTTACCCATGTCACTTTACAAATTGGATTCCAGTGCTGAACTATCTCTCCCTCAATTCTTCGTCATTTATAACAAAGAGACGCCATCGACCACTTAACGCCTTTGGATTTCCAAGTTATTCTCAATTTTAAACTGTAAGAAGGCAATGATGAAAAATGACTATAAGATTAACATGAAACAACATTCATTGATAATTTTGTTAAAGAAAAATTATCTCAAAAGGATATTGGAACAAAATAAATTTGAGGAGAAATAAAAGTAATAAAAAATTATCAAAATTTTCACAAGATATTTTGCTTAATGATTTTATTTAAAAAGAAGAGCAATGCTCCAAAGGTGTTAATGTGTAACGAAAATCATCAAAAAGAAAAACGCTCGTCGGACTAAAATTCATCGTCGTTAAGTTCTAAGCCATTGACGATAACCAGAAAGATATGATAAAGGACAAACATAAATTGGAATGATTTTCAACAGTAAATTGCCCCATGAGTAACTGCATCAGGATGTAGGCTCTTCATACTGTCCTATTTCTGCATTGTTCCAAGACGGCCAGGTAACCAACGCTACGAGGCCCAATGAATCCAAAGCACCCAATAGTTTGAGCCCTTAGATAAGATCGTTGGGTTATTTCTTGTACGCCAAGTTTGCAGTATTTGCTTTTTGGTTTTAAGCTCAAACCGGCACCCATCGGAGAATACGACGTTCTTCCAGTAGGCTGCTTCCAAGCACTGAACAGCGTTCGTCCACATTACTCTTGCTCTCCATTTGCGAAAGGAGACGCTTGTTTCTTTACATATTTTCTGACAACAAATTTTGAAGAATGCGCTTGAGAATTTCCCGAGCTTCAACTGCTTTCAGCCGTCCACATCTTTGCAAATTCGTATCACGATAGAATGGCGACAAACCTACCAAAGTTGCAATTATTCTTTACGATAATCCACTGCAAAGATTTTGTAATGATACTTTCTCTTTAGACTCCATCTTTTCTCTAGAAGTTTTTTATTTACAAAATATTTTTAGTCCAAGACCTTGAAATGGCATCAGCATATTTTTCAGGTTTCCCGCCAAAATTTAATTACATATTGAAACATCTAACCAGGGGCGTAGCTAGCGGAGGTGGGGTTTAGGGGTTGTGACACCCCTAAATTCTTCATAAGTTTGTCAGTAAATCTTAAGTTAGTCAACATAATCCTTACTTTGTCGGTAAGGTCGTCTTGGGTAGGTGAAACAGTATCTTTATCTTTGTCTTCGCCAGTAAATCTTTCCACTGGACAGAGATTACATCATGCAATCTCGGTTCTGTGAGACCCCGTTTACACTGTGCCGGATAAATTTTATCCGCATCAAAATTAGTTCAGATAGGCGTTGCGTTTACACTAGACCCACGCTATCCGCACGAATTTGAGAGCGGCTATCCGAAAAAAATTAGTTCACCTAGGAAAGTGGATTAAATTAGTTCGGATAGCTATTTGGTAAAGTGTTAACGCTTTTATCCGGATAAATTTTATCCACATCGTATCTTGCTCGAAAGCGATTGGCTATTTCTTCCTGTTTAGTTTTCACTGTCTCCCAACCAAGACCGTTCGCCATCTTGGCTGCCTTGTTATCGATAAATACTCGTGTTGAAAGTGCAGTATCTTGCCAGTCCACGTAAAATTGGCATCCTTGTCAGCTTTCCCTACTTTCGTTGCTAGTTCAGTGTCATTTTGTTTCATGAACAACCTATTAAAACAAACTAGGTCTAATTTGTATTGACAATATCTTTGGATTTGGTCTAAAAGAGAAGCAGATAATTCTGAAGAGAGAATGAAGTCTTTTTACGTTGGCAGGAATTTTGTTATTATTTTGTTGCCCAGAGAAGACTTTACTTTGGGCGTTCTGTGCATGATATAGGTCATGTGACTGCAGTTACCCGGCACAGTGTAAACGGGAGGGCAAAGTGGACAAAATTTGTGCGGCACAGTGTAAACGCAAATCAACCCGAACAAGTTTTATGCGGATAAATTTTATCCGGCACAGTGTAAACGGGGTCAGTATTTACTATTGATGACTCCTCACCAGAGTTGTAGTGCTAGGAGGGCTCGAGGGACTGAGCTCTTCTTATTAATGCCGAAAATTAGCCAATTTATAACTTTGCTATTGTTTTTAGCAGCATTATGTGTAAGATCCCCCTTGTTATTTTGATAGCACTACAGCATTACGTCACTGCAATCTAACTTTCCTATTAGTATTCTTATTAGCCTCTAGCTAGTAGAGTTTTGTAGCAAAACAAGCGCTGGTCATAGGTTTCACACCGACTTTTATGAAGTATTACTGGACCTTGCTGGATAAGGTAATGCTGCCACGACGAGCCTCTTTTTCGACGAAATCGTTGAACGTAACTGCTTCAAATACAGACAGATTGTATTATCGTGTTTATCAAGCATTTTAGCTATACGGAACCAACAAGGTTCACTTTCAGGAAGTTTGCAGGAAATCAAAGGAGAATGACGAAAATCGCCTTTCGTTAACTCTCCAATATTACTTTGGTCTTTTCATTCTTCTTTGATTTGAATTTTCCATTTATTCCACACATACTCTCCAGTTGTCTTTAAAAGGGGGATCTTAATAAGTGTGGGATTGCGGTTTTGTTTTCTATACAACGGTTTTGTTTCAGAGCACCTAAGCCTATCTCCAATGTGATATGTTTCTAAATTTTTAGATTCTGTATTGCAATTTGGATGCACGGAGTTGTTTTATAGAAAGTTGACTGCTGCAGTTTAACGGACCAGCCGATGTTTTTAGAAAGCAGACTTACAGCACCTCCAACCCCGAAGCATTTTATTGTCTCAATCGTGGCCTTTTACTTGCTACATTAAAAGCATACACAACGTTCTCTCAGATAAAAGGAAGCGAGTGAAAATTAGTAGCCTATTCAGCCCTTTGTCAGTGTTTAAACTTGGTGTCCCCCAAGGGTACGTTTTAGGGACTCTCCTTTTTACCGAGTTGAATGAGACTTTGATTTTGAAAACATTTAACTTTGCAAATTTATCGTCACTGGTAAACAGGTAAGGATAAATGAAATTGTCTTAGATATATAAAACTTAACTTTTACACTAAGCAAGTGGTTTGCTGAGAGCTACATAGAATTAAGGGAAATTAGAGGCATATCCTAATATCTGTTAAAAAGAAACGGAAGTCCCACTACGCGTTTGTCCGTCTTGGCCTATATTGAGCAACGAAGAAACATGTATGGGATTTATCAAGAAGCATATTAATGTAATTATAGATAAATATCTTTTGGACGATTCTGAGACCTAAAGGAGGTTAGTTGTCTTTGGCGAATAGGGCCCAAACTGTCAAAGCCAAGTGTGATGTTTTATAATAACAGCCACTTCTCTACAACCTCGATCTCAGATGTGGATTTAACTTACAGTGCCTCGAAGCAGCATTCACATATAAGCAAACGATTTACCACAGAGGCGCTGTAGGAAAATAGAAAAAGATGCACTCTTGCTACTAACCACCCAAAAATCTCAATAGACGTCAATCAAAAGCTCAACATTTATTTTTATACAGCAGCGCGAGCACTGTTCAGCTTCTTAATAGCAGCGCGAGGTGTTATCATTACATTTTAAAGAAGATACTTCATAAAACTCAGGAAGTCTGTGGTTAGAGCTTGGAAATTGTTTGTTCTCTAAACCATTATTTAGTCAAAACCTTCCAAAAAGGTGAAACACTCCCTTCCTCAAAAAAGAATTAGTGTCTTTAAATGCATGACTAAGTTTGACCTCCAAATCTATCGGAACTGGGCCTAACTTTTACACTTGTTACGAAAGGGTAATGATGGTGACTATGACGTATTTTAACTTGAGAACCAATCTCACAACAGTTCTTTAAAAAGATGACTCAAGTCACAAAAGGTTAGGATTAAATGTCATAATTGATTGCAGAAGACATGAATTTAGTTCTAAAACAAGCTGTAAAGGTTATGGTGTGGGCGACTTATCTCTTGCCCTCAATGCAATAGTCTGTATCAGTGCTTCGATGTCAGGAGGTTTGCCTTAGAACTTGGCATTTATATTCCACAAGGAAAAGCAAGAAAAAACAAAAATAGATGGTCATATGCTTTTTTCAAAACTTTTGAATATTAAATACCGCTAGCAGGCAGCCACTTAGCTAATAAATACAATAAAAACTTTATAAATAAGTCTGTTTAACTTGACATTCGATTCTGTTTAAAAAAACGTAGGAGGGAGGGAATTAAAGTTACTTTGAATGGGCCGTGATACAGAATAGGGAATGGAAAGGAAATGACGTCAAAATAACAACACTTGTAGCATACTGAAAATACAGTGATGGCTAGCAGTAAGCAATGACAATTACTGACACTTTCGTTGGGGAGACGAACGAGCGAGAGTCTTCTAATGCATGAAGGAGCTCCCTACCCCCCGCTTTGTTATCAAAGAACAAGTGTAATACTTATTTAGTTCAAAGGACATGCTCTTAGACTCAAAAAGAGGGGTTGCCTCGCTCAATTGAAAAACTTTCTATTTTTCGCCTCCCCATCAAAGTAGAAGATGTGCATCTGTAAATGAATTAATGAATGAAAGAATCTTTATTTGAAGAAATTGTGTCTATTCTTGGATAAAATCTAGTTGGTTTCTGCACTTGGGAGCGGAAGAACCCTAGAGAAAGAGTTGTTGGTCTAAATTACTGAATCACTACCAAACGAGTTGCAACCAAATGCCAACAATAGAAGTTGGAACATAACATGTCTTTCGAATAGGGAATGATTGGCTTGAATATACATATAACAAATAACAACCCCTCCTCCCCCCTGCTGAAAAATATATAAAAGATATCCCGTTTTATACAAGAACATCACTGAAAGATCTCATGGAGCGTTACTTAATGATCTTCAAAATAAGAAATCACCTATTTAAAAGAAAATTTATCTCATTGAAATTAAACCCCATCATTTCATTGCATTGGATTCTGCTATTGTATTCTAAAATAACACCGTAAGGCCTAGTTTCCATTTTAGTTCTTTGATTCTGGTGTTTCACTGATATTTTCTTGGCGAAGTTTAGATACCGAGCTGCATGTCGGAATGGAAAAAGACAGCGACGAATTGAGTCTTTACATTGTAACTTAAATTGCACGATTAATTTCTAAACAGTCCTCTGCATGTATTTCGAAATCCTCCTCACACGATTGTATTCATATGCATCGTGCTCACTGTCTACGTAATCAAATATACTGTCATCCTCATTAGTTACAGCATTCGTGTCATCTTTCTCAGAGTTTTTATCAGAACCATTGGCTTTTACACTATTTTCAATTTTTCCTGTCAAACACATGCAGGTTAGGCCATTACTATGCGTTGTATTACTATTGTTGTTTGTGTGATTGCAAGAAATGTCTTTTCGTTTCTTGATTTGCAAAGGTGAAGAAGTGTCCGAAGTATAAGCAAATGACTGGGTGTCCGAGCTAAACGCTATGGACGGAGCCTCCGACGCATTGGTGATCGACACCGTGTCAGAATTGATTTTCCAGTTTTTCGAATGATGTCCGTTGCTTTTATCATGGACAACGATGTCGTATTGTTCCAATATCGTCTCATTTTGAACTCCTTCAGAAGAGATTTTCAGTTTATGTTCTAGGGCACCAGTGTCATATTGACCTGATGCTCTCTCCTTTCCTTTTGGGTCCCTACTTTTACCGTTTGATGCACTTTCTACCACAATCATTTCATTTTTCTTCTTAGATTTTGTATCACGATCCCGCTTGCTTGCAACACGTAGCTCTTCCGTTCCCATTACCCGTCTAAGCGGGAAATCAACTTTGTCCACCGCCTTAGAAGACCTAAGTTTAGGCCGATGTTTTGAAGGCTCTGTAAAACTTCGACTGCGATGTGGCTTAGGTCGTTTTGGTTGCGGGCTGCGGTTGTGTTTATCGTAAGGCTGCCCAGGAATCTGAAACGAATCTCCATTTTGCCCCATAGCGGCTTGGTTCACAACATTTTGAAAACTCTTCGGCCGTGACTTAGAGTTTTGACTCAAGACAGACATGCGCTCTGATATGTCGATGATTTTAATTTCTGGATCAAAATCAGCGTGGTCCATATAATTGCTAGGCAATAACAGTGGCTTTCCTGCGCACACCAGCGAAGACGGCGCGGTTTTCTTCCTCGAACCGTCTTTGTTTAGCCTCGAGGATTTTTTGGACATCATTGGCGTACCAATTTGTGAAACATGATCTAAAAACAACATGTTGAATCGGTGTCGATCTTCGTCCGAGTGTGCCTTGCTAACAGTATCCTCTTTACTACCATCCGATAAGTTTGGCCTTCTCCTTGATCTTCTCTTTGCGTCTTTCGCAGAGGTCGAACTGCGACAGGCACTATCACCATCGCTTTTCTCGCGCCCAGAATCTTTAAAAGAACTCTTAGCAAGAAATTCGCGTGTCTCCTCAAGTGCTTGATCAGCTACCTGACTTTTGTGAACTGGGCTGTTATCAATCAGTGCGCGATAGCCTACCCCATCATGGTAAATTTTTCTCTGCTCGATAAGCTTTCCTAAACATGTATGGATGATTTCTTCAGAAGGAATCCGAACGTTGTGATAAACATCTTTCAGGTACCTGACAATTGTATCACGTGACGCACACCTCCCATTTCGATCAAGCTCAACAACGGTGTCATAAAGCGCTATTGAAAGCGAGATAAACTGGGAATGAGGCAGAGATTCAACGACAAATTCTTTTACGGAGCCTGGCGGAAAAAACAATAATGGCTTAATTTCCTTGAGCGCATTAAAAATACACAAGTTAATTCTATTTGGCTGCTTAATCAAACCTTGTTCATTGTGAAAAAACTGGTTATATAGACAGCAATTTCTTCTCTTAAATATGGCTTTCTTGGTTGTGCTTTGACAATTTTTTATTGTAAATATTTTGCTTCAAACAAAGCTTCAAAGAACATTTAAATTTGATTTCCGAATTCCGTAACATCATTCAGTAAGGTTATTTCTTATAGCAATTTCACCTGCAGTTCAATCAAATAAGTAGCTATCAACAAAATACTGATTGGATTTTTAAAACAATTACAATGTCTCATTGTTAAAAAATTTATGAACAGAAACTTCACAAAAAGTAAACAGTAAAAAGTAGAAAGTAAAGTTAAGATAAAGAAAGCAACCTGTTTGAAAAAGAAGCAATGACAGGAAAGGTGTGTTACGTTCTTAGCAAATAGATCACTTGCAATTTCAATAAGAAGCAGGTCAAAAAAGATCTGCTACCAATTGGCTTTGATAATTAAATAAAAATAAATATATTTTTGTTTTGTTTGAAAAGCCAAAGCAGACTAATGGGCATAGATTTTGTCAAATTTGTGAGACCATAATCATTTAATATTACGAAAATTCTCTTTTGCACCACTCCCTTTAAATACTGCTATTTTCAGCAAGTTAACATTATAGCCAATGCCTGTTGTATACATTTTATCTAATGTTAAAATTCTGTTTCAAGGACAAGGAGTTTTTGAGGATGCTTTAGTTAGCAAATTTCCAAAAATGTCAGCAAATAAAGGATTGTTCACCCCCTTTGTTGGCAAATAGAACATCGAAACTGATATCTAGAACAATGTCTGGTAGTAACCCAAGGCTAATCAACCTCCGAGAACATGTTCAATGACACTGCTCATCAGTAACTGGAAAAATCTTCCTCTTGAAAAATTCATTCTAAACATAAGAGCAGTTATTTTATGAAAAGTCATCCTAAACTCAACTTTGTTCATTTTTCATCTTCTAGTGCTATGGGAACAAATAATGTGGGGTTAAACATCATTTAACATCAAAATCATAATTAATATTTAAATTTGGATGGGCATTCCTGAGGATGACATAAATGTCAGGTCATAATGGTAGACATTCTGTGCCTCTAAAAAGCTTTGAGTTCTCAATAGATTTCTTGCTACCACTTTTAAAATAATCAAGGAAAAAATCCTATATCTACTACTTGTACCATGACTTCAAGACTGTTTGAAATCGTTGAAAAATGCTTGTAAGAAAACATCCAGAATTTGAATGGTGTGTAAAATTAGAGTGAAACCTTTGATTAAAGCTACAAATGGATTAGGTATGATAAGATCTCGCTAATCCCCTTCCATTTAAATGAATTCTTAACCTTTTTATGGCTTGATATTTTTGCAATTTCGTGGGTTTTTGTGAATAATTTATGAGCTCATGCAGGGCATGGTGGTGCACAATGGATGTTTTGAAAAATATGTAATCAGTGTGTCATTTGAAACACAAATTGTCTGGCAAAAAGTAATATTGACTTTTTGGACTCTTTTTGGTGCTTTACATTGAATCTTGGAGAACATTTCCCACATTAAAAGAACTACCAAAAATCTTGGGAAACAAACTGGAATAGAGCACAGTGTAACCATTATTGTTGGCTGCAGTCTCCTCAATCCCCCTACTTCTGGCAACTTTGTACCAAACCAAAAACTGTCATTTTATTAAAGGGTAAACATGCTTCATTGAGTGTCACTCATTCAATAGGGGATATGGAAATGGAAGACAGGAATTCTCAGTACAAAAGATGCTATGACAGTTTTTATTACTGCCAATACAAATCTCATAGAAATAGTGGGAGTTTTTTAAAAGGTTCCTTTTGAATTGAAAAATAATTAGAAAAATGAACGTTGACGGTCTAATTATACTCACAAAATATTTCAATAGTGTTGTAAAAATAAACAGACTAGTACGTAGAGTAGCAAAGAGGACAATTTTTCTCACCAAGCAAACAGTCTTAATGATGTTTATAAAATAAATGGCTTGTTTTTAATGGCGCTTGCGTCCGTATTTTTATGATGCAAAAATTACCAAATTGAAATTTTGCAAAGAAGCAGTTAAGCCATTAGATAATGCTTCTTTGTTTTAAAATATCATTTCGATATCTCATTGATCTGATTTATGTATTCATCATAATTCCGAATAAGAACTTTCTTCAGCTAGGTTCAACAACGCCCCGATTTAAATTTAGAATTAAGGGATAGCAAAGATCTTTTTGCAAATTATTTCTTCATATTTCAGAATTACTATAAGTCTTTAACAGGATTCAATACCCAAAGTGTAACTAGTTGTCCTGCTATAAACCAAGATCCGTTTAGTAGCGACGGCTTTGACAAAACACGTAGGACTAGAAATTAATGTCTTTAACCCGATTATTAAGTTAAGAAAAAACTCGTGTAACTTTATGTGTGCTTACCAACATCTTTAAGCAAAAATTCTTTTGGATTTCTCAATATTCTCTGTCTCCAAGCATTTCTCAAAACTTCTGCATCGTCACTAGGCCCAGACAACAACAAAGTGTACGGGGCTATCCATCCAACAAGCATCATTTCTTCAAGACTTTCTACAAGCTGCTTGTTCATCGAATTCCTATTTGCATCGATAAATATCTGTAAAAGTTTACTTGGCAAGCAGCTATTTCCATCTTTGTTAGAGTTATCTTTGGGTGCCTCGCTGTTTAATTTTGAATCTGTACGAGTACCTGGTGAGACCAATCGAGGATCAAGAGATCGGAAAACTAACGCTGTAACATTTCCGCGAAGAACAGAGCTGTATCGATGTGGTCTGCCTTGCTCCCTAAAAGGTTTGCTGCATTCTGAGATCGACATTTTTCACATAACAACAGCTAGGTTCAACATGTCTCTTTTGAGGTGCTTTTCTATTATTCATTTCTAAATGTTTGTAAATGTCAACTTGCTTCGCGCTAACATTTTCACAGTGGGTCATGTCTCTGAAGGCGATACCCCGCAGGTCACAATATGCCACGCAGAAGTTTTCAAAATTAAAATGAAGAATTAATGTCGTTTCCAGCTATAGATAGATTAATATATTGCGAAGATACACGGAAAAACCTAAATATTGAAATTCTTGCATTTCTTATCAATTATTTCATCAATACTAAATGACCTCATGCTAAACTGCACTTACGCATAGATCTCCTCGAAACTTGTGACAAATAACTTTGTTTTAAAAACCTATTCATACAATGCAGCAAGGAACAATGAAAATTTAAAACCAATAAAAAGGTGTGTGTTTTGACTGGTGGAAAATAGCGCAATTTCGGGCATCCAGACGCTTCTTGAATAGGGTCGTGTCATCCATTTTAAAACTAAACCGGCCACATAAAACTAGGTCAAAAACATTTTTCTAAATGTGCCAGGTACCCTTTCAAAGTTGCCAAGGTGATGGCTATAAACAACGCCATATTTCTATGACGATAGCTAGCCAGCTGTAAAGAAGGTCGATATGATGGACTGGTAAATTTAAAATTTTAAGCTAAAACACTTCATAAGGTAAGTGTTTTGATAAGATGGCTCGGTTTTCGGGGTATAAATAAGAAATGATGTTTGTCAATTTCGGAGAAAAAATTTATATTTGAATATAAAAAAGAATTACTAAGAGAATTTCGTTAAAAATGGAGCACTTCAATGGAAAGTGACCTTCAAACTACCCAGGTGGAGAGAGGAGCGCGTAAAGATGGATTTTGCTCCTCAGCAATAATGCACGTATCGACTGAGTAGAAACATATTGTATTAAACATGTACCCAAATTGAGTTGAAACGAGCGGCTCAGTTTTTCACAAGATCTCCACCTGTCGCAAGGTGGCAAAGCAAGAAATATTCACACCAGAGTGCTGGAAAGAACTTTGGTTTAAAAACCGCTAATTCCAAGATAGTCATACCGAAAGGCGCATAATAATTTTGAAACGACCGAAAATATGAAATTTTTGTATTTTCACGTTTAATTAAAGGGCGATCAGTCTTCTCTGACTGTGGTGATGCGTGTTATTTTTGAGCTAAATATCTTAAACTGAGGTTGGAGATACAAGGGATTTAGCCAAAACCATTCCGTACATTCGAGGAAGAATAACTTTGCATTAATTTCAGTCTACGACGTATTTAAGACTGTTCTGCGCGAATTAAGCGACCCAGTGAAAAGCGTCTTTCTCTCCATCTGGAGAAGAAAAACTGACCTAAATAGATTGTCACATTCCCCCCTCCTTTAGTGTTGTAAAAATATCCCTTAATATGAAAGACCATGACCTATATTTGATCTATGCCCTCGTCCAAAGACATGAGCATCCACTCTTTTAGGTCCGTATCTTCATTAAGGATGAAGCGACAAGGGCTCTTAAAATCCCAACAACGGGCATTTTACAGTGAATCGTGTTTCCAAAACAAAGCTTAAAACTTGTTCATGTTGCACAAACCAATAACATTCCGATCAAAGATCAACTTTCAATGACAAATCATGCATCAACTTCTAGAGCTGGAGAAAAGACATTCGACATTCCTTTGTTGGCTGGTTCCATGAATACCCTTTCCTCCCCAACACAAAATATTGAGCAACGCCCCTAGCATGTACGTCAGAATCATATTTTTGGTATCTTTAAATCCATTGACAGGTACCCCTCGATGCGTTTTGTGTTGCTCTAGCCATACCTTATAGATGATTAAATTAAAAACCAGGGGGAGATTTATAAACCCAGACGGAAAAAAGGATGGAAGCATAAAATGATATGCTCGCTGCTCATTTTTGTAATTAAAGTGTAGAAAATACCAAGCGAAAAAAACAGATTTTTATGACTGACTTCCACTGACAGGTGCTACATGTCTTGACGTAAGAATGGCATGCAAATGTTCAGCTTTACTTTCTAAATGCAATAATTACAGTGGTTGGGTTTGACTCTGGCGTGATCACAAGAGGTTTGTTTGGCGTGATCACAAGGGGTTTGTTTGTTTCTCGTCAGCAAAAGTTAAACAAACAGCTTCAGGAAATAGGCAGACAACCTTCTTCTTTTTTATACTATTCAGATCTCATAGACAATTGCATCTATTTGTTAAAGTAGACTAAATTTACAAATTTGAAGAATATAATTAAGTGCAACTTTGAACGTCATATTAACAAATATCACTGAACACCAATTGAAGAATCACAGACAACTACGAAATCTTTCTGCCATATCATACAATTTACTTCTTTGCAGTGAATACCCCAGTTTCTTTTCAAAAAATGAAAGGAATTGTCGGGATCAGGGCGATCTTTACCCTGCAAACTGCCTCAATGCCAACATGCTGTGCCAGGCACGCCCGGTCTTTCACTTCAATAAACAAATCTTGTTAGCTATTGCGACCGGTAAGTCAATGCTTGTCCAACATGAAGATCGACAGCACAACTCTGAGATTTCCTGAAATTAGAACCGATGCGATCTGAAGAGAAAATAAATTAAATTGTTCATGGATTGACGATTAGATTATGAAGCAATTCGTCCATGTTATAGCAATTAAAACAAAGTTATCTAACAAAAAAGAGCACCTAAGGATTTGAAAATTGCTAGAATGTTCAAAGCGATTGTGCAGAGGCTCTTGGGTAATACTACATGGGTAGAGAGGCGGTGGCAGGAATGTAGCTGGTGACCAGCGTGATCCCGTCTAACTGCTTAATTCCTTCTGAGATATCTACTGGGATCGGCTGTCGTTTTACCTGCCTGCAAGAGAGTATCTGAAAGAGCTCGAGAAATTTGAAAGACATAGGTCAGCAGCAAAGCATCTGGCATGCTATAAAGTCTGCAGCAAAGCTACAGATATTCGCACTCCATACCATCTTTTTAAGGTTCTGTGATGGTATGGAGTTTTCCTTTCATGTATGCGATGAATCTTGTTTTGGCACGTAGCAATACAAAGCATGGAAATATAAATTGCATGACAGCTGCGTATTTCTTAAGTAGAAGGCTATGAGTGGAGAGGTAGTCATTATGAAGTATGGAGAGCAATCTAACGGCCTTACACCCTTGCGAAAACCAACGGTGATTTTGTAAACACTGCTTTACACAACGAGGATTAATAGACGGAGATTCTGCAAATACACGTGTCAATATATCTGGGTGTATAACACTTATCGAAGAGTTCTTTTAATAAATGTCAGCAAAAACCTTCCAGATTTACCAAGCGTATAAAACTGTGTTTTTAATCCTTAAACAGTAGGTGCTGAACCATAAGCGAAAGGCCGAGCAAATCCTTTATGCATGAGCTTGAACAACGGAGAATCCGCACCGGAAAAGTTAGCGGATCTGCGTATAAAAACAGTATTTAATCTGGACACGGTATTTTCGCTCTTGTCGTTAAATATACAAAAAAATTGATTTGTCCAGAAAAAAAAGCTTCTAATATAAATGCATATTAATCAAATAAGAGCGCAAGTCTCACAAATCAGGCTTTTCGACATAAAAGATACTTAAGCGAAGATTAGATATTTGGATTGAAACTTCTGAAAAATTTCTTATCCTCTTTAACCGGATTATAGTATACAGGCCATATCATTTCGTTCTTTCGAAGAAAATGCTTGATGACAAAAACCGCCACACATTTTCGCATTATATCCGCTCCCAGTAGACGGTTGCGCTGAATAACAATATTGACAATGTTTTGTCTTTCTTCTGCGTAATCCCCAATATTGTACTTGCAACACAACAACAACATCAATGCTCGATAGCAAGGAACAGATAAACAACAAAATTTGCCTAAACGATGTAACGATGCGTCACTTAGTCATCAATGGCTCAGATTTGTTATATATCCTCTTGCTTCCTGCCAAAATCTTCTCCAAAAAGAGCTTCATTAATCAGTTCTTTCTCCGAGTTTAATACATAATAACACAAACTTTGATACATCCTATCTTAGACTTTCTTTACTAAGGCACATCTGAGTCCTCTTGTCCCATAAACAATAACGTGTGCCTGTCATCATTTCTGACATCGACAAGGGGAAGGGGAAGGGCTATTAATCAGCAGATATTAGAAACGGGCATTATCATTTAGTTTTCAAACTTTATCTCTAAAACACGGAACAATTTTAATGACTGAACACCAGTACAGGGTTAGGGCCAAGGATTGGAATTTGCTGATAATTGACCCCAGTATGTACCTCATCGTAAATGTAACTTTGCTTTTGATTCTAGGAATTTCCATTGCATTTCCACGCCTCTTTGACTAAAAATGCAGCAAACCAGCACTCTCAAATAAGTTTTATCAAACTGTTTACTGGTTTTTAGTGCATGCTTCAAGGAATATAAGTAATACTTTGCTGATGTCATTGGATCTTTACATTTTGGGAAAATAAATCAAAACAAGCATTTTCTTCAATAGTAAAGAGAATGTAGAGCAATCTCATTCGAGGATTTTGCATTGAAAACATCGTTTTGTCTCATGTTGCAATCTTAAGAACACATCAATATCTCATGCCTATACTATTTTTTTGGTTTAGCGGAGACGCGATCATCTGATTGGGACAATCATGTGACTCAACGAGCTGAAGAATGCAACGTTCTTTCTCAGAGTGACGAGGCCATGTTTTAGATTTCCTAACAGCCGAAACACAGCGAAGTAGCTGCAAAATCACGATCTTTGAAGAATGATATCAGTGAAATTTAGCCGCAAGCAGCATTTATGATTTGGGATCCTTGAGCGAACAAATCGACCATAAGGATTCCATTGATGCGTTTATGATCAGAACTGTCTCTAGTAATAATCTTCATATAATCTTCAGTTTATTGGCGGATTTCACTGCAGTCTGGGAAAGTAGAGACATTCCAGCTTCGGTTTTCATTCGTGTAAAACTTACAGTTACCTGTCGCAGAAAGCCACAGTAGCCAATGAGCAACATAAAATCAAGGATGCAAGCACAAAAACGTGTTTGATTGTTAAACCAACATCATTCATTGCTCAGACTCTGTCAAGAAAATGCAATCATATTTTCTGAGTCAAAGATTGCCTTAGCCGTGTAGTTAGGCAACAACAATAATCGGACACAAGACCAAGATTATGACTCTATACCAGCAAAATTTTTCAGGAGACTGCCAATCAGCCCTTATAAAACTAGCAACGGCCTTTTTATTAGCAACAAACAACAAATGAAGGGGGAGGGGGGGGGGGAGTGGGCAGAAATACAAAAAAACAGTAATATAGCTACAGCTGCAAGTGAAGCTCCAACACTAACTCGAACGATCGTATGTGAAAACCTCACTAAGCAGTAGCAAGGTAGAACTGTACATACCATTAATATTTTCATATATAATCATCATCATCTTCGATATCATCAGGAACTTCTTCCTCCACAAAATCTTCATCTTCTTCGTCCGGCTCTTCGTTGCTTCCGTTAATGTAGCCGTTCTTCTGCGTGTCAGCCCCGATGCCTCTGCCGAGAGGTATCTCTAATGCCTTGTGCACTGCTTCTATTGTTTTGATCGGTACGTAGTATGCCATGTTTACGGAAGGCACGCGTTGTCGAAGCTCCTTCATCAGAGCGTAGGCCTGAAGAAATGAAGCAGAATAAGAATTTGAGCTTATATTTTTAATAACATATATTTTTAATGCGAAAAGAACAAAAAGCGAAAAATGGAACAGGTCGGAAAGAGCGGGAGGGAATCGTGAAAAGACGTTGACAGAATCAAAATAGTTATTTTCAATTTCATAATCATAGCAATAATCTCCATCAAGCAATGATCATTTTTACTTACTTAAAGAAACACTTCTTCAAGGATAGAAACAGATAATATTTGATATTTCTATCAAACCATTTCGGCTACCTTAATTAAGTTATAGTAATTAATGACCCAGTCGACTCTGTTTTCACTATACCCCTGTTTTCGCATTATCGTTACTAAACATGCTCTGCATGAAAAACTGAAAGGGGATGATTTCGAGTTACCTGGTTATAATCCTGGGCTTTTGCGTAATGCTCAACCATAAACCCATAGGCATCGCCAACTCGAATTCCATCTTCGACGTCTGGGTCTTCGAGTAGCAATTTCAGCTGCCGCATTGCCTCCGGTGGATCATCTTCGTATGTTCTAAGTTAAAGGATAGGAAAATCGAGTAGCTTATTCTCTAAAGGTCGGGGAAGGATGTTTCTAGCCGTGCAGCAACATATGAAATCAGAATAGCTGAAAATGATAACTGCCACCACGTTGCAGGGTCGTGAGAAACATACCACATTGGCTGATAATTACCGTCGTAGCATTACCAGTCCGTGCTGAGTGAACGATGCAAAGAATTTTCTGCAACTCTCTTATTTTCAAAAACGAAGCCAAATTTGAACCAGCATAAAGCTAATCTTATAATAAGAGTACATAATTGGTAGCAGCTGCTTGGACGTTTGCCGTTCTAGATAGGGTTGTCACAAATTCAAAAAGTAAATATCTGCTTAACATGAAAAAGCTAATAGTGAAAAAGTAGAATAAAATTGAAGTGAACATATAGCCAGAGCATTTTGAAAGCTAGATCTCACTTTGACGGCAATATGGTTTGTTCTAGGCCTTGAATGGGCACGAGAAATGTCCAAAACAGGCCTAAATCTCGTTGAAGGTGCTGAAGAGAGTAAAGGATGATTTAAAGCACAAGGTTACTAAGTCTTCAAAGGTTTTGTCTGACTGAGTCCCTGGCATAATACATACTTTTTGCCTTGAATAAATTTTTTGATTAGTCCGGCTCTCTGCTTGAGGTTTGCCATCTTTTCTTCCTGCTGCACCTTGTTTTTCATTTTCGCCTTCGACATACACTTGTATGCTTCCGTCAACGCACCGTAAGCTTTTTCATAATTTTGATATTCATCAATCTCAACCTGAATTACAAGGACGTTTTTAGGCTTCAATGAAGGAAAAAGAAAAATAACAAGTATATTAAGACATATCGATAAAAGGAAAAGAGAGATAACATATAAGCAAGCTTTACGGGGATGTTCTTTAGATCTTCCAATTTAAGTTGCAAATTTTAAGATAATTGTCCTCTACTCATATTTGTCCACTTTCAAAATGTTTTGGTAAATCTAAATGACATAAGATATCTATCGGTATCCCTTGACAAAATTGCTGAAAATTGATAACGTCAAAATTCGTCTCTTGAAGCAAATTTCACTTGAATCTTCAAATGATTATTCTCCAAACCAGACAAATTTCATCGGGGGTCTGGAAAAGAATAACATACTTCTCCCACATGCTTTCATCACCTAAGTGGCTGCTTTATAGTTTACCTGTGCGCATGCTTCGTAGAAGGACGAAAGCGAATCCAACGCTCTGCCTTTTGTGTAAAAACCAATGATATTCTTCATTATCTCTGGGTCTTTTCGCCAATCCAAAGACTGCAAGTAATTTGCAGCCATGACATAAATTTCTCTTTGTCTTGAAACTCCAGCGAAGAAAACAATCTTCTCCGTGTCTCCAGATTTCAGCAGAGATTTCATTGCCTGATAAAAAAGGAAACCAAAAACAACTTTGTAAAAAATGCAAGCATAGTTTAATTTGCTAAAAAAAATTTACAACAGCAATTTCTGAAAGATACAATTAACATTTAACCTTGAATTTTTACCGACAATTCTTTTATTAGCAAATCTTCTATAGAACGGCATCGAAAATATTTCAATACAAAGGCCCTATTATAGCAAAGTACCTATTTAAAAATAAATGTTAAAAACATATCCATTCATAGATAATTCCACATCTTTGCTTATAAAGACTGAATTGCATTAGAACTTATCTTGAACCCAGCAAGCTGTTTCAACCAATAACGACGAAGGTTTTTCAAAACACATTCAAAACAAAACACATACATGGTATGTATCTCCTTTGCACCCCACCCACTCAAACTCGCGAGTCTAAATTGCCACCTGAGCTGGCGAAATTTTATAATAAAATGAAATAATTAAAACTAAACCAAATTATTTCATCACAAAGCTTGTGTCCTGCGGGCAATTATTTCAGTAGATTCTGTTAAATAAATTGGCAAAATCAGAAAATGATTGCAAGGTTGGTTATATCATATTACATCGCCCATGCTCGTTAGGCGAAATGCACCTGTTTTCTTAATTAAACAAGCTACATTGTCGTGTACGTGCGGCCGAATCTAATATTCACAGATTTTTATCCGGGTTATCCGAGTTAAGAAAAAACCCATTTAAAGATACTGAAACTCATAATTCAATTCGTTCGAGTTCATTTCTATTGTGGAGGATTTGGGATGAACAAGTTAATGAAGTTGACGGAGACAAAGAGAATGTGATCGAAATGCACGCAAATTCATGAACAATAACACCAGCAACTCTTCTATTCATACACTGAAACACGAATTTTGATCCAGAAAGCAGGTTGTAAAAACAAAACCTTAATCAATATAGAAAAAAGTAATATAAAAAATAAAATCATTCCATTTTTTTATATCTAACACTTTAAACCGTGTTCACAAACAGACGAAAAAGCAATTTTCTGCTGTTTTTTTTTCTACCCCTTTCCCTTACTTGAAAACTCATGCCTTCCGGTACCTTTCACTCATGCTCTTGTTTTTGCTAATTCTGTTTTCCCTGTGTTTAGAATCAATCAAGGTTCACTTGTTATGGCTCTATCTTCACAAAAGCTATCGACGGTTGCCCAGAGCTCTACTTTGAAATGCAGCATGTTATTCATTCTCTCTTTCTTGGAACTCAAAAAACATACTTTAAATCCTTTGAGCAAATATTAAAACGTATAGTTCAGTGTTAAAGTGGCACCAAGCAGCAACATTAGAAATGGCATGACTAGTCATATTTATTTTTTTCCTCTATTTTTTAATCATCTATAAAAGGGTAGAAGCGACAATATTGAATACTGCTTTACAGCTTGCCCCGTAAACTAAAAACAGATCTGTTATTATAGCTTTTTTCCATAGCGCCTTATGTGAGTGGCAAAGGCAAAGCAAACCAGCGTAAATTTTCTTAAGCTATTTTAGACAAAAATAAATTAGTCAAACCTTGATTTTATTTCCGGCTTGAGTGAACTTCTTTGTGGCCAAATGATAAGAGCCTTGCCTAAATGCACATTCTGCAATTTTCTCCAATACCTTCAACCGGTATTCTTGATCTTCGTGGTCCTTAGGCAGTGTCATCTTCTCGGCCAACTCCTCAGTGACCGTCACGTGATTGTCAATACACATCTCCAAAGCTTCCTGGAACTAAAATGCAACAGTGCAAAAGGACGGTATTTTTGACACACTGTACTGATTGTCAAAAAACCCTCATCCTAGCTGGGGCAATACAGATTTTCTATCTATGTGATATCACATAACAAACAACCCCTTGGCAAAGAGCAGAAATTCGTCTTGTAAAAATAAGTTCGCATCTATTTTCATTCTAACTTAAGATGGATATGAAGAGAGGTAATACTTTGCATCTTCGATCCCAAGGGTCCCCTTGGGAAAACGTCTGCTCGTTAACTTCAATCAAGTGTTATTTCGAAATGACATAATTACATCTACACAAATCTTGAATAGTCTTAGCTGTGTTTTTCTCTCATGCCTTCTGTTGGTGCAAGTGACAAAATAAATTGTGGTAGGCTGAAATGTGTGTGAAAAACAACATTGATGTTTTGCCGCTGCTTGTAATTTTGCGTGCGATCAATTTGAACGGCAAGAAGTTTTAAAAAATTACTCTCCAGGTCCCTCAATTACTCAACCAATTCAACACACATCGTAGCAATGTGTTTCCCTGTTGATAATTCACTCTACATTAAACAATAAGTTTGAATGAAAAACATTTCATGGAGAAAACACCAAAGAAAAACACAACAACGTACTCTGTGGCCGACTATAAGCAGGTTGACAGCCCGGTCAAATTGGCCGTGCTCGATGAAAAATTCAGCACATTTATTTAACATCTCTGGATCTGTTCTATCATCTAAGTCTTCAGAGATTAACTGTAGGGCACCAAATTGCTGAGTCTTAAAAGCAATTTCAATCGCCTTTGACATGCTGCCAGCCTGAAAGAAAATACGAAGTCGTCTTAAAATCGCCCAAAATTTTTCTATTAGCACTATGAAAAGGCATCACATCAAAACGACAAGACATCAAAAGCAAGTCATCTTTTTCAACATTTTTCAGTGAAGAATCTTGAGTTTTTCAAAAATGTTTAGTTGTTTATTTTGTTTTCGTAATACCTACGATTGTAATTTTTAATTACTTTGGTAATGACAAGAATTGGTACCATACACTATATATGCATATCAGTTAGTTACAAGCACTTGTAATTACCAGAAATGATAGTTACAAATGCTTTGCATACCCAAATATATTTAGGAGATAGCAAAAAGCTATCTTTAGTTTTGAGAACTTATCAGCTGGAAATCGCTTTTCCTCATTTCCACTGATTTTAAAATGGCATAGGCGTATCCCTTCAGCTCTCGATCAAATATTGAGCCAAACAAGGTCCAGTTTCAACTAGGAAAGCAAGATTACCTAAGGAAGCCAAAAAGCATGTATGTTGATCCTAATCCCAACAGTATTGGCAGTACATCCATAACTATTTGACAAACCTCAACATAAATCACCATAAATCTCCAAAATCCCCTTTAAAATCTTTCCAGATCTTCGAAAATTTACATAAACGCTTTTGAGATTAGACAAAGCTAGGCAAGCCTTCCGGGGTCTGGTATATTTACAATGGACACAAAATAATGGAAAAATTGATCATAATGATGATACCTTGTGGTATAACATAACAGCTTTGTCTTGCATTGACGGATTATTCTCATAATACCTGAAACAAAACATGCAGACATATTGTATTTATACAGTAAACAGAGTTCGTATCAAAATACACATTTAGTGATAATAGTTTTGATTATGGAAACGTGCAGGGAAAATTGATTTTTATAATAACTGCTGTCTATTTGGAGGTTAAATGGTTGATGGCCTATCACTCTTAAATGATGAATATAACATCAAATGAGACAATGAAAAGAGAAAACATACCTGGCAGCCTCGAGCATCTCATTTGGAGAGCTAAGCAAGGCTAAGTTCATTAACTCGTTGTCCATCTCATTCTCCTAGAATGAAAAAGAGTATACATAGTCTCAATAATCAAGGTTCAAAAGATTCTACTGCTCTCTCTAACCATTTGACAATGCTTTTGCAATCGACCTTGTATAAATTCGCAACTAAAACATATCAAACAGAAAATTTATTTGTAGTAAGAAAGGAGCATTTGGTGCTTTAAAGTGGCAGTCCAGGGTTACTTGTAACCTTTTAGTATTTATATGTTATCACTTTCTATGTTATTTGCTCGATATTTCTATGTCTTTGAAAATCCCTGCCAACTCTTCACAACTTCATTGGAAAGAATGTTTGTTATAGAATTGCAGATCTTGTGCACATTTCAATTTCCCGACCATGATCAGTACATTGCTTAAAAACTGAAAAAGCTCGCTATATAAGACAGTGCGAGAGTCGTGATATGTTGCGAGTCGAGTTGAGATTGATTGTGAGTCGAGTCAAGTCGAGTCGAGTTGGATTGTTGGTCGAGTTTCTATACCTAATAAACAGATCATTTGAAAAATTTGTGTTTATGGTAGTTTGAAAATGCACACAAAAAGCTCAGGGGCTTCAAGTCTGCACGTCAACTTCAGCAGAATGCGATTTATGGACGAAAAGGTTACAAAGATATAGTGACGCCTTACTGACATTCGAAGCATTACGGAAAGGAGCAAGGACCGATAAATTTGGTAGAAATCCCTCTATTTTAAAAAGTATCCATGTGGCTATTATAAACCGTGAAACTGACTCCAGGACGAAACAACAGAGATACGGAAAATGAAGAGATACATTACCCTTGCAAGCCGGATTGCATTAGCGTAGGCTTGGGCGCGTGAGAAATAATGTATGGCACTTTTGAAGTCACCCTATAAAGAATTCAAAGTGTTAGGCAGGGTTTGATACTTATTAATTCAGCAAATCTAAGAAAATATGAATTAACTTACAAAATAAAAAACTATAAGACCTCTGGGTATATTCTGCAACATTAAATGTAAGTGGGTTTTGCAATAAAGATATATTTACAATGAAAGTGAAGACAGTCTCAGGTAGGTAAAAAAGCTAAATACAATTGGAGGAAGGGTTTCTCAATTCACGCATTTAAAGAACCCTCATGAAGCCCCTGTGGGAAATTCGCTAGCAATAAGCGAATTTGCCATTCAAGTCTCAAAAATGTCTTTCTTACAAACAAATATCTAAACAAATACTATATTAAATCGTTCTCCACTTGCTGTTTAATTCTAAATGTCAAAATCTGAATTAATTTTAGGACGGCATAAAAGCCCATATGAATGCAGAGGAATGTGTAAATATGAGATCAAAATAAAAATCTTGGCACTTGACAGAGTTAATCACATCACGGGCTAGACGACATTGATTGGTCAATACAAGGCCAATCAGAGGAGGTTAGGGGGAATCGATTGTTCTTATTCTTGTGTGACTGCATCCGAATAGTTTTATGCTTGAAATAAGAGGAATTTACCTGGCTTTCGAAGTGTCGTGCGAGGTGATAACAAGCCGATTTGTCGCCAGTTTCATTGCAAATATCAGCAGCCTTCGAATAACAAAATCAAAGAAAAAATTATTATTCCATAGATATAAAGTTCCGAAGCAGAACTCAGTAAATAGATTTCCAAATACCAAATCATACTTTCTAAAGAAAATAATAAACATGGTTGGTATATTCATGCACCTTAATTCGTTATGCCAATCTTTCCTCGCTCTTTTTAAACCGGTTTGTTTATAAGACGCATCAGAAGGTCAGAATTTACTTGACACAATATAAACATTTTACCAATTCTATTTGCAAAATTGTTTACAGAAAATTTTGTTAACTCGAATTTCTTTGCCCACAACAGGTCCAATTTTGACCAAATATTCACGTCGCAAGGACATAAGGAACAAATCTATTCAAATACATTTAAGTAGAATTTTGTGTCTACAATCGGCGGTTCCTGTAGTCCCAGTTGTGACAGGTCTTTAGGCAAACCAGATCGCAACAAGGCGAAATTGCCTTAGAGTAGGTGTGATCACCAGTCGATTACATACAAATAATTATATGATTAACAACTAGGTACGGCTCACCTTGTTTAGGTTTCCACAATAACAGTTGACTCTCACCAATGACAAATGATCCTGTGCAGACTCATAAAATTGCAACGCAGCTTCCATTTCGCCGACGCTTTCCATGTACTGCGCCCACCATTTCCGCAGAGGCCTAAAACATCACCAGGGAGAGGAATCAAAACAATGCATTCGAAACTTCATAATGTTATAAGAGCAATCCCTAAATATTTACGTTTTAATCAAGCACTGGGTAATTTTTGAAATGTAAATGAAGGTTAGATTGCTCCAAATGAAGTTCGAGAAGGGTTTGCAAAAGCAATTATAGGTTTCTATATTATTGCTTGATAAATTGGTACTTGATGGTCAAAATTTTGGTCAAATATTATTGCTTGATAAATTGGTACTCGATGGTGTCTATTGTAGCAAGGTTGGTTAGCTTAGAGAGGTTGTGCTTTGTGATTTTGGCGGTAAGATCAGGCGAGCTTGGATATATGAATACAAGTCAAAAATTAATGTTTAAAGGTCTGTTATAGTTCGTTCGTTCGATGCCGTATTGCCAGAGCTCTTCATTACTTGGGATGAAGAACACTCGTTTTGAGTCGCACCGAGTATCACACTGAATGCAATGATCGGGAAACTGTATATAAATTGATATATGGTATAAACATCACGCAATACTTTGAAGTTTCATCTCAATTAAGGCATCCACGCGCACTGGCTTTCACTTGCGGTATTTTAATTAATGATAATCGGAGCATGAAAGAGGTTGTGATAAAAGCATGAATAATTTCTTCAAACTAAATTAAGCATCAGCATAAGCATTAGCAAACGTTCATAGTCCATGGTTTCAGTGATAGAGCTCTGCCGTTCGGCATAATCTAACATGAGCTAGGATCAGATAATTCTTTTGTTCCAAGTTTATTTTTGAAAGTATATTAATGTGGTTTCCTGACTGACACACATTGTTCAAAACATGTTTCGGATTTTGACGACAAATAGTTCCACTTGTTTTCAGCTCATTAACTGATCAGGAGTTCCGTTAATGGTCATGACCTGCAAATACATTCAGCCTTGACTAAGAACCTAGGCATTATTCAGCTGAGCGCCTTATCTTTAGTTTTAAGTAGCATCTGTATTTACTTTTGAAGCCTTCAAACACAAAATGCCACGAAAAGCGGCCAATTTTCTTCTCACTCTATCTATAAAGGATAACACTATCAAAGTAAAAAAAACCAAGTAAAGGCCTTTGAAGGCAAAGAACAACATAGGACCCTGATACACTCTTTTTTTATAACAACCAGTAAATTTGAGTTCAGATTGACTGTTCTTAATTTTTTCGAATATCTGAGGCTGGATTGTTTTTAATTTGTTCTTAAATTAAGAGGGTGTAAGCAGTGCTATTGCTAGCTTTTTCGCTCTAAGGAGGTGTTCAGGCCTCATTTGCCAACAAAGTGAGTGAGACAGCCTTAATTTGCTGACAAATTTGAATATTCACCGAAAAAGTACCCACACATCGCTAAAAATCCTTGATTTTGAGAAAAAACGTTGTTCAAAATTGCATTCTGCAGAAGCTCAGCCTCAGCTTGTTCTTAATTTGTTTATAACTTTTGACCAGTTTTGAGGCTCATGTTCTTATAAAATTTTTCTTATAAAAAAAGAGTGTATTTCACCAAAGCCCCTTCATTAATAAAAGAGCAGCATAACTGAAATCTTGTTTACTGTTTATTTCAGTGATATTATCTTATTGAAAACAAAAAAGGAAACATCCCTCCCTGAATAGAGGTAACCTTTAAATGAGAAAACGCTTTCCTTGCATTCACTACAACTGAAAACAAACGCCTAAAATCACATGGGCGTACATGACCAACTTGATTGGTCAATGGCGGTGAATGGACAAGTCTAAAGATATTTTGTTTATTTTACCCTCAGTTGGTAGGCATAAGCAATATCTACCTGTCTTTCGATTTGAGAATGTAGGACTCCAGCTGTGAAGTGTCTTCAAATAACATACGAGGTACTTCAAAACGGAAGGTATCTGAACGTTCAAATCTATGAAGAGTTAGGAATATGAAGAGTTAGGAAGGTTCTCATCAATAAATACATATATTTGATATGCAACATGATAGAATTCGACAGGATTTCACATAAACTTTGCAACGATAATTCGGAATTAGAGAATTACAAAATTACAGCTGCCACAACATTTTTCATCAGGCCAATGAGTAGCCTACTCGCAAACTCGATTGTGCTATATCCTGTGTTTACTCTAAGGAATCCATTGGAATTGTTAGTGTGTTGGTGAATATGTGCAAGCTAGCTTACCAACTTACTAACTACAGTTCTCAACAAATAAGACAAATAAGTAATTAAACCAATTCAAGCGCTAGTTTAAATAAACACATCTGGCAACTAAACAAATTATGTATGATAAAGTATGATAAAAGCAGGGTTTTTGAAAAAGTTTAGCAATGGCAAAACGAATAAGCTATTTGGAGGTGCCAGTATCAAAAGGTGAGCTTAATTTAGAGCAAAACACTTGACTTGAATTCGAATTTTCTTGAACAAGCGAAATAAGGCACTTACTTTAAAGGTTACGAAGGTCTGCAAAATATATAAGGTTTTCTCAATAAAATTAGTACTTTTATTATGTCCAAGCGACAAGGACACTAGAAAACCCTGCAACACTTAACCCTGCAACCAAACCGAATCCGACCCAACCCCTCCAACCCCAACCAACCAAACCCAAAGGACAGAGCCAAGCTTCTTCAACCTAACCCAAACGAACCCAGCCCCATCAAATCCCGTGAACCAAATCCAACCAATCTGAACACACCCAACCCAACTCAGCTCAACCAAAAACAACCCTAAAACAGCAGACTACCTCAACTAATGCAAACAGTTCATCTAAATTCGGAAGAAGCTGGCTAACTATCAAATGATTTTGTCAACAGCCGTTCAACTTAAAGAGGTTTTAAATTGAGCATATAAACAAAATTCCTTGTTCAGTTCATGGATACTTTTCAAATCGAGTGAGAAAGCTCAATCTTTTACTTTTCATTTGATACCATCACATTTGGACCCCATACACAGCAGAGAGCGTCATATTCAACTTGCAAACTACGTGCTTTGGAAACCAAACTAAAATCCGCTAACCCAGTGTTATAGATAAGAGCACGAAAACTTCGACATGTTTTTCGTCTAAATATGAATATGTTAACTTGAACAAGTACACCTAGCTTTGGCGCCACTGCCCTGAAAGCAACTCATTTAAAGACAATTTTTAATCTCTCCATTTCAGGATTGTTCGTCACAGTTTCCTGATTGCTTGTAAAATTACCAAAGAAGAATATGACATAATTATGTCTAGTAGAACACAAACTTTAGGGATCATCACTAAAGAAGCTTAAAACAGGTACTTACTGTTGAATTGCACCTGCATAATTCCCAACAGATTCTAAATACTTTCCATAATTGTAGTACGTGGTTCTCAAGTGTATCCTATCGTGCAGTTCAGCTGTCTCAAGGGCCTGTAAAGAATGAAACAAACAAAGCGTGAATTCAAAAAAGATTTCTTTTATAGAAAAAGGAACCCGGTAACTGCGAAGATCTCAGGACTCTGAAAGATAGAGAGGAAAGTCTCTGAAAGAGAGGAATGGTCGATTTTTCTTCGGTCACTTCACATCGTTTAATTTTCTTTCATTTCATATGCTTGCACTTGAAGAACCGGTTTGGCAAATATCAAAGCCTATCTGAACAAGGAATTATGTTACCTGTTACCCGGATCTTGTGCTGGGATAAAAAACACCATCTCAAGATTCGTAAACGTCAACTTCATGTCTAGAGGTTTGCCTGCTGGCTTGCCTTTTTTAAAATTATTTCGAATTCGTAATATCTAAATTTAGATCTAGTATACATCATCTAGAATATCTCAATTAGCCATAAAATCACAATAGCCATATTCAACATGGTTGTGTATTCGGTTGAAAAATTCACAAAATAAATTTTCTTGTCCATGTTCACGCTACGTCAGATTGAATTACTCTAAGGAAAGCATGGTTTAGTATGGAAAGCAAAAATTATGGCGTTCATAAATTCGTTTGTGCAAACAGCTTATGTACCTTAAAGCAGGAAATTTTCTTGAGCATGGTAGTGCCCTGGCACAAATCTTACCTTTCTTACGGTGAATAGCGAGTAAATCAACGACCTTTAAAAGATGTGACATTTGAAAAATACCTGTCATATGATATATATATATATATATATATATATTCGCCAGATTTTCAGACTATACCTTTATCGGTCGTCATTCCAGGACGTAAGTTGTGTTTATTTCAACAAGACATGGTACAACGAACTAAATATAATTTTCAGTGTATGTTTTTTTCTAACAAATTTTGGCTGGGAAAAACAAATATATTACTAGCATCGCATCTTTTTAGTTCAAATGTAGAATCTTCATCTATTTGTTGTAGTTTGCAAAATCAGAAAGGTATTGCAAATAACTTAAAATAGAAGAGATGACACGCTCTTCAAAACAAGAAAAACCTTTGGATAGCATCAAAGTTTTAGCGATTTTTTATGGCGAATATTTGAAGAAGTTGGCGAAAGTGGCAAGGTTTAAAGCGAGAAATTTTCCTTTCATTTTCTACTAACTTCCCGCAACACCCATAATGGCCTCAAGTATCTTCAAAACTGGCTTACAAAAATGCAAGACCAGCTTTCTAATGACATCACAGTAGCTTTTAACCGTTCCAATTGTGCTTCAAGGTCGCACAAGTATTAAGTAAGATTTTGTACCTTTGACCAGGAATTCGATGCTTGATATAGTTGATTCAGCAAATCAAATCGCTTGCATTGTTTATATAATCTCTCAGCTTCTTCCTGTTAAGGGGAGAGGCAGAGGATAACGGTAATAAAAAATTGAGGTAATTTAGCAGCTACATGTCAAATCAACGCCTACAAGTTGAAGCTTCATAAACGTCACTTATTTCTCCCAATACGGGTCGTTCTTCAAACTGTTTTAGGGTATTGTTTCTTTTATTTGAAAGGTTTTCATTTTATGTGCAACTTTTCCACTAAGTATTACTTGGACAATGAGAATGGCATCGACAATTGGTATTCACTTAATCTTATGCCAATAATCGAGCCCTGGACATATTCACTAAACTGATATGACACTGAACTCTAATACGACCATGAATACAATTCTTCTGTCAATTTTAGCTAGCCAGGGTAACATAAAGATCATTCTATAGTTCTTTTGAAAATACACAATCGAACATTTTAAGAAGGCCATAGAACAACGTTTCAATGTATTTGGGTTATCAGGCTTTAGGTCCTAACGTATAACTGCTTCTGGGGCTGTACCAAAACAACAAAACAAAGCAAGCACCATTACGCACCAACATCCCAAGCTGAACTGCCAACACTGCCACTCTGGCGTCAAACTCTGGCTCCTTCTGAGCTTCCCTCAGTGCTTTTGCGCCTCGGGCGTTGCCCATGTTTCCAAGACAGACCGCTGCAACATCTAGGCGTTTAGTTTTCACACACATCCGCGCCATGTTTTCCCAAACAGAGCCACTGTAGAGGAGAGATAAAAAACGAGTAAGCAATGACTAACCTTTATCCTGCAAAGACTAAAGACTAACCTAGTTCTCCTGCAAATGCTAACCTCTTTCCGGGGTTCCCATTAGCATTTTCCCTGATATTTTCCCCATTATCTTGCATTTTTAACATTCTTTTCTACTTTTCAAATCTCGACAACCTGAAATTCTATTTAACAATTTGGTTCTTTGTATTCTGCAATGTGAGGGGGCTTTCTAGATTTTCTTTGATGAGATAAAGAAGAAATCTGATTCGGTAACGACTTCAAATTCAGAACCATAGCAAAATTAGTCTTTCAACGCAATATAAATTTGTTAAGTTTTAGCATGGGAACACATTAACCAACTATGGAACAGATAATTGAAGAAATAAGAGGAAAATTCATCCATTTTTCAAGAAAAGTCGTAAATACTAGCCATACCTTTTGATTGCTTTTATCGCCTTGAAAGCCTCGTCCATATTTCCAATTGCTGATAAATAACTAAACCTAATCATAGCATCTTTTGAGGTGCTGTCAACATTTTCCAGCCCAACGAAATCTCGCATAGTCTTTCTGGCAATCAAATGTTTACTGGCCTGGTCGGTTGTGCTTGTTGATGATGACGTTGGTTCATTATCAATAGTCTAGACACGAAAACAAAATAAAAGTCATTCTTTTCATAACCACATACAATGATCATTTAATATTCAATGAGGTAATTGCCACATTTGAGCGAGATTTTACAACACGATTTTATTCACAAAAAAAGGTGGCAAACGAAATGAAAATTCAACGGAGAATGAAAGTTCAACATTGCTCGGTAAAATGTCGGCCATGTTTTACGAAGGCTTTATGTTCGGATATGTATGACGTTGTTTGACACATAAGATTCACAGAAATCAATGCATTTGATTACCCTTCGCCCGAATATAAGACTAACATGCAGATTCCTTGTAACTCAAATTGAGTGGAAATCACGCTACATCAATATCACACTTGCATCTAGTTATACTGCGGCCTTTCACAACCGACGCATAACAGTAACCCGTGATTTTACATTTTCAAATGAAGTAACCTATATTCTATATTCTATATAAAAAGCTATATTCTATATAACATTTAACTAAAACTTTCTAAATGTACTAATTATCACAAACAAACACAGTCTACATACACTGTGCAGAATCATTTCTTATCAATACTCAAACAAGAGCGAAAATTGATTAATCCCAGAAATATTTTTTCGAGCTCATCGTTCCACAGGCAATACCCTTGAACTTAGGCCTTGAAAATCATTTTAGCAAGGCGCGTTTGGGCATGGTTACTTAACATTGATCGTTTTCATGAGCCTATTTTCGCGGGTCCTTCGCCACATGGCCACTATGTTACGTTGACTCAGCGATTGTACAAAAAATTGAAAAACAACTGCATAAGATTCTGAAAAAAGCAAAAAGAAAGGCATACCTTCTTTACGAAAAAGTAGTAAGGAACTTCCATGCCAATGAGCGCTGCAATAGAAATAAGTATTTCGTCAAAGTGCGTATTCATTAGATGTTTTTTGAATAAAGAAATGAAGATATCTGGCGTAAAAAGTTGCGCTGAAAAAACGGTCATGTCCATTCTTTTAATTAACAGAAGTACAAGAATAATTTCACTTCACCCCTGTCACAAAAGTCTACTTATAGTTAACAAGAGTTCCGATTTTTGTTAATTCAATCAAATTTCCTAAGTAAAGAAAATAGCGAAAAAAGGATAGAACTTCAGGGAAAACCTGTTTAATCAATTACATACTTAGGAAAGTTTGCAGAGTAAAATTCCAAGAAAAGTGGAAGACCTTATTTCTAAGAAAAGTAGAGAAATTTATATTCAGATACTTTGATTATTATTTGCATGTATTAGAGAGCAGGAAGAGCAGAAAAGTCGATTTAAAGTAATCATTTACTCAGAATACTATTGGTTTTAGAATTGGAAAACTGAAAATGTATTGAATTATCAAAAATAGATGTGAGAAAATCTACCGGCGTATGATGATTCCATGGGGAAATGGTCTTGAATGACTATGCCACTATCCGGGGAGCTGAACAGGGTAACGATTATGACATCATCCTGGAATGGAAGAGAAAAATGTAACAACACATTAACAAGAAATCATTCGCAAATATGAGAATAGGGCTGCTTCAAGCATTTAGCAAAGAATATCAAATTGATAAAATTTCGGGTTATTCAGACTTGTGTCAAAGACATCTATAATTTGCAGGACCACTTCCCGGCATTGACAAAATGAAAAAAATGTGACGAATTGACGAACATCATGACGAAATCAATTAAATAGTTTTCATATTTGGGAATGAGAAATCTAGTAAACCAGTCCGGAGGCATTGTCTTGCTTCCAATTGAAAAAAATCTTCCCAAACATGCTAAGATTCAAGACCATTCATAAACACCCTGATGCTCTTTCTAAACATTGATTTTCCTTGCTTCATCAGCGAAATGCTAAAACGCAATATTACTGTTTTGTCGAAGTAAGTGATGATTTCTTTATACGTCATTAATAAAGGGAAAATTATGCTTTGGTAAATTACCAATGTATTGATGGAATTTCTATCTTTGTTGTCCTTCTGAGATGAGGTAGTTGATTTGCTCTGCGTAACAGACGACCTTCTTCCGTTATCTAAAGACGCCTCACACAAAAACAACTGGGGCTCACTATCACTCCACAAGACAGACTTTGGACAACGATCTAAAAGTAGAAGAATCTGGAATAACCTCAACCGTCAGAAAGAATAAAAATCCACAGTTTATAACAGGGGATGTTTTGTTCTCAACTGTAGGTGAAAAATGGCTTCAAAAATTCAATTTTCGTAAAGCAAGAAGTCAAAGGTTATACAAAGGTCAAAGGGTTATTCAAAAGGGTATACAAAGGTCAAAGGGCTATTCAAAGAGCTTTACAAAGGTTAAAGGGATATTAAAAGGGTCAAAGCTGCTGAATTATCACTGGAGAATGGACAATTGAAGACAAAGAGGTAATCTACCAATTTTTTAAAAGGTAGCAATTCCCTTTTAAATTTGCAAGGAAGAATCCCCTTACACGAGTCTACTGTGCTTGTAAACATTCAGAACAATTTTAATGATATTGGAAGCTTTTAATCAGATTTAAGAATATTTTTAACAGCTTAGAGCAACCAAGTTACCTTTGATATCTGCCGTCAGCTGCTCTTGGGCACTTATTACATTGTCGTCTAGGTCCTCTTGGCCTTGGCCGGTCCTGAAGTTGAATGTCTGTATTTGATCCGCTTCTACATCCCAGATATAGAGTGTTGGGTCTGTCGATCCGTTTGCCTGTAAAAGGAAGTGAGACGCTATGCTCAATAAGACTTCATAAAGCGCAGCTCAAATCACATCAACTTCTTTCTGCTGTCGCAAAATTAGAGAAAAAAGATTTAATCATAGATTCCAAAATATTTTTCCATAATCTTTGCATGATCGTTCACATATAGTCAAGGATGTGGCATTATATTCGTTTAAAATGCCTAAGTGCAAAGGCGCCAGGAAAAACAGTACAGATATCGTAATTCTCCGGACATATGCACTGTGAAATGGTGCGCTGTCTAGAACATTTGGTGCGCTGTCTGGTTTGCGCTGTCTGGTTTGCATAATGATGATTTCACTAACCATTGCGCAAATGAAGCTGACTTTGGTTCCGCTACAGTTGCTGTGAGCAGATTTGATTTTATGAATTGTGCCCACGCTGCTGCCAACGTTCTTTGAAGGACCGTGTTGTCTTGCTTCCCTTCGATGAACAAAAGATAAAATTCATAACTGGGAATGACTAGGTTACACCATCTGCGTCTGCTGTGCGTAATTCTGATGGTGGTCATGCAATATTTCTGTGTGTAGTGTCATGTCTCCGCATCTCTTAAGAATTTGTTATCAGTGTTATACTGATTAGCTCAAAAAAACTTTATACAAGTGCAAGGCTAATATATTCTTTTCACATTATTTATCCATATTGTCAGCAAAGTCCATTTTGCAAACGAGCTCTGTGTCTCCTTATCTCATATGAACTCGTTGGCGATTTTCACTATTAAATTGATTTGCTAGTATTTTAAACCCCTCCAGAATTTACCTTTAAGCCAACATCGGGCGATTAGGTTGATTTTCTAAGGAAAGTTTTCATAAAACACGTAAAAAAGCAGTAACTATGAAAAGAATCGTTCTAGCTGAAGATATGTGTCAAAAAAACCTAAACAGTGTCAAGTCGCGGACAGATAATTAATTGTTATATTAATGGACGCAAAGCTAAACTGTGCAAAAGTGTTTCAATCAGAATAAAAACAACTAAAAAGGTGCGTACCTTCTTGAAAGATCAAAAATTTTTAAGACAGCTTTATCAGTGGCCACAGCCATAAATGCGCCACAGAGATTCAAGGAAACTGGGTCACCATCATGCTCAGAAAAACTCAATTCTTGTTTAACTGTCCCCTATAAAGAAAACACTTAAGATAAGAGTCTTGAAAGCAGTCAAAGAAAAAAATCGTTTGTGAATCTGAAAATAGAGCTATACGTTTGATATAACAGTTAGGAACAGATACACATCACACAGAGTACAATCAAGCATAGGCTATGAAGTTTAAATGGAAGTTGAAGCATAAGGAACGTCAGGGGCATGCAGCTAAAGATTCATGTCTTTGCACACAATGCAGCCTGAAACCAGCTTGGAAGAAATAAGCCATAATAACGAACTAACATCTGAAATTTTCAGATAAAAGCCTTTTTGTTAGTCTTAAATCAGTGCTTATAAGATATAGGCTGCAAAGGCTAGCGAACAATAACTTTCGATGCAAAATGCGAAAGAGTAACACACCTGGAAAGTTCTAATTGAGATTTTACCAGGTTCCAGCAAGTAGACATTTTGCTCGAATACTGAAACAGTTGTTGCGTCAGAGTTGAAGGTGCCTGCAAAAAAAACCAGAAAAATAAAAGAATAAAAGTAGGTCAATCGTTAAAACACACATAAAAAACACTAGAGGATAGTTGATTTATTGTATAACCGTTTCTGCTGCTAGGCCATTTATAGGTAGGTGGGATGGCAGATAGAGGATATCTTTCAGAAAAATTAGCAGTTACTGAACCTATAATTTGGGATAACGAAACGTAGTTGGTAGTCAGAAACTAGGCTAATGCGGCATGTAGCAATACAAACGTAAAACTGTATCAGTATGAATAAATTTAACTCCCCTTTACACGGCACAGGCCTGGTATGACGTCACTCTCCATAGAAAAATTGCCATGAGTAGACAGAATGTTAGGGAAAACTATGTAAATTTTACAAAACTTCCAAAACGCAACAGTACCATGCACTAGCGCCATATCGGGGTAATTGGTGCCGTGACCCACTGGTTTCAAAATGAAATATTACACGCAGATCTCTTACCTGCAACTCGCACGAATGATTTATTTTGGGCAACTTCATAAACCACTACTTTCTTCCCGTTCCAAATGGTCGTGTGGCTCTTTAACGAAAATCAAAGCAACATTATAAACAGAATTTTAACTTAAGAAATATATTAAAAGGGGAAGAGGCATACTGACAGAAAACTAAATAAAGTAATGAACAGAACGACGAGTAAAATCATCTGACCCCACTACTCATTTATATCAGATAAAACTTTCCCATGAAACAGGCATTGATTCAACTATGTTGTCACAATTTTTTTAAGGTCAAAAAACTTTCAAACAGATGCAACTAATCATAAATGTATCTGAATATTTTCGTAGCACCGAACATGAACCTGTTGGGTTAAGAAAATACAAGGTAACAATTTTAAGTTTGGAGGTTAAGTAAGTAAGGAGACAGTTATATTTAAGTTAGCAAAAAGGAAGGATAACAAAAAAGATAACAATCCCAATTCTGAAAACCAGATGCCAGCGTAAGAGAGGGTGTCAAAAGCAGAGAGATCCATCATTCTCCGGTCTCCTTCAAGTGATTTATCGAAGCTCAGTGGAATAGGGCTTTAAAGAGTCTCTCTTTTCATCATTTTTGAAAACCATACTAAATGCATTGAAATTGTGAGATTACTTACTTTCGTAACATAGACACCTTTGATTTGAATATCTGTCTTTAAATCATGAACAAAATTTGTTGCAAAAAAGTCAACGCACAGGTGACTGGGAGAGACTTGAACTGCTCCGACCTGAAAAACGAGGTAAATTGTATAGACAATTAGAAAAATTGCTGCAACTGGCAACACAAATAAAACGAAAATCTAGTTGACAAAAAAGTCAAATAAAATTAATCTTTGATTATATACCTGCAAGAAGGTTCCAAGTTAAATGTGGAAAAAACGCTAAGAAATTCATTGTCATTTGACCGTTGTCATTAATGTTATTCTAGTGTTTAGAGATAATCTCTTTAAGTTTAATTCCCCTTTTTGGTTTTAAACAAGCTTGTAATTTGCAGTTGTCCTTTTATGTTTCTTTAGTAGCTATGGGTTTTCAACTTAAGTTGTAGGTCCACATCAGAGAGAGCTGACTTTAAGCAACATCAACTGCGTAATTATCTACATTATCATAGGTTTAATCTGCGTAAAAAAATTTTCGAGAACAAATTGATATCTTTACCTTCAACTTACGGAACCTTCATGTAAAAAAAGCTTTAAAAATTACAAAATATCACTTAAGAAGCATTTTAAATATAAAAAAGCAAACAACAATACCTGCTGATTAAAGTGGGCATTCATCACAGCTTCATTTAAAAGCGTAACAGTCGATTCACAATTGGCAGCCAGAAATCCTTTACTTGCGCCCCACTGCAAAAAAGATTTTAAACTTAGCCACCAGAAAACTCAAAAAACACATTTTCTTGTGTCAGATCATTCTTTGTGCCTTTTAATATAATGGGCGGAATAAAACATCATTTAATCCATAGTAAGCCTAAATTATAGTTAAGTCAAAAAGGGCTGGGGTTAGGTAGGCCTTATCGACTATATTCCGCTCGAAATATTTGGAGAGCGCACATTATGAAAGACGCGTCCACCTACCTGCAATTCGACAACAGGCAGCCCTGCTTCACACGGAGCCATTAGCTCCCATAAACTGTCATCTTTCAATCGACCATCTGATTTACTGCCAAAGTTGCCGTTGTAATGCCACATCGCGACCTTACCCATGCTGGTGCCGCCAGCTAGTATATCTGTGCAGTTGGAAAGAAGACTGGTTATGGAAACTAGCATAGCACTGTTGAAAAATACCAATGAAAGGAGACAGAGGAAAGGCAATGTCAATATGGAAACATTTAGCCATGATCACAGTTAAAATTCAATCATCTAGATGTAAATTCTTTGCTACTCGAATAATAAATACCTCTTAGTGTACAAAGTTATATCTGAAGACAAACGCTGACTTTTCTCAAAAATAAATTAAACTCTGATTCAACTTTTTAATTGGTTTTACTGCAGAAACTACTCCAGTATACTTAAAATTACTTTGCTTGCAAAAGCGTCCCGATTCCTCTTTTAGGGAAAGGATTTGACATCGTCTTAACGAATTTATGTGAGAATATTCCATTCAGCTACTGCAGTGGGTCTTCAACCGATTATTTCTTTCTCAGTCAAAGCCCATCAGTCAAACACAAAGCTGCTTAAAGCTCAAATGATTTTGGGAAAACAATTAAACAGTAAAACTACCATTTAAGATAAATTTTTGGGACTCCTCAAAATTAGGCAAGTCCCAATCAGGAATTGAGGTTTAATGATAATACACACCTTTCTCTCGAGAATATGAAAGACAATTGATGCTATCACCAGACTGAAATCCAGAATGGCCGTCCAATGACAAAACATAATTCTCGTCGTTATCCACATCGAGAACCCTAATCAAAAAAATTAGAAAAGTGATCGAAGTTTAACATTGTCTTTCATTTACAAAGGCCCAGAGTTAAATTTTACCTCAGGTTTGCCAAAAAATTATTTAAATTTTTTAAAAGACTACAAAAGGACTATCAGTTTATCAAATTTGCTCTTCTACATAATACCGTTCTTTGTTACATCCGAGTTAGTTTCATATTATTAACTTCGAGCTAGTTTATTACATATTTATTAGAGCAATTAATTTTTGTAAGGTTTATCGACTTCAGCATAATCTATCGATAACGAATGAATGTTTCTTTCAAAGCAGTAACTCATACGAAACCCAAAATAAACTTGAGTAAGTCATGGTTTTTCCTCGAACAGATGACAACGTCCAGCAAACAGCCAGCATTGTTAGATAAGGATAAAAACGCCGTTACTAACAAAGGTTACACAAATTAACTGGTGTTTTATTAGAAACCTAAAATTTGGAAAGGTTTAATTCGAATTCATTTTACATTGCTTTCGCGTCGCAATATCAACAAAACGCAGGCATACGGGCGGTGATACTCAATACGAAAACAATAAATTCAATACTATTTGGGACAGTTGTCTCACACCATATAAAAACCTCGATTTTAATTAATAAAGATCTATCGTCTTTAAATCGAGCGACAAAATACGATAGTATGTAAAAAGACTACTAGGTGTAAGCAAGTAAGAAAGAATTCGATTAGTCCTCGCCTGTTGCAGTATTCAGATGCTGAAATGATCAGTTGAATAGAATAACAACTATCGGAAGAATAGATTCTCTTGCGTATCGCCTTGCTTGCAAGCAACACACAGAATAATACAGATTTACAACACATAGAATAATACAAATTTACAGTTGTACATAGAATAAAAACAGAACATATCATACAGCCAGCATTGTAAGTCAGCCTAGAGGACTTACAACATTGACAAACGCTAGACAGAGGGGTTTCCAGTTTTCCATGTTTGCGTTACGGTCAGATGCATGCTCATTTAGATTCGAGCAATTTTATTGCTGAAGGAGCAATAACTTCTGCAATTAGAGTTTCTAACACAAAAACTTCCTTTAAAACTGACGATACATACTTTCTCGGTGACAGCCAATCTCTAAAATCCACACTCAACTCCATCATGACACGCACACCTCAATGATTATACACATGTCTTGTTATTCAAAAATATGCCACGGTTACACGGAATCCTGCATCATCGTACTAAACGTACTAAATACTGCATCATCGACATATGTCGTTTCGAGCTGGAACAATACCATTTTTCAAATGATCAAGCACATTTTCTGCAACTTAGCACGTTAAGACAAGCGCCAGCAAATTAGCTTCCTTTTAAATAATATCAGTGAAAGTGCAGTCACAAACAGCATCGACGGAATCATAATAGCTTCGTTGATAAATAATTAATGAATAATATGCATGCTACAACAAAATAATCTTTATCCTGGTTGAGTGCTTATCAATATGATCATGAGCTTCTCTTAATCTTTTGCGAAGGAGATAGCTGTAAACATCGGATTATAAAGATAGTTTGCGATAACTTGAAGGTTTGAAGTAAAGAAAACACGAGCTTCTGATTGATAAAATCACACTCTGGGTTGAAAAAGTTCGTTTTGAGAGGGAGGCAGTAATATAATAATAATCAATTTATTTACAGTAGGCGGGTATAATATAGCTATCAATGTACAAGTTATGTGCAAACTAATTCAGACCTACTTTACAAAAATTTAGAATAAAAAGCAATTAAAAATGAATAATTAATAATTACATACAAAAAACAATTAGTATTGAGAGGGAGACACTACATGGTGGACATTGAACAAAAAACCCAAATAAGCGACGCTTCAGTCAAACAATAGTATAGTACTAGAAAGAATGGAAGGCAGAACAAGAGAAAAATCATAAACTTATTCTGATATTAACAATCAGATACCTTGGCTCTGTACATCACGCCTAATGACTTGAATTTTTGCGTGTTAAAACACGAAATCCCCGTCTATTGTCAAAGGGCAAGCGCAGTGGCCTAAAATCCCCACACATGCTCGTTGATTGTTTAAAACTTGTAATAGAATCACGGGAGAAAACGAAATCGTTGCTTACCACAAAAGCGGTATATACTTCCCCATATTATGATACATTGAAATTTGTATGCAAAGTTTAAGTCCAATTTAAATTCCCACACCTTTTGAGCCTGATAATACATTTTTAACCATTTAAGGTGAGAAGAAACCTGCTATTATCATAAAGTGGATTAAAAGTTGCTATTTTGTCAGCCTCGCATAACTACATATTACTGGAGATGATCGCCTAAAGGCGCTTCAAGTAGGAAACAACGGACAATAGAGACGTGACAATTTGGACACAGTGTTGTTCTACATATGCTGTTTTTATTAACAACGAGAGTTTGCCATGAACTATTTCAGCCTTTCAGCAAGTGAAAGAGGATTGACCATCCCCAGCGACTGGAGGGAAGAATCGTGCAACCAACACTCACAAAGTCTGATACTTGGCTTGTCCCCAGGCTAAAGCAATTAGCCTCGGGACGATGAACAACCCTCTTTCCGTTGACAGCCACATTGTTATCAATCAGCTTTCTACTAAATAGTAGCTATCGAGCGAGTTGGTTCGTACGATGCGATATCGTGTTTAAGTATTGATCACCTTGTTTCAGGACATATAAACAGACTTGAAAGATACTTATGCTGTGTGTTCATCTAGCTCTCTATGTTTTAATACAATAAATCCGTTCATACTTTATCTATTGCATATTACTTTTAGAATAGAAAACTATTGCAGCATGAAGTATTTCTGCAGCATGAAGTATTGTCAATGACCTGCTTTAGTACATGGATCTTGTGCTTTTCATGTATTGCAAAAGAAGAAGAAAACGGCAAAGTCAATCCATTCAGCTTAAAAAGCCAACAATAACATCTACAGTCACGACAATGAAAAAAGAAAGGTTTATGGTGAATATCAAATGAAGATGTAAGACTATAATTGAACGCGCCCCATGAGCCAGAGCAACAAAGAAACTCTCAAACCATCTGAATATCTGCTCTCGAATCATAATCAATAATGGTTAATTGAAATCGAATCAGAGTATGAAAGATTAAGTGTTATGAATCCACAAGATATTCTTCACCTACAATGCCAGAAAAGTCGCATTTTTTGCAATAGGTAACATTCTTTGTCGATACCCCAAATTTTATGACCGCTAAGCGGCTATGAAGCCAGGTCATATACGTATGAAGAATTAAGAAATACAGTAACCGCTAAACTAACAAAGAAATACAGTAACCGCTAAATTCTTCACAATTCGAAAAAATCATAAAAGTAGTGAAAGTTGTCTGCTTCCAGCTACGAGAATTTAGCTGACTGTTACCATAAATCACAAAGAGCCTTTGTTTCGTTTACAGCAGCTATCACTTATGCATCGCAATGTGCTTTGTCATTCTACTGACCAACACTTGAATATCATAGCAATCAATGCCAGTTTACAAAGCAGGTCTCCAATTTCCACTAGTTTCAAATAACTCGAAAATGTTATCTAGCTCGGCTATCTATTCATAACACAGAAATTAAGCTGCTTCTCAGCAACCATGTTGCACAGCCAAGGGCCAATGTTCCAAGCAAATGAAAATCTTTTAAAACCGGCGTTGATGTCCAGCCCAATAAAGCCCGTGGCAACGCCTCTGATACGCAAGAAAACATGATTTGGTTGATGCGATTTTGCATTTATTTTGTCCATCATAAAAAGCCCAATATACGAAACGAATTCTTCACATCAAAACCTCGCTGTGACAGGAATTACTAGATGTATTACAAGCATATAAGCAGTCGCAAATTTAAAAGTGTTATTTTAGCATATCATTGTCCACTAATAGATCCACACACAACAAGTTACTGACAAATGCCGTCGAAAAGTGGCAGCTTGTGACAATAACAGGCACGAGCAGTAGGTGAAATTCAGCATGTCACGTGAGCAGAGTGAGCCGGAAGAAGATAGTGAAGAAAAGAACAACTTAAAAGAGGGGAACCCAGTGAAGGCAGTGAATGTTTATTATTCGACAAAAATAAGATAGAGAGTCTGACATGCAGCTGATGAGAATGCCTGGCTGAAAATGTGGCATTGAGAAAAATATGAAAACTCAGGCTACATATACACAATGCGAATGCAAAGGTGTGTACTTCACAACCGTCCGATACTTTACAACCGTCCGATACTTCACAACCGTCCGAAGTTTCAGCATCTATATAGAACCGTTTTTCGTCGTTTCCGAAGCCTTAGACAAAAAACCGACTGATGCTTTTCGCGCCAATTCAGTCACACAGCAAGGCCCAGGAATGGTCTTAAGATGGTGCATGGTAATTCTGACATGAAAGACAGACGAAAAAGAAAAAAACTGATCAATGTTTGACATGTTGAACAACGATTATCGGAGGATCCTGACTGCCTAGGCATGAGTGCACGGCACAGCAAATTTGCATCATCTTGATAAGCCTTGTGGGAACTTGACAGGACAATCAATTATAGCATGTAATCATAACACATGGATAATTATAGACTTATATAGAAATGATCATTTTCTTAAGACCCAAAAAATAATACACGTGGTTTGCACACTTCTGTGTTCACAAAAGACCTCTTCCCATGGCTACGTCATTTTGTGTTAGGAAACGAAACAGTGTTGCTGTAAAAAACATGTAAGCTTCATTATAAACTGGTATATCACCAAATGGTGGATTCCTTTCTTTGAAAAACAAGGAAGTCAGCCAAATGACACGAAAATACACTGATTCGCCACATTAAACTTTGAATTAAAGAGTTTGCCTCAATCTAAATGACTTTGGCAAAGATTTGAATGAAATTTTGGAAGCAAAATTAGTAACGACTATTTGTGTAAAGCTTAGATTCATTCGTTTAAATAATAACGAAACAACAACGAAATAAAATAGAAAAATGTCAATAAACTCACCGGACAACTTGTTCCCCAGACGCAGTTGCTAAGATACCATGTCCCGACCAGACTATGGTACTTTTTGAGGGCTGACCACTAAGTTTAACCTAAGCATAAAATAAGTTGATACTAAGTCGGTAGAAAGTCGGAAGCAAGTCGTTAGTATGTCGAATGTTAGTTGATAGTAAGTTGTTATAGCAAAAATCATCTATAATTCGATAGAACTTCTTGAAAATAATTAGACAAACAACAGTTTAGAAAAAGCGTTAATTAGGACGAAATTTTCAACAAAATGGCGTCATTTCTAAAATACAGGAAACATGGCATTCAACAGTTTCAATTTTCCGCAAAGAAAAAATGCAAGGGTTATTTCTTGAACAATTTTAACAGCCAGATGTATAAAACATTAAAGAAGAGTTGACAGAATATGCTAATATGTCTCTTTGCATCGGCTTTTAGATTTGATGTATCAATAATAATAATAATGTTGGTGAAGATGATAACAGAGAGTGAATAAAACTTTTCGAGTTCAACAATGAATAAAACTTAGATTGTATTATGACAATGATAAACGCCCTGAACTAACTTAGGCCAATGGCGGCGCCAGCTCTGGGGGGACAAACCAAACAAATTTAAGCCACGCACTTTTAACCACCAGAAAACGCCCTTTTACCAACAGGGAACGCCAATTATATCGGAAGGGAACGCCTATGACGAACTTTTGTTTGAAAATTGGCAGTTTGAAAATCATAGGATTACATCACAAAAAGTACGGTGTCAAAATATTACCCCTCCCCCAACATTTTCTCATCGAATTTAGACGAAATACAAAATCGATTCTGCTGAGAATCGTGGCGCCGCTACTGACTTAGGCTATGTTTAAAATCTTATGCTAGCCTGCCATGCATCTAATACCACACCTTGGTGGATCAACTGACTAATGACAAACCTTGGACAATTCATTGACACCACCATTAGCGTCAATTCTATGTTGCATCAGCATTAACGATTCTGTGACAGAAAGCACAACATCTCGCCCTTCGTAGTAGAACAAAAACTTCACAGGACCATCAGTTGTAAATCGCTCGGAGCAATGACCCTTTTCATCGATTTGATAAACCTTGCCTGCAAGAAAATGCGTTCAAATTGTTGCCATTATCAATTTAATCTTTTCAGTGTTTCAGCGTTTTAATCTTTATTTTATACACATTATATAATATATGCATTTATACATTCAATCTCGGTTTTACTAAGCAGTACTTAACAGGTTTCAGTAATCTTTTTTTAAGGTCACGTAAGTAATATATCTAGATATAAACAAAAGTATATAAACAAATACTATCTGTCTTGAAGTTATATATATTTGTGCATTTTCAAAAGTATTGAAAATGATGCATAGTTTTCCTTTGCAATGGGTTATTCCTCTGCTAAATAGCTAAATAGGTACACAGCAAAAATTCCATTCTGGAGCACAGAATTTTTTATTCTTTGTGACTCTCTTCCTTAAACTCCTTTTTCTTTGTGACTTTGATTGTGAAAAAATGAAGTCAGTATTTCTGAACAGTTTCTTGCTCTTTTGGATATAAATATGCAGTAATGGGAAGAATCTTTATAAAGAATGGAGAATACCTTCCACTGTGCCAAATATTGACTGTATTGTATCTGACGATGCAAAACCAAATTTTCCAGCTGAGTTTGACTTTGACCAAGCAAACATATCAAGAGCTTTTTCATCACCACTCACAGCTGCTTTTGCTGCTGACACAATATCCCTGTAAAATGATGAATAATTGAGCTTTATTGAAAAAGAGACCTGTGGTTGATATAGCTTCAAGGAAGCACATTTTAATATATCATATTAGAAACCTACAAAGATAAGTTTTTTACATGACTTTGACAAAAAGGGGCAAGCAAAAAAGCTTGAAATTGAGTTGTCATTTAACTTCAATTCATATTGAGAAAGTATGATTGTCCACAGAAGCCTCAAGCTCAAAACCATCCAGCAAGTATGGAGTAAATAGTTGACTTATAATAAATAGCAAATTACGATCAACAACTTTTATGCTCAACTTCAGTCAAACAACCAACAAAATTTAAATCTTAGGCCTATTTTTTACTTCAAGCTTCTTGAGTGAAATCGTTATGTACTTTCACTGCGAAGTTTGAAAATAAAAGTAGACAACAAAATATGGTAGATGCCAATTTTTATTCCCTTTCACGATTCTAACCAATAAGAATTTTAAAGGTATTTAGCATTAGATCACCTAGCTTTTAATGACTGCTTCCATTTTTTGGAATTTCCAACAACAAAACTGACTTAGGTACAGTGAAGACCTCTATGGATCGTTTTGATAATAGACAGCTCATTTTAAGGAGTCATTTGACTGAGTGAAACAAATGTTCCTTTAGATGCTGTTTAATGGCTCTGCTGAAGGCCCATAAGCCAAATGATTGTCAGTTTTTGAAGCAGCTGCTTGAATATGGATACCATACAAGAATAATTACTGATTTTTGAAACTTCAGGTCTACTTACATTCCTGATTTGTCAGCTCTGGAATACTGGAAGACAAACTGAGTAACTTTTGAATCAACATCGTGCTTGTAAAGAGGTGATTGTTGTAGTCTTCCTCTCTGATCAATCTTCCAAATATTAACAGTCCCTTTCTGTAAAAATTAGAAGATTTCTTTAATAAAAAGGGCCTTGAATACAGAATCTGCCAAAAAGTTTGAAGTGGTGCAATAATTTTTAATCTAATCCAAACAACCTAAAAATTATCTTGAGTATTCATAACGTGGGTTGCATAACAAACTTCATAAATCACTACTTTCATGAAATCAATCTCTATAAATTGATAAAACCGTAATAGGTAAATGTAAATTATTTTCTATTATGCTTATCCCAAAGTGCATTTTGCCCTGAAATTTCCAACACAGCTACAATTTTGCAAATAAAAGCCTGACTCTACTGGTCTTCTACTGCCTAACACAAAATTTACTGCCCAGCTAAACATGCTGCAATTCACAAGAAAACAGTCAATTGAGCATTAACACTCACAATATCAGCACTTGCTAATCTTGTTCCTGAAGAATTCCAAACTACAGTTGTTACAGCTGCTTTGTGATGAATGCTCGTCTCATGCAACTCATGATCAATCTCATTCCAGATTAAAACTTCTCCATTCTCCCACCCTGTTGCCAATATCTTTCGAGAGGGATGCCATGCCAATGAGTTAGCATGAGTTGATCTCTGAATTGTTGAGTCTTCCAGAAATTCACCCTGAAAAACAAAAAGCTCTAAGTAAAAGATAGTTACAAACATCAATAACAGCAGAGAATATCAAGGATATGTAGAGGTGAGTGCCAAAACATTTTGGGTCTGCATGCTAAACCTAAAATCAAGACGATTCATTGCATGAGTCTCAGTACATAATTGGATCTACTTAGGATGTTAAATCTCTCCAGTCCTCCCACTTCAAGTGTTTGTGGTCTAAGTTGGGGTATAGGGTATGTATGATCCTCCTTTCAGGAGTGGCATCAAGAGATGAAGTGTTGGGGGGAGGTCTCAAGTTCATAGCATTATTTGATTAAAAAACCAACTTTTGAAAACAAACTAAAATGCATCATGAAATGTTATGCCTGTGATTTCATGGGGACTCATTATGTTAGCAATACATTGAAAGGGATGTTTAAAGGTTGTTGGAGGCCCTGAAAGAAGAGGACCCTTTAGATTAGCTTAAAATACATTTCAAAAAATTTCTTGCAGTTATTATCTTGCAATTGTTTTAAATGTTTTACTATATTCTATTACTTTATGCGACCCCGTATACCATGGCTCATTTGTTTGAATTTGAGCAATAAAAGGATTCATTGCACATTCTATTATTCTATTTCTTTTTTCTATTCTTTTATATATTTCTTAAATAGTCTTTTGCAGCCCCCAACACCTCTTAAGCACCACCAATGCTTTTATACCAAAACACTGACTAGTTTGTGTGACAACAAAATGGCACCACCACTGGTTGTAAGATCAAGTGTGTCTTGAGAAGAGGACACTTCTGAAAGTCATGCAATGATAAAGGCCTGAAATCATTTATGAGTTTGGATTTCAAGACAAAATTAAAGACAGTCTGTTGCCTACCTTATCCTATTTCTGCTGGTTGCAATAAAGATACAAAATAACTTTTTATCAAATTCTAAAAAGAACAGCATGGCCATACATGTTAAAACAATCTCAGAGCTATATTTCACCATAAAGAAATCTACATAATTTTCTTTAATCAATTTGATAGGTGACAGATTGCCTTCAATCAACAAAAAATTATTGAAAAATCTGAAGTTGTTGTAAAAGTCTTAATGTGAAAATGATGTGAAGATGCTTAAATTAGGAAGGAATTGTTGCCACAGAACCTGTTTACTTGTATATCTGCTAATAAAAATACTTTAACAGCTGCAATTTTATGTTGGGTTTTGCAAAATTAATTCACCAAAGTCTATACCTTGAAATAAAATGGATCTTTGAATGTATATAACTAACAAATTGTCATAAGATCTTAGCCAACCTTTTCTCCAAACACATCAGAAATTTTATTGAATTGTTTCAGAGTTTGTAAATCTGAAGATTAAGTGAATACTTCCTTGTGCGTTTAAGGCATATATTTAAGGGTCAAAAGTTGTTTTTCATTGTAAATTATACTGTCTACATCTCATTCCCTAGCTCTTATTCACCATTGTGGTGCAAAATTTGAACATTGTATTGCTATAGATTCATGAAATAATGCTGCTAGAACAGCAGAAAATAATCTAGGAATTTTGTTAGTAGAAAAACAAGTGAAAGTAATTTAGTATTATTACCTACTTACACTAGGGTATAACAAACCTATAGCTTATCAAACAAACAAAGAGAACGTCAGCATAAAAACAAAATGATTTTTTCCAGATGACAAGTATTATAGGGAGCCCTACATACAAGAATTTTGTAATTTTCCTGAGTCTGAGTGTTTGCTTTATGTTATTAAAGCAAATAATGTCTTAAAAGATTAATTGTACGAGAAATAAGACATTCTATGGCTGAAAACAAGAATTTAATTACCTCATCTAGGTACAAAGTAACTGAACCTCCAGCATCTGGTTCATTGATCGATGCAACAGCTACAAGTGGGTATTGACAGTGACAAGATATTGTCGTGTGTCTTCCAATATTGGGTGCTTTAATTTGATAGTCAAAGTAAACGGCCATTATTTTTAATCTTTTGGCAAGTTCGATATTTCCAGCTCTCACCCCTCCATTTGTAAATTCAATATTCCTCCAATACTTCCAACGGAAATAATCTCACTTTTGGTTGCCACACTTGTTTGCTGACCAGGAACAGAAAAACTCGCTTGGAAAAAGTTACAATTTCTAAAAGAAGCAAGCGTGGAACCACCAGGATTTTTCTACTCAAACAGGAATAATACAAATATCCATTAAATGACAATAACTTTTCAGCAATCCATGAAATAACTTTTCTGCAATCAAATATGGGCCTAGCAGGTAGGCCTTAATTTCTTATTTACCATTTCAAGTCCCTAGCAACAAACATAACAGGATCGCGAAATGGTTCTCTTTCCTGCTTTCTCTGACAAAATAAGACGAGCTATGGCTTTGTACTCCTTTTGAAAGTCTTTTGTGAGATATGGCGTATTATCGTCGGGTTCAGGGCCAGTTTTTTGCAGAACTTTGCTATCAACGTCCACTTGATGCAAAGGATGTTATTGACGCGCCAACCTTTGAACGAGTGCGCATGCGTCCGTCGACTACATCAAGTTTCTGAGATAGGAATTTTGGATACCTTTTTAAACTTGATACAAGAACATCTGTTTTGGTGAAATTTCAATTGCCCTGGACTAAATGTTTTATGAAGCAGCTAAAGTCATTTATAAAATTTCATAACTTGATGCATCAGACAATGATATACCACCCACCTTCAGGTCCTATTGTACTGACTTAATTTGACAATATCTGCCTATCATCGTGGAATCATAAATAATTTTGAATGTATTACATGACAGTAAATAACAAATCTTTATTTTTTGACCTCTTATAGTTTGTAAATCAAATTCATACTTTAATACTACACAAATTCATGTCAAACAGGAGCAAGTGGCTAGATAGCTCTAATGCGTTTTTCCACTTGTCCTACAGCTTTAATTTTGAAATAATTACTGTTTTAGATAAATATATGTAATTATCTACTTCCTGTTACTTAATCATCTTAAATTTAGCAGTAGCTTATATTTTTCGCTCCTTAATCACATGTAATGAATTGCTGTGAAATTAAATACACTTTTTTTACAAGAACAATTTTATAGGAACACGAGCCTCAAAACTATTCAAAAGTTAAGAACAAATTAAGAACAAGCTGAGGCTGAGCTTCTGCAAAATGCAATTTTGAACGTTTTTTCTCAAAATCAAGGTTTTTTAGCGATGTGTGGGTGCTTTTTCGGTGAATATTCCAATTTGTCAGCAAATTAAGGCTGTTTCACTCACTTTGTTGACAAATGAGGCCTGAACACCATCCTAGAGCGAAAAAGCTAGCACTCGCACTGCTTACACCCTATTAGATTAATAACAAATCAAGAACAATCCAGCCTCAAATTTTCGAGAAAAAAAGAACAGTCAGCTTGAACTCAAATTCACTGGTTCTTATAAGGAAAAGAATACATTAGAATTTGAATATGTTTTTTAGCTGTTGCACTGAAGGTAGAGCTGATGAGAAAGAGCGAATCTTCTGTTTAAAATCAGGAAACTGGCCTGCCAATGCAGACTGCATCAAAGGTGAAAGTGATGTTCCATGGCAGTATGTCAACATCTACATGTCTCCGTCTCGCAGGCCTAATTTGAAAATTTGACTGCTCTGTCAGACAGATTCGTGCGATTTAATTCTTCCATATTCGATCAGAATATCAAGACTGATGAGCGATACTTGTCTCTTGTTTCAGGAGGTCTGATTACATCGTGTTATGGAATAAAATTTTTGGGCTGGAATGGCCCTTTAAGATGATTAAAGAAGAACTGACACGCAAAAATAAGTTTGGCTAAAATGGTAGTTTGTGACAAGCAAATTCTGGGAACGAAAAAATTTTTTAAATCACAGTTACCGTTTTTGAAATACTGGCGTTTTAAGTTGAGAAACGACAATTGTGCCGACAACTTGAGACTCGAGGCGAAAATCGTCACGAGTGGGCGATCATCTTTGACGTCACAAGTGACATGTTCTCAGCACGTATTGTGTTTCTCTATAGAAACCTTCAACAAAATGCTGCGGACAAATGTTTATTTTGTGCATGTGAAAGGAGCAAATCTTGCATTTTTGACACGTAATTGACTTTTTCAATGGTTTGGGACTCTGAATCGGAGTTCTACTACACTGATTTCGAAACAAATGGAGAATTTCAGCCGTCTGAGTTTTTGCTACCAGCCAGCGCTGCTGCTTGGGCAGACAGTCGTCCCATGGCTCAACAGTGACGATGTTATGAACAAAGAACAGACTGGAAGTACAAACTGATATGGAGTTTCTATTAAAAACAATGCTATTGCTACAACCTAAATGAGATCAGGTATCGTAAAACTAGAATTTCATTTCAGATTGAGGCGTCTTTGTCCAGGCTGCTTTGTCTGTATGGCCTAATTCGCTGTAATGCCTATGATGCCCTAAACGGAACTGCAAATTATTCATTATTAATGTAACATTCTATGATTGTTTTTCTATGTTTTAAACGTATTAACTGTATAGTGATATTAAATAGTAAAGGCGGGTTAAAAGTCGACTTGTGCGGATTATATGTCATTTTTACCGGGCGTGAAGAGTTTCGGGAACTGATAAGTTACCTGACAGTCAAAAAATCTGGAATTACGAAATAGGCTCTTAGCTCTTCGTCAAAGAACTTGATTCCTTAGTCGAAGAAAATGCTATTTAGCTGTCATAGGAATATCAACTGGCGCATTATCTTCTTTTGCAAACAATTTTGACTTGGGTGGGGGATGGTCTTTTTGCAAGACTAGGTTATTCCCTAGTATCTCAACCTCTGTTAAAATACAATAATCAAGTTCAGTGAAATTATTATTTAGTCACATTCGCAGCTCCCATCAACCAAGGTTTTTTCTTGAATTCATATTTCTGCACTCAAAGCAGGTTGCAGGATCGCTTTTACCGCCGTTTCCACTTGATTTCATTTGTCTTTTGGCTACTGCTTCAACCCCCCTCCCTCATGTTGCGATTTTATTTGTAATTATAAAAAAAACTTTGAAGAAACGGTATCAGTTTTCAAGCTTAGTGGTTCTTTCAATGTTTCAAAGCATGATGGTTCGAAGATATCATGGCATAAAAATAAATTTTATGTGGATATTGGCGTCCTGGCAGACATGTAGCTAGGATTTTCTAGCTTCTCTATACTTATAAATGAAATGCCTGACAATTTTTTGTCTTTTCACCGCGGACTATTTTCAATAAAACATTAAACTTCATTTGTACTTTCACCGTTGCGGTGAAAGCCTTTACAACGGCATTGTTAACATGTCACTTGTGACGTCAACCGAGAATTTTAACAACTCCTGGCGATAATCCTGTTTCCGCTTCGGGAAATTCCCGAGTCCTGGCTGTGACGTAATTGACGGATAAAAGTGCAAATATCAGAAAAACGGCTAATCTAAGAAGAAAACTTTTTCCAGATTTAATATCAGCGACAAATTTTGCATCGAATAAGCCAGTTATTTTTGCGTTTCAGTTCTCCTTTAAGTAACAGGAAGTAGATATTTACATATATTTATCTACAACAGTAATTATTACAAAATAAAGCTGTAGGATAAATGGAAAAACGCAGTAGAGCTATCTAGCCACTTGCTCCTGTTTGACATGAATTTGTGTAGTATTAAAGTATGAATTTGATTTGCAAACTATAAGAGGTCAAAAAATAAAGATTTGTTATTTACTGTCATGTAATACATTCAAAATTATTTATGATTTTATAATTATAATGATAGACAGATATTGTCAAATTAAATCAGTACAATAGGATAAAACGGAAAAGAACAAACAAAAGAATAATAGTATATGCGTAAGGATGTGGATGTGACGTAAGAGTTTATATAATTGAGAGATGGCTAAGTAGCGTTGCAACCTAATGGTGAATAACATTTTAGTTTTTATTTCTTTCATTTCAAGGGGTAAGACGTTCAAAATTTTTAAGCCCTGAAAGATTAACCACTTCCTTTTAAATTCAGTTGATACATAGCATAAATTTTTTATTGTAATTGTTTTTTATTGATAGATAATTTGATATCAAAATTAGTTTTCTTTTGTTTAAGGATGTATTATAGGAAAGTTAGTTTTGGAAACATTAAGTGATAGTTTATTTGCAAGGAGCCAATTTGAAACATTTAACAACTTTCTATTAACCACAGAATCGAGATGTTTCAACTTCTTATTCCTAAAGACTAAGCTCCCATCATCAGCAAACAGATGGAAGTCAGGTAAGGCTGAAATTAGGTGGATATCATTTATGTAAAGTAAAAATAAAAAGGGGCCTAAAACACTACCTTGTGGAACCCCACAATTTACACTTCGAGTTTCAAATTGGATACCGCAAATTTCGACAGACTGTCGGAAAGATAAGATTTGAACCAATTTAATGTTATTCCTTTGACACCATAATGTTCTAGTTTGTCTAAAAGGATGGAATGATTTACAGTATCAAATGCTTTGGAAAAGTCCAAAGAAGTACGGCATGAGAAAAGTCCTTTTTCATTGTTATCTATCAAGGATGTGTAAAGGTTAAGTATGGCTAGGGAGTTATTTTCATTTTTTCGAAAGCCAAACTGATGTTTGTAAATAATTATATATTGTTTAGGAATACAACCAGGCATCTGTGAACAATTTTTTCAAGAATTTTACTGAAAATAAGCAGAATGTTTTGCTTTGGGAGAAAAATCAGATTAAGGAAAAATTTTAGTCTTGATGAAGGTTGAGCCTGGCATAATTCTAAAATTATTCTTAAATTTTAGCAATTTTGAGCCTCAATATTCTTATAGACTTCATTCTTATAAAAAAGTGTGTACGATCTATCGTTCGTCCTTTTGTCCACGATGTGACTCCATAGATGATAGGTTGGCAAAGCGGGTCAGGATCTATTGGGGGAGGTGATTGCTAGAAGATATGTAGCAGTGATTGACCAGTAGTAACGCCCCTGAAAAGCTGGAATGTCACGCTTTTCGTGAAAATTAAGGCAGTAAAAAAATTTCATGCCGAAAACGTTTTTCGCGAACATGAAACGGTGCGACGATTGCTCTTCCTCGACGTTTCTTAAGGTAAATTGCAGCTCTAGTGCGATTTTCTGGATGCGATTGCGCTGACCTACAAATCTGGTTGCTGATGTTAAGAAAAACGCTCAAAAGCATGACGGGTAACATCCATATATTGTCCAACATATCCCCCCTAACCTCACTCCATCATTCCAAGTTGAGGTATAAGTGGTTAAAAATATGATATATCAACATTTAACTTAGCGAGGGGCGCAAAATCTCAACACCCGACTGTCCGTAGTTGTAAAATCCGACGAGAATCAGGTATGCTTAATGAATTTTTGAAAAAAAATTATATCACTTTAGGCGTGCCTGTCGATGAAATATGAACTGTCAAGGAATCTGTAGGATTGAACAGCAATACAGCAAGATTTTCGGAATTGGGGGGGGGGGGGGGGGTCATGCAGTGATACATTCGTATCACAAATTCGTATGTTAACACACTGGGTAAAAGAAGCAGAATCCTCCTTTATGCGTTGTTTCCTTCCCTCCTGCTCCGAAAACCCTTTAGAATACAAAGAGATGACTGTATCAACAGCACAGTTACATAATACTCTGATAAAATTCAATGTGCACATAATCATTTAACTGCGTACACGTGTTTCCTTTACGAAATCGCTACAGAAATAATTTCAAGTCTTTCTAAAACTAAGCCTCGTGCCGAACACAAGAAGAAGTGGAACAGCTGGGCATTTCCTGCATTCCGCGCAATTTTAGAAATAAACCGCGCGGCTCCGACAATCCAATGAAAGCAGAATTGACAGCGACCTCTCACGAAACTATACAACAGATTTTTATCGATATCAATATTATATTATAGGAAACAAAGTTTAGGTACAAAAAATCTGGTCATTCTATTATCGTAAATATAGTAAACTAAACATTTCTCGGACACCCTGATATTTATTTGGCATCCATCTTCAAAGTCCACATTACGATGAGCAATACAAGGATCTTGATTAAAAGTATGTCCACATAACAGATTTACAGACTTGCTTACAGTAAGCACTCAACAAAACGTATTGCTCCTCTGTACAGTTGAAAATAACAGGACATGAACGTCTTGGAACGTCCATAAAGATCCTCAAATCCAGGTTTGTATCATACATTTGAGTAAATTCTGACAGCAATCTATTGTGAAAGGGCTCCTTAAAAATTAACCTCCCACGGGAGCAGTACTGTATTGCGACCATGAATAAATCATGGAATTCTAGTTGGGATTTAAAAACATAAATAAAAGCGTCTCTAGATTAATTTCATTACACATGTACATAAATGCTACGAAAGAAACCCCCTGATACAACTGCAATGCTAACCAGTGTATCAAAAGTTATGAAAAAGGTGAAAGGGGGAAACGTGCCATATTTCAAAGATCCAATTGTTGAGAGAATTTATCAAGGAATTTACAAGTACCTACAAACATTGTACAATTTTGCAGTACAAACCAGAGAAAATTTACTACAAGAAATGCTGCTGGATAATTAAAAACGTTTTTCTACTTCAATCAAAAAGGCCAAGGTGGGATGAACGGTTGCTGTAAGGAGGTTGTGAGATTTTGTAGTATTGTGAGACTCGTTTTTAGTAGATGATACAGATGCACCGACTATCTGCATAACAGAAAAAATGTCGGGCGGGATATTTCTTTCTACTTTATGGCTGTTTATGATGCCCTTAGCATGAGTTATGACAGCTTCGACCGGTCGTTTGGGGGGAGGGGGGGGGGGAGATCCAGAACTCGGATAGTTCTGATCGTAAAAAGAATAGTTATGGTATGTAAAAATTTTACTTACAACGAACAATTATAGGAAGGGAGCGTAGATTTAAGCAGCACACGGGTTCGGTAGTTACACCGTAAAAAATTTCATCATAAAAATGACGCGATTTCTGTAAGAATATCTCTCGAGTGTTCACTGTAAGCTGAAACGTACTCTAAAGCAACTTTGGGTCACATCTCTTCAACAAATCTCTCTAGTAAATCTTCGGGCGTCAGACGCGCCATATTAGAATCCGTATCGTCCGAATTAGAGTGCGGTATGCTAGTATCGACTTGACTGGGTAACGTTGGCATAGATCGAACTTGGTTCGTGCTACTCAGCATCAGTGCCGAGTCTGTGGCTGATGTCTGGTCCACTGGGTTTACGTGTGCTGGCGAAGGTGTGTGGTGTGATTGTGTCGAGGGATGGTGTGGCGAAGCGACAGAATTCGTTTGCGGCGACATGACAGGACGTGGTGATGCGGTCGGAATATTTGACGGAGATACAGTCGGTCGTGGGGAACGATTAGGTAACTGTCCTGTTAAATGACTGGGTAATTGACCTGGCATCTGACCAGGTACTGGTCCAGCCATTTGTTGCGTGTTCATTTGAGAAGGCATTTGGCCGGTCATGTGGTTGCCCATTGGGCCAGGCATTTGGTTTGGCATGTTCCCCTGCATTTGACCTAGCTGTTGTGACATTTGAGGTATCATATTCTGTGGAGGAGGCATCATTTGTGGTGGGATGTTAGGGTTGTTTCTGCCAACGAACATTTGAGATTGTTGACTGGATGGGGGCATCATGTTTGTCGCTGGTGGTGGCATTTCCTGGGACATGGAAAGCTGGCGCTGTAAAAGATGATGTCGTTGTGCAAGTTGCTGGTTGTGTTGATTTCGCTGGTTTTGTAGCAGCTGCTGATGACGTAATAATTGCTGGATTTTCAACTGCTCTTGGATATTTCCTTGCAACGGGTGTGGTGGTTGCATGGCTTGTTGATTCATTGCCATATTCACGCCATTATTAAGCATGGCTGCTTGTTGACGTTGCTGCTGAAGGAAGGCCTGCTGCTGCTGTTGTTGTTGCAGCTGTTGTTGTTGCTGTTGTTGCTGTTGCGACTGCTTGTGCCTCATGTAGAGTGCCATTAACTGAGTGTTCGATTTGAGGAGTTCAAATGCTTGTTGTGGTTTATTTTTCAATGTCTCAATAAGCTGCTGAATCGCCTGACGGGGGCTCTGCTGCTGCTGCTGTGTTGACGGCTGCATCTGCTGTATCCCACTCATTGTCTGCGCAGGAGGGCCTTGCATCATCATTGGGCCTTGTTGTGACATCATCATTGGCATCTGAGACTGCATCTGCGATGATAGTTGTTGATTCTGTGCTTGCATTTGTGCCTGTGCCTGTGCCTGAGCCTGTGCTTGTGCCTGCGCTTGAGCTTGGGCCTGGGCTTGAGCCTGGGCTTGCTGTTGCGCTTGTTGCTGGGCCTGTTGCTGTGCTTGCTGTTGTTGCTGATGCATCATCGCCCGTAACCGATCCAAAACCGGCGGTTGTTGATTGTTTTGTGTGTTAACCATACCCATTCCTTGAGGTAGCTGGCCTTGTTGACTGAAGGCTTGCTGTGGATTTGTTCTGAAACCTTGAGACACCTGCATTGATTGCAAGGCGTTCTGATGTATACTTTGCTGTCCCTGCCGAGCAGCTAATGCCGATATCTCTACAGCTGCTTCCATTGCACCTCTGGGTGGCACTGGCACCTGCGGTTGCATCGGAATCAAATTCTGAATTTGTTTTTGTGGGGGATGAGCAGTGTGTGCTGGCATGGGCTGCATTGCATGGTGCTGAACGGGCACTGGCGGTGGAGCAGGAGGGGGTGGTTGCTGTTTCCTTTGGGCCATAGCAGCCATACGTCTCCGAATCATCTGTGTCTCTTGTAACTGTTGCTGAAGTTGTTGGTGTCGTAACTTTTGCTTTATATGCAAGCAATAGGGTACACGACAATCGTTCTTTGGACAAGTCTTGGCGTGAAAACAACACAAGGCAACAAGCTGCTTGCATATAGGACAACCAACTCCAGTCTTTCTTTTACATTGGCTGGCGTGGAAAACAACCTTTTTCATTTTTAAGCATATCTGCAATTGGCAGTTAACATCTTCACAATAGGTAGAATGCTCTAGCGACTGGATGCACCTCTGGATGGACTGGTGTCGCTGCTCCTGCTCAGTCACTTTGCTTTTGTTTGCATTCAGCTCAGGGACATCAAGATCCAAACCAAGCTTCTCCATTTTATGCTCATGGCCTTTCTCATTAAAGCAGGGAACACAGAGATCGAAGTCCTTAAATCGAAAAAACATCTATAAGCAGGCAAAGAACACCGAAAAAGTCTTTTGACATATGAATAAATCTATTACAACAAGTATTGAAAACAAGAAAAGGCAAAAGTAGAGCATAAATAAAAAAAGGCAAATGTTCTGGACAATACGAAAGCTCATGTCATGCGGAGGCGGAATTTAGAAGCCCTGAGCATATTGTTTGAATTCGATGCGACAGCAGATCCACTTACGTAGCTAGGTCTAAACTGGCATTGAAACTATAAAATATTATTTTCTATCTTACATGTACCTTGTTTTGAGGGAGATGGAAACTTAGACAATAGACCTATAGACATTATCTTAAGATTGCAAAAGAGTTTCAAAAGGCAGCATTCACAATGGGAAAGCAATTGCATAAACCCCATCTTCGTTGAACAATTAACAAGCTTTGTTTGCAGCCAACCTGTAGCAGTAAATACTTCAAATAACAGCACAGACATACCTCGCACTCAGTACAATGAAACCTCGTCTCGACGTGCCGTTTACAAATGTTACAAGTGTAGACGAATCTCTCGGTTCCCTGGTTGTGAAGTTCTACAAGCATTGCCATGGTGGAGAATTTCGCCCTTCTCAAGCTTGAAAATTCCCAATGTTTTTCTCTGGCCAGTGTTAGAAAAGCATCCCTACCATCCATCAAATCACAAGACATCAACGGATCAGCGTCCTCGATTTTTCCAAGCGTTGCTTCTTTTTCGGGTGAGTGAAACTGGATCACGAAAAATACCTGTAATGAGAAAGGCGGTTTTAAAAGAAGAAAAAAGTTAGGATGACTAAGAAAGACACGGCGAATTATAGGACATGGATTATGAAGGCGAGATAATTGCATTCTTTACCAAATCCGACAGCCTACTTGGGGGTGAGAAAGATTTTGATATTGGAAGGGGCTAATTCAAAATTCAATGCTAGAGATGATGGTTGGGGGGGGGGGTGGATTGTTACGGAATTCTTCTAAATCAAAAATGGGAAGCTGAAAAAGTATCTTTAGTATGTTACCTCCTTATACTTTTCCATTGTCAAAAACAGACGCTGCGATAGATCACAGTCACCCATTTGCAAAACTGACGATTTCTTGTTATTCTTTCTTATTGCATTCTTGTTCTTGTTTGCTTTTTTGTTAGCTCGCTTGTTATTTCCTTTGTTTTTGTTCCCTCTTGCTAGTGCCTGAAATGAAAAATTGCGATTACAATCATTAAAAAATCCTATATAAAAAACACTACAAGTGAATATGTACAATCAGGAGGTGGCACTGTACGGAGCCTTTGGAAAATTTCATTTAGATGCCCCAAAGTTCCTTTTTGCTGCGAATCTTAATAAAATTGCGCTTCAGCCGGGATACTAATCATATAAGTTTATCACCGAACAACAGTTACAGAAAAAGCATGTTTCAGCAACAAAACGAGTAAGTATGGCAAAAGTTGTTTCCTATGACAATAAGATACTCTACGGCAAACAACAACCAGTTATCCCTGTACTTATGTCAATAATTTCGCAACCGTAAAAAGGTAATAAAAGATAAAAGCTTCAGATAGCAATTTGAATGCAGTTGTGAGGTACTTATGTGGCTTAAGCCAGCTGTCAATCAAAGTTACCCAATCAATAGGCCTGTGAGTGGAATCGTGCTCACTGATTGGCCAATTGTTTTAACGCATAATGAGAGCTTTGTCAATCAAGCATCTGATAGCGCGAGGCCGTAGGTGAGAATAAACAAACAAATAATTCTACAACGACTTGTTTGTCCAGATTTGTGATTGAAGATGGTGTCATGGATTACTTCAGGCCGCATTAAAGATTTCGCCATTGATCATTTCATACACTGCTAAAATGCCGATTTATAGAATACCTCCAGTATCTCAGGATGATTGAAGATAAAAAGTACAAACAACTATTTGGCATTAAATGTTTATAATATATACATTGAATTAGCACGTTGTTTAGTGAGGTCCATCATTGTAAAGTTACGCCAACTCCCCTCTTTGAGACTTGGGTGCTTCGAGACTGTCTTCAAAGAACAGAAGAGCCTGGAAATACCCCCAGGCGACCCAAGGCCTAGTTGCAGTCTTAGAAATTACAAATACCCATTTGACACTAATCAACGGGTTGGTGTAACAACTGAGAAACCCTAGGAAAAATTCAACTATGTGGTACCAGAGCATACCTCGTCTTCAGGCTCTTCACTGGCAGCAGATGCCGCTTGGGACGCTTCTGTTTTCCGTCGTTCCTCTTCCTCTTGGTCCAGCTCTCGGATGCTGTCCTCGAGAGCATTCGGCCAAAAGTCACCATCAAAATAGGGTAGTTCTGTGGCGCTCCGTAAACCATCATCGCTGGCTTGTTTTAAGATATCCTAATAAAAGAAGGTGGTTAAATGAAACTAAGGCAATATACTTGATAGACAATCCAGTGTTCTCTTGACACCCCTTTCAAAAATGTTGACTTTTTTCCTTCCTCCGTTTTGCCTGTTTTCTTCTTCCTTTTTTTCAATATCCTCACTTTTCCAACAAAATTAAAGAATCTTAGCTATCCTGTAGAGATCATTTTTGAAACTGAATTGCACAGGGGGTTATGCAAAAATAGGTTTGCTTAAAGAAAACTTTATTAGGAAACTTACTTCTAAAGTCATAGAGGCAAATATTATCTAAAAAGACCTTCAATATAAGAAACAATCTTCAAAAAGGTTTTTAAAAAAACAAACTAATTACAACCATAAACTTACCTTGTACCCATACACAACTCCATCTTCGATGGCCTTATCCAGCATTTTCCTGTACCATTCTACAAGTCGTTTGTGTTTTGGTATCTTCTGCTCCGGGGGATGACAGTGGAAAATGTAGTCGTCTCCTTCGCTCGGAGGACAGGACCAAATATGCCCGTGAACATACCTGCAAGCATACACCCTTATAATATAGACAAACTGAACAAATAACCTACAGACATAAATGGTATTTACAAAACTTCTAAAAGTTAATGAAATATAAACTTAACTAGTTTCAGTATTACCATGACATCTGAATATCCTATTAAGGCAATTTACTTTTCTATCCAAGCTTCAAGAATTCTATTTTGATATTACCCTGTTAATATCACTTAATAAGTAAAATATAAATCAAATCACTTTGCAATAATGAATAAGTGGATAGCGAAAAGTGAACTTGCTGCTTTCTTACCCTTGGTTTCTGCAATGCTCGAAATATCCAATGAGAATTTCATGGTACACACTGGTTCTTAGGTGGCGAGGTCGGAAAAAGTGCACACTATCAAGGTACGATAAGTATATTCGCCTGCAAGCAATTTTGAGCAGATTAATAATTTATATGGATAACAAAAGTGGTTAAAAATAGAGTCAATGAAAAAGGTTATTTCTCTTTCTGAAGACAGATATTTAACAATCCTATTCAATAAGGGCAAGTTTTCTGTGTGAGACTCTATCATTGCTAGAGAGTCTTCTCGCAATTCTAGGCAATTTGACAGCCATCCTGACAAGGAAGCACGATCAGATGTTTTCATACAGTACAGCTAGCAACTTATCGACGTAGAGAAAGTTCATACAGTTTCATTTTGACAACCTTTCTGTCAAATGTATTTCACATTCTAAGTAAAATCCAACCAAGAGAAACTGCTTTCTTTGTGGGGTATGCTTCTTAAAAGCAAAATGTCTTACTGGGCTAGTCTAAGAACGAAAAAACAAGTTTTGAATTTACTTGGAATTAGGTTGCGGACAGTCATCACCATATTCTTGTACGTGCATGCCAAAGAAGCAGACTTCAACGTTGTCGATTTCTTCAAATGCAAAAACACACCGCGCTCTGTAGGGAAAGCTGTTTGGGAATTCATCATCACTTTCAAACCTGTCAAAAGAAGAAAAATTAGTTCCATTATTCCTCCATCTTTAATTTGGTTCCCGAAATTTGCCCCATTGTTCTAAACTGCCTGAGTTTTGTAGGGCATTTATCGAAATCCCCAAGAATGATTTCAACACAACAGAAAACCATAACTCTCATTTTCATAACCTTCTTTTATCCATTATCTCTTGGGTTTCTTCCTTAAAATTTCATAGTTCCATATTTTAGGTACATTTCGCTTACTTATCTAGATTTTAGGGTCTTTCATTAAGTTTATTTCAAAAGAAATTTCTCTGAACCTCTAATAAATCTGATATGTAGCCAGCCACGTGTTCCTAAAGGTCTTTCCGCAGCGTAGGCATTTCAAAACATTGCCTTAAATTCCCAATTCTTCCTCTCACGACGCCCTCGAAGATTTCACAAAAAGAGTATGAATGGAACAAAATTAGTTAAGTGTTTACATATATTTTCTATCCGGATGGTTTTAAAACACCTTTCTGATGTTTGTGACAACATACCTGGCTTTCATTCCTGGTTTTACTTCAACGGCCTTGTCCACACTGCTAACTATCCGGATCGTTACGTAGCCGGCTTCGGAATCTTGAGTTTTCAAAAATTCATTTACTCTACCCTCTATTAAACGCCCAAGAGTTGACTGTGGAAGCCCTGTGGAGAAAAAAGCAATTTTCAACCTCAGTTCCTCTTAGTCTAAAATTGTTGTCCATAAGTTGGTTTGGTGTGTTAATCGAGGAATATATTACGGATGAAATAAATGATAAATTAAAAAGTAGACAAAAGGGACTCACGTCTCGATGTGAACTTGTTTTCTTTCCGAGGTTCTCCTTTTCGTTTTAAGCAATTATCGCATTCAAATCTAAAAGAAAATGGAAAATTTCCAATATTCCGAAACCAGACCATCAAAAAGACATAAACCAAAATAAACCAGCAAGCTTACGAGCTGAAACCAAAAACTAACCAACTGATGTTCTATGATTTAAAAAATTGACGTCACGGAAACGAATTCCCGATTACGAAAATTTCAACGTCAAAATATAAACAATTTAAGTAGAGAAACTGAAAGTAAACAAGAGAGAAGTTTGCTTTTCTGGTAATGTAGTTCAAAGAACCATGCATTGGAGTTTGTGGTTGGAGTAAAAATCTACCAAGTCAAAAGAACGTTTAAAGTAAGTCAGCTAGGATAAACTGTTGTTAAGGGCGGTAGCAAATGGCAAAAAGCTAGTTAACACAGAGTGACAACAGTAACAAACGAGTTGAATGCAGAAATGCACAGGTTCCTTGTTGTCAAGAGACAGAATAAACAGAGAAAAATAGCAACGCTTTTAAGAGTCCTAACAAGTCAAACGGTCAGAGACTATAATAAAGGAAAAATCCCTAGAAAAAAGCGCTGAAGATGAGTTCAGATGTACTTACCCAGTACCCCAAATAAAATCTAAGTGTAAAACACAAATCTGGTGGAGCTTTCGGCCACAGTCAATACACTCGACAAATCTAGAGGAAAAATCGAAAATAGCATAATTGGCACGTGTAATGCAGCTTGGTGGGATTCAGTTAGGTCTAGGGAACAATAATATTTAACTAGACATATATTTAGGGGTTAGAAACACCAAAGGTAGTTCCCTTTATTTCTTCTATGCTTACATTTACTTCAATCATCTGTCTCAAATGTTTCATTGGATTGCACATTAAAGCTGCGATATGGCTCAATTTCAAACGAGTCTATCGCAAATGGTCTACATTATTCTCTCCAATTTCTTCATAAATCTTTGTACAAAAATTAGGACACATCAAGTAAGCAAATTTAAGGGATACTGTGATTTTCACAAAACTCCTTTTTTGTTGTGTTTTCATTTACCTTATCGTATTTAATATAATTAATAACAGTTTAATAATGACTTGTGTGAACAGGGTTTCTATAACGGGATTTTTATGAAAAGAAAACCAATCGAATCGCTAGTAAATACTATGCACCTTCAGATTCACTAGAATTTTAGAGCTAAAACAGTCTCAGTTATTGAAAATTAATTTCAAAAGAACTTCATAGCTCTTTCCTTTAAGAAATTCACCAATCATGGCCTACTTGCTAAATCTTGATTATGACGAATCAATGAAATCATCCACCAATTAACTTTTCCTCTATACTTCAGTTAAGATTTCATACTTTAATTACTTTTTGCCTAATGTTTTAATCCGTTTTCCTTTCATTACACTTAATACATATTTAAAGACAAGCGTCGTATTTTCTGATAACCATGCAATAAAGTTGAATCAAAACCAAAAATACGGAAAGTCTATACTTACGGCTCTTGTTCCAAATGATCATTTTTCAGTTTTTCAAACTGCGACTTGGATATCTCTTGCATAATACCATTTTCATCTCCAATACTTATTTTATCACTTTCAAATTCAGCAAAGCACTTTTCACAATAGTGGTATTTACTTTGATAACTATAATATGTTGCATCTCTCGGTATCTGACAAAGGTGTTTCCCGTAACAGTAGAGAACTTGCGGACTGAACACATGCTAAAAAAATAATGGCAATGATAACGAGAATCCCGTAAACGTGCAAAAGTGTTACGTCAGTAAATGATAGCTTTATTTGCATGCGAAAATATAAGTTGAACCATCACAAGTAGATATTGAAAGCAGCTCTTTCTGGGAAAACATAAGATTTTATTTGTATCGGTCCATTATTGCACCAATTTGAACCTCTGTACTTGACTGGCTATTTGTGCTTTGAAAAATCAATATTGGCCAATCAAATGCCTTGTGGATGACACACAGCAACAGGTGCATTCAGCAAATTAGATGTGTGGATAGAAAATTTATTTAAAAGATGTATGAAACAGAAATTTATAAGGGAATTTCAAAGCATGACAAAGAATGTCCCAGAAAATTCAAATTTAAATATTGGAGTCATAAGATACTGACATACCATCTATTGAAAATGTATCAATTATAGTTAACAAACCTTCCTGCCACAACAATACCCTAGTTTCTTCATCACTTCATCAATGTCAGTTTCAAATATTTCAGAGAGCTGAAAAACAATTCAATGCAATTAGACATTTGTTAAGAATAAGAACAATAAAACACAATTGAAAGATAGGTTTAACAAAACTGATTCCATTTATCGAAGAAAGAAAACAGCTGACTCCCGTTAAGTCGTACCGGTGATAACTCAGGCCACCATTAATTCCGACTGATTATTCATTCTCACTGGGTTTTCATACCCATCCATTCAAGTCAAAAGTCGTACCCCAGATTAGTCGGACATTCACTAAGTCAAACCACTTCCTTACCCCCCCTCCCTCCCTGAAGTTCCGATAGAGGGGGGTTATTTAACTGTAGAATATTAGGCGTTTTTCCATTATTGATTGAAGACTAATCTTTGCAGATACTTAACCTATTTCCAAATGGGGAAAGTATAATCATGTAGAATATTTCTGTAAAAACTAAACTAGCTACCTTTGAGCAATATTTGTAAACCCTTGAGGTCTTCCGGTTGTAGAGCCAAGCATTGTCAAACATAAGTCTCATATCATCACTGAACTACAAAATTAAAAAATACAGAATTTTAAGCGTTATTATTACGAAAGCAACAGAAAAACATGAGAGAACTGTGCAAGAGGAAACACTTTATGTGTAACTAAATAAAAATATAACAAACACTGGTCTGTTATCAAACAATTATTCAAGTTAACAATAAAAAACGAAAATTGGAGAACGGAAATGGGACACATCCAATCATATCATGTAGAATCGTTTGATAGCGTAAGAATTTTTTTTCAAACTCCTCATCTGTTCTTGCATTCCCTTGATAAAGAAATTATTAGGGTGAAACAAGAATATTTTTGAAATTTGTAAACAACAAAAATCGATACGAAGACACACAATGTTATTCTTCCAGATAATTACTTGTTTTCTCAACATACAAGAACTTGATATGGAAGGAAGCAAACAAAAAAAGTAACGTCTTACCTCCCAAGGATTCTTGTAATCTCCTTCTTCTAGTTTGGAACGAATCAGTGACAGGTCCATTGGGCGTTTCACGATCGTAAAGTAATCCTGTAGAGAGGATTAAGTTATAAAAAATCATGAAGGCAAAGCGCGTGACGGTATGTCTCCCAGCCAGCTTTCTCTCCAGTTGAAGAAAAAGGTGGATGAAACAGGTCGAATAATTGCAAAAGAAAATCTTCGACTGGAGAGTCAGGACAGTAAAGGTCTAACTCTAGAGGGCACTGACTGCATGCTAGCATCATAAACTACAAAACCTAATTAGCATCTTCTAGCACATCGGCTGATAATTTACTGACAAAATATAGAGATATAAAATAAGTTTGTTTATGCTTTGGCCTGGCTGTAGGGAACTTCAATACAAAACTGGATGTCTAATTACAATCTGCAATTACCTAACCGTCAACAAAGAAGCCTATTTTTCCTGTTTATCTCAAGTATCAGAACGACAAAGGTATGTACAATAGTTAAAAGGGGGTAGGTAAAACTATACTCACAGGTATTCCCAGAGCATCTGGGTCGACAGCCTGCCGAAATGGAAACGACTCTGGATCTGCAGAATGTACCTTCTCAAAAACTGGAAGAAGAGCTTCAAGCAGTTCCTCTTTCGTGAAATCTACAATGGGGGAAACATTTAATTACAATTAAAAAGCAAGATCAATATAACTAAATACAGCCGTACATAAAATAACTGATACTGCCTTCCACTACCTCGCTGATTCTTCTTCTGCAAACTTTCTAGATTTTAGAGACATTCTGAAGAAAAACCTGATGCAATACAGAAAATAAAAACCTAAGTGCTGCAAAAATAATAAAGATACACGAATTCATTTGTACCTTTTTTAAACGGGAATTTTTTGTCACAGGTTCCTGGTTCTGTCTTTTCTTCCTTCTTGACAACAGGTCCTGATCCCTTGCTTGAATTAGCCATGCTTGATGGTGGGGACGTCCGATTGGCAGGCGAGGAGGGAGGCTCACTCTTAATTGGCTTTGGGGTGGGGCTGCGGCTTTTTGGGATAGAGCCTGTCTGCATCTTTTCATTTTGGCTCGGCGATTTGGATCCAGCAACATGCTACGAGGAAAAGTGAGAAACGGTAATTCAATCATGTCTTTGTGCCTTTAAAAAAGCTAGGAAGTGAAACACACAAGTAAATGGCACTTACTCATTTTCTTATAACTCCTGAAGCCCTCTGAAAATGTTTAAAATGACTTCCAGCAATTCTAAATACAGCTAAAACAATATTTGCTTACAAAGGCAATTACTGATCTATGATTCTCTGGAAAAGCAAATTGGTAATTTTCCAAACGTACAAACAATCGTACCAAGTTATACATGACCAGAAACAACAACATTCCTATCCCTTTGAGAAAAGTTAGTAGAATAAACTTTAGGTTAACAATGTACCTGCATATGATTTGGTTTTTCATCCTTGATAGCTTGGTTCTGGTGGTCATTTTTTGATGACGTCATAGTTGCCATCTTCACATCTTCAGGTTCTCTCATTTCTGTTTTGATTCCACTGCGGAAGTTTTGATGTTGTTGTTGCGTTTGTGGCGGCTGTGGTCCTTTGCCTGCCTGGCTGAACTGCGGAGGGGTTGGTACGCTTCTAGGAGGTGACGGCTTCATGTCGATATCTTTTGCTTCGCTTGTACGGTTGAGGCTAGGAGCCACATTTGGGGATTGTCGTCCCATCGGTGATCTTGCCTGTAGCTGATTTGTGACCGACGCAACAGACATTTGCACCTGGTTCAGTTGGGTCATTTGTGCTTGGCTAATCTGCAGGTCTAAAGACCGGGTTTCAAGGGGGCTTTGATTCTGGTTTTGTATGTGATTCTGCATATGCACGGAAGGACTTGCAGTGCTCGCTGCCAAAGCATTGACTGATTCACGCAAAGCATTTGCCCTGTCAAGTTCAGCTTTGGTGAGGCTCAACTGCTGGGCGTGATTCATTTGTTGTTGTTGCGGCACCTGCTGTTGAGATTGTTGCTGTTGCGGCGAATTCATACTCATCATTTGCGTTTGTTGTGACTGTGGTTGTTGGGGAAGCTGGGACATTTTCATTGGTGATGGCGTCTGCCGATTCATCATTGGGAGGGGAGAGTTATTCACAGGCGGCCTTATCATCTTGTTATTTGGCTGACCTGAAATGAAACCAGTTTACCTATAAAATTGTTGAAGAAATGCAACAGCATATACTTTGTTGAGGGAATCTCAAACTTACTTGCGATCTAATGCTGATTGACATGAAGTAAGACAAAGATAACAAGGTTTGGAAACTGGAAATCAATGAGGTGAAACCTACCCTGCACCACACTTCTCTGTTCCAAGAGTCGCAGTTGTCGTTTTTCTTCCAGCTCTTTCTGGATTTTGTATATCTTCTCCGCCAACAGATGATAATACTCATCCTGTAAACGGTTAGAGGGAATACCGATTGAAGTCAAATAAGACAGGGTACAGTAGGCATTGCGGATCTTCGGTGAGGGGAGGGGGGGGTTCTGACAGAAGGAAATGACAGCAAGCTCTGATCATCAAGGACCCCTCAAAATAGTACACTCTTTGAGGAAATGTGAGAAATAGTTCACAAAATTGAAGAAGAAGACTTTTGAAATCGAAGAATTGTTAAGCTTTTTACAATTCAACAATCTAGTTCCAAGTACGGTATTTACATTTGCCATATACTATTAGTTACTGATACTTCAGTAAAATCTCTTCAAATTGTATCGAAAATATACTGTATTGCTATTTGGAAGTACTATTGAGGTTCTGCAAAATCATTAGTAAATTAGATTAAATTAAAAAAGTTAGTAAGAAAAACACATATACACAATAATTAGAAGATGATTCCCTAAACCTTCCCAACCCTCTCAACACCTTCCTCCAGCGCATCTAAGTGTTTAGATTATAAGAAAGATAATTTCTTCTTAAGATAATTTTCAACATTTAAGAAACAGACCTTTAAAGCAATTAAGTAAGTCTTCAGGAAGCAAGTCACACTGATCATGTACAACACTTACCCTGCTGCCAGCGGTTCTATACATTTCGTCCTCGACCTTTCTTGCGTATGTTTTCAGACTCTCCATTCTTCTGTCCTTCATTGTCGTTGGGTCATTGATCGGTTGTGGAAAAATTGCATGGACTCTGTGATAAAAACAAACCCAGAGATATAAATTGAATGTTCATAAAACCAAATATATACTCACTTATGCACAAGCTGCTATCGTTTACTTTTCACAAGCTGCTATCGTTTACAAAATTAATTTACTTTTTATATTCAACAAACATTTAATGTGATAAAGCTCAGATACAACATCTAGCTCAGTGGCAGAGCACTTGACGTACAAAGTCAGGGGTCGTGAGTTCGAGCCTTGCTCGGGTCGGTTATTTTCCCGCACTATCTATTAGATACAGCATCTAATAATTCAGAGATGATTTCAAAGCAAAAAACAACATAGAAATCACAAATCAAGCCTTTGCTTGTACTCACAATTTTTGGACAAGATGCTCTCGCAGATCTTGTGTGACCGACTTATGCCAATTGTCCCTCTCTTCTTGCTGGTTACTCTCGTGCATAGAACTGTAAGATGTTTGCGATTTTTACAAAGTATATCGAAATGGTTCAAAGATTACAACAAACATTTTTGGGCAAGAGAATGCAAGAAAAATATTGAAGGGACATGTTTTGCGTCCCAAAGTTTCAAAAAAATCCATAAAATATGAAAGTCATTCCTCTGATGACATTTGAAGAGGAAGATAATGAAATCAAAAAAATGCAGCATCGTTTCCAAAAAGTTGTTTTTTCACTGTTTTATACTAAGGCTTTGGAAGTGTTGCATCAGTTGCTAAGGGAAAGATTAACAGTTTTCTTCAACCCTATAGCTCTAAACGATTAACAGTTTTCTTCAACCCTATAGCTCTATCCAATTCTCAAATAAATAACCATACAAATCTGAATGAACAATGAAACTAGTCACATGAATGAAAAAAATTTAATTTGTCCAAACATTTGAATTTGCTGAGATATGCTCACATGAATGCAGACGATTCCCTACCAAATCACAGCAATTTGGCATAGGTTATTGTGAAGCAAGTCAAAACAAAAATTTATATTTCATATTACAGCAATATACATTATATTACCATAATTCAAACATTCTGAAAAAGTATTTCATTGACGTCTCCAACATCAACTCTATTATCAACAGAAAATAAACCTGGTAGACCATTTCCACTCTGTTGAGTCCATATACATGAGTAAAGATCTGAATGTTTTAGTGCATAAAACCAGAGACAGAAATAAAAACTCAGTCCAAAAAGTCTACTTTGGTTTAAAAAAGATAGCAACTTAGAGAAGACTAAATGAAAGTTGCTTAGGTAGAAGTTGTGTACTAATACTTACGATCCATTGGTGCCTGGCTGAGATCCATCTTGCATTCCTTTTTGAGAAAAATTTAAATGATTATGTTAAAAGCTGGAGGTGATGAAACTGAAAAAAGTTTCAAGGTGAATTGCAGGAATTGTTGGCAGGACATTGGGCAGAATGCCAATCAAACTTGAATGAGGCAATTAGTCATTTGACAAAGAGAAGCAAACTTTAAAAGAGCATGTCATTGCTAGTTGACTGGAGGACTTAAGAAAATAGCCATTTTTATATTCATCAAAGCTCATGAAAACAATGAGTATTTCTACAAACTGATGTCTTCTACCATTTGTTGAAACCTTATGCTATCTGTAACCTGGTTTCCATACTAGAAAATGGTAAAACTCCAAGGAAATTCTAAAGAAATTCTAAAAAAGGCAGCTCAAGCTTGCCTAGATTGAGAAATGCAGGCTATAAAGGAAAGAAGTGTGTATACATCTTAGAATGCAAAACAAAACGATAAAAAAACTAGAGACTGATAGAAGAATGTTTATAAATACTCGGCACAGAGAGAAACATTCAAGGAGACTTTGTAAATACCTTGAGGTCCTTGCTGGGACATGTTTTGGCTGTTATTAATGTATGGAATACCCAATGCATTATATGCTTGTTGTATGCCACTCTGGTCATTGACCATTGGTGATGGCTGAGCACGCCTTTCTGATGCCCCTGAAGCTGCTTTTAGTGGTAAACAAACTGGACAGTCATTTCTAGTGCAGTTTTTCCAATGGGATATGATCTGTCTTGATGAGGCACAATGAGCTACTTGACAAACCTTCCCTGCTTTACAAGTGGTCATATGGTTTAGTACTCCCTTCATTGTGCGACAGTGAGCTAAGGTGCAGGGCTTCACCTCACCATTGGCTGAATTCTGCTCCCGTCTCTGACATTTGTGGGCATGCAACAAAAGTACAAGTTGTTGTTGGATCAGTCGCTTCTTTTCAGGATCAGTAGCTGTTGGCTGCATGCCCTGCCCTTGATTCTGTTGAGACAAAAAGTTAGAACTCAATATAAAGGCCTTTCCCATAGCATAGAGGAGGAAGGTTTAAATAAAACCATGTATGTACAGATTTCTAGACTATTTCCTAGTGGCTTGAGTAATTATTAAGTAAATTCCAGTTATTCTTGTTGTATATTAAAAGGTTTGTATATAAAATTAATAGTAGGATAAACAGAGATTTTAGAAAAAAACTAAGTAAGGAATTTTAAGCAAAACAGCCATAATGAAAAGCTCTTGCAGAGTGACAGAAAAAATCCAAAAGTTGGCAAAGTAGTAAGAGCATACACTGAAACAACATCGAAGCCATAAACCTACCACTTGCATCCCTGCGTCTGACACAGCAGTGTTCATAAGGCCTTGGTTTGCTAGACTTTGAGGCATAGGTCTTTGGCTCGGCATAGAAGTTACAGGATTTTGAATCTGTGCTTGGGTAAAACCCATAGGCCCATTCATGTTCATATTTTGGTTTAGAGACACTTGTTGATTCATAGTATCTGACTGGAACATTTGTTGGCGCAAAGCTGCATGTTGCTGCAAAGAGTAAAGGAACTCGTCACACATCATTTCTCTATCATTTCAAATAATAGCATACTCTACAAAATAATCTACAGCAACTTGAAAATGTTCAGGGCTGCAACTTGAAAATAGGGCAGCAATGAGTTGAAGTTCAAAAGTGGGTTCATAAATTTTTATCACTTTATGAATATCACATAAATCATTTTTATCTGTTGAACTTTCAACTACAAGGGGGGTCAACTGTCACTGATTCCTAAAACAACAAGGAATCAATCTATGTGTCATGTTTCTCTTATGCCATAATTTATCCATGCCTGGATAAGAGTTTTGCTTATGTTGTGGTCATGGCTTCAGTATTATGTGCTACATGTTTCCCTTTAAATGCTAGTTTGAAAGATAAGAGGGTTATGGTTACTCAAGAAATTTATCAATCTTTTGAGATGAACAAAACTGACTAGAAAGATGGCAGAAAGTGTTAGCAGACATAAACATCTTACATGACATAAGATGACAAAATTAATATTGTTATTGTTTATAAGGTGACAAATTGTTACTTTTATTATAACAATTAATTCAAAATCCTATCCCTATAAAAATTCCCATGATTAAGTTAGAAATAATTTTAATCCAGAATGATGTTCAATGACAATGTTTGTGACAGCGGTGATCATTAATTTCCAGGTGATGATGTGCAATGAGTGAAAAAGTGAAAATGATACAAACATTGATGGTAAGCCATTTTTTATTATGCTAATAATAATATATGATGCAAATAAAACACTATGTCATATCTAATAACAAATAAATTCATTGTATTAAAAAATAATGCTGAATAATGATGACTCATCTTAATTGACTATGAAAGTTTAAATAATGCTGAGTAATGGTGACAGCTCAATATTGGCAATAAAATTTTTTTTGACTAATAGGCACTGGAAGATTTTGATCCTTTGGTCTAACAGATAGTAGCCCATAGGTACCTAACAAACTAATAAAGATACATTCCAGTGATAATGCTTCTATTGAACTTGGCTACAAAGATATCAAGCAACTTTGAAGGACCAACAAGTTTTTACATTACACAATGAAAAATAACGATGTACAATTACAGTAGATTTGACTTGTCTTTTTTCAGTTTATACCCTGTTTATTAAAATTAATCTAAAAATCAATATACCAATACCGCATACAAAACAAGCCTTGAGAATCTTAAACTTTTGAACTTGTGCCATTTATCGAAAGTTAAGCTTACCTTTACTTACCTATTACCTTAACTAAACTATAATTTCCTACCTATCAACACTCGAAACAGGGCCTTATATACAGTGTTAAAGGTATCTAATCATATTTTCTCATGATACAGAAATTACTAACAACTTTAACAGAAATGTCTACTTACTCGTCTAATGAAAAATCAAATATAGAAGACAGAAGAAAAAAATTAAGACAAAAATCTACAAACCTGGGCCATCATTGGATTGTTATTCATTTGAAATTGTTTCATTACGTTATTTTGTACACCAACTGGGCCATTCATGGCTGCCATGCCAGCATGCTGCTGTTGATTCATCATATGCCTGATCTCATTTTGAAATGATGGCATTTTAAGCATTGCAGGATTAACTATCATTTGGTTTGGTGCATTTGGCACTCTTATTGGTCCTGTACCAAACATCTGTATAGTATTTGCATTGGCAAACCTGGGATTTTGTGCCTGAAAGTTCATATTTTGAACAGGCATCTGCATTTTGTTCATCATGTTAATACCTGTGTGCATATTTGAGCCAACAACTCCAGTACTTTGATTACCTCGTTGTAACAATGCATTTGCCATTGTACTTTGCACAGAGTAACCAAATGATACTGGCATGGAGTTGGCATTGGAGGACATCAATCCCCCATTCTGGGGTGTCTGCTCCGATGACCTCTTCATGTTTTGTTCCGCACTAAGATGTGGTGTGGCAGGGGTTGGCATACCGAGTGTGCTAACTGGCATTTGCTGCATCATAGATATTGCAGGTGTTGTTAGACTATTAGCAAAACTTTTTGTTGTCATACCAGCAATGGAGCTTGCAGGGCTCATAATGTCCCTTGAGTTTATACTTCCAGTTGCCATAGAAAATGTTGGAGCCCCCTGAGAAGCCATGATACTAACGCCCATACTACTCATGCCCATACTACTGCATGGTGAGGAGACAACATCACCAACAGGAGCATGATTTTCCATATTTTCTGAATGTGATGAAAGTCCAAGATCACCATTTGATAAGCCTCCATTGCCATTTGAGTCATCTTCAAGTGCGAAGTTATCCAATATAGATAAGTCAATAGGCTTGTTGTTGAAGAAGTCTAAAAAGTGGTAAAAATTTAGCTAAAATCAGTCCTAGTAGGAAAACTACACTAAAATTACCAAGGCTATTACAACAAGTTAAGGTTATTGTAAAGGAGGAAATTAAAGAAGAAACACCAAGAATGGGAAGGAAATTCTATCCAAAGCAGTTTCTGACTCTTTGCAGAAGTTTTGCAAGGAAAATGTTATTGAGTATAAAAGTTTGTCATTGAAGTTACTGTTAATATCTTTCTGCAAATAACCAAAGTCAGAGTGAATGAAAATCAAAATAACAACTGAAATGTCACTTGTAAATTAGAAATTTGTATCAGCCATCTCTTCTTAGTAGGATTTTCACAAAGGTATTTGCTTTTTTCTAGAAACTTGCAGAAGGAACTGGGTGTTCTAATCTGGAAAATTCCATTTAACTGAATATAAGATTTAACTTAAAGTGGTTTAAAATGGCTATTTTGATCCACTATCAATATAAAACCAGCTTTGTGTGCGAATATAAGCAAAAGCATATTGTCAAAACACAAAAACGTAATTGGTTACAATATACCAAAATTTATCTGTAATTTCTGGGTAGAATGTAGCTTTGATCTAGCTAAGCAGCATTTGTGTTTCTTGGGAAAGCTTTGGGCTCATTGCAAAATTTTGCACGTGCAATTTGCATATCTTTGAGAAGCTATTAGAACTTTGAAAAAGTCAGCAACATGATCACCCTACTTGCATGAAAAAGTGCTTTATTGGTACAAGAAACCTCTAGATCTCCTGACAAACCATAAATGTTTTAGGTTCTAGATCCAGGACGGGAAGTAAGTCATTTGGCGATTGAACTTGTTGGAACAAATGTTCAGATTTCCCATATACACTTATTCTTAATTCTTACATTGTAACTGGCAATGTTGAAAATTTATAACAGTTTCAAAAAATAGTTTGCAAAAAAACCAAGAGCATTCAATAAAATGTGATGATCAAGGAAATATAGTTAAACATTTAAAAAAACAAAACAAATTTGCTGACTTCAAATTAATCAGTGCGAGCAGATATTCTCTGTTGAACACAATAATTAACAGAAGGAAAATCAAACTAGTTGAAAGAGGAATTATGAATAAGTCAAGCAAATTGGCAATCACTGCAGGGAGAATATAGATCAAAGTGTTGAGAAAGTAGAAAATATATATGTTAAGAAAGTAGAAAAAAGGAAAATAAGAAAGGTAATGCATGATTCCATCAAACCATTAAATAATACTGTACTTTCAAGGTTTAAAAATTTTAGGAGAGCTAAACACGAAAACAAGATATTTTCTTCCAATATAAACCCAATTAATGAGCATAGAGTCAAAAACAAGATCAAAAAACAAGATTTAGCCAAACAAACTTGGGTAATAATAAACTTGTTTCTATTCTGATAAACATAAAAAGATATATTTAGAAATGTTTCTTCATTTTCTTTTGGAAACCTGAATTTGCACCAAATATATAGTGCTTGGGTATCTAAGAATATTTTATCACTGCTATCTAGAGATTTATGGCATTAACAATATAAAAGAGCTGAAAAAGATAAGGTGATTCTTCATCAACAAGGAAAGTCTAAAAATGGACCTTATCTGCTTGAATCATATGTTTTCTCTTGACATTTTGACCAGTGAAAAGAGCTTGTAAGGCTCTACAAATCAAAATCTTAAAAAATACCTAAAAACAAATGGTTTTTATGCAGACATTTGCAGGTTTTTTGTATTTTACCTAAAATTTGCTACCTTATATATTAATAACAAGAGGTTTTATTCTGGTTTTAGTGATCAGAAAATCAAACCAAGAATCAAAGTTCCCAAGTTTTCTCATTAATATCTTGTACTTCTGAATTGGAAATACAAATGCCAACTGCCACTAGTAGGTATATATAAGTGCATCATCAATTAACGTTAGTCACATCGTTTTACATTTCTTCTTGCAGCTAGAGACGCAACAATTAGGGTGAGGAATTTTTAATGGCACAAGCTAATTTCTAATATAATTTTCTAATCATTTCTTAAGTTGACCTAAGAGTTGAGCCTTAACCAAAAACAGGCTTGTACTAAAAATTTTTTCAAATGAGCATGGTTATAAGAAGCAATAATACAGTTTTTGCTGCCCTTTGTTGAAGCTTGGTAATAAACTGCAGAAGAAATTATTTCCTTTAAAATTATAGTTTGTATCATTTCTCTTTTTACCTATTAATTTTAAGTTGTTTGACAATCCTTAGAAATCAAATATTTCCCTAAGATTTAATTACTTTACATTAATTTTGTACACCTTATATGCTTTTAAATGTTTTCATGTTTCCCATTTCATGTTCATTAGTGTGTCACTAGTGGCTGTATTCAGTTCTCTGCTGTAAAAACTGGGTATTATTTGTAAAGAATTGCTGATTAACTGCCATCTATAGGCCTGAGATTTTTTGCAACAATCTAACTTCTTTAACAACAATCTAAAACATTGCAACTAAAAACATTTCAATATTTTGCATACTGGATGATTGAAAGTAACTAAATAAAAGTGATAGTGGCAACAGATGTATCTAAACTATATGCCAAGATACAAGCAAACTTTTGGTATTTTTTAATTAAATTGATATCTATGTTACATAACAAATTGTTGACCAGTCCGTAGAAAAAGCTTTCCAAAATAAACATGGATAAAATCTTTCATACTTCTTTTTTGTTTTTCATTTTTTGCTTTCAATTTCATCTTTATTTTCAAAAACTTTTTTTGCCTTTTTTTGTCTTTGCTCAGAAGGCTAGGCTAGCTTAACCAGTTCATATCTTGTAGTAGGTATAGTAGTAACAATAATTATCTTTCTGTTCTTCTCCTTCAAGTTCACCATCATGTTTTCAGTGGTAACATTCTCAAAATCATGTGCTTGCTTTTCTGATTGGCAAATTTCAATCCACAACTGGTATATATGGTATATATATTTCCTAGTGTAGAGTTTCAATCTATCTTCTGACGTTTCATACTCTGATTAGTGATTAGACAAAAAGCTTAAGTTTACTCAAATGTTTGCTTTTTAAAAATCAATTTTAAGTTTTGTACCACCAAAAGATTGATTGCAGAATTAAACTGTTCATCACAAAAGAGCTTTGAAAGTAACTTATTCTGTGAGAATCCTGACACAATCTTCTCTACAGAAGGCAGGCAGTTATTTGTAGATGTAGATATTCTTTACCTAATCACGCAAATAAACATATCTTATAGTCATCTAAACAAAGGGGTGAGGAAGAAACCTTAGCTAGCAAAACAGCTAATCGTTAAATTTTACAATTTTAAAAAGTGCCTCTCTTCGGAGAGAGAAAGAGGCCCTAACAACAACAGCATTAAACAAAAAAAATACCATGCATGGACTTATATTAACTCATAAACGTTTTAATACTGGTCAAATTTAATGATTTCGCTTAATTCATATGATTTGTTATAGCACAGTAAAGTGACCAAGTGACCACTTAACAAAACCAACACGAAACAGGGTTGGCCTACTCACGTCCCTTCAATTTCACGAAGCAACGAGGAGACATATTCATCGTTAACTTCTTAAAGGTTTATATCTATTTACTATTACAAAGAGCCTTTCCAAACAGAAATTAATGTCGTATAATGCGTTCTCCCAAGAAAAAGTCTAGTGCGTGCAAAAATTTTGCCCCGCATTCACAAGCATAAGTGCACCCCGAACTGCGTGAAAACATTCAAAATTTTGTCAATTTAAGTATTTTTAAATCGAGACAGCCGCTTCAAATCAATAGTGTGAATAAAAACAATTGAAATATAAAGCTTAAGCATTAATTTTCCATGAAAATATTATACAATTTGACTATTTCATTGATGAAAACAACGTTGTGATGTCTGACAGGACACTTTGAAATTCTTACCCGAAATTTGTGCGCAGTTTTTTTTGCCCGGACAAGTTATGTCGACGGAATTAAATACCTCGGAATGTCTCTTACCTGCAGACTCTGAAATTGGTGTTTCATGCGGCGATGGCTCATCGGGTTTTCTTCTTTTAGTTGGCGGAGCGTTCAAATCAGATTCGGCCATTGTAGGCTTGATCGTTGCGCCCGTGTTCAGCTCGGAGAGCACACAAAGGCAATCATATATGCTCAAAACTTGGCCAAGTATCAACCGTGCAGCATTATAACCGTTGATGTCAAAGTTTCAAACCGATTAGTATACAAGATGGTATACTACAATCTACAAATTCTAATTTACGCCGGATTTCGTCGTCACAACGCCCGCTAGTTTTGTTGCGAAAACACATCGTTGAGCGAAAATGGCTGCCGCTTCCCTTCTGCCATAGTAAAATACGCTCCGACCAGAAACTACCACAGTTTCAGCCACTTGACACAGAATATAAAATCCAATATTACTTCTCCACTAGCTCCACTCATTTATAATGATATATGGCAGGTAAAACGCTGCTAAATCGATAAAACTATATAAAACTCAAATCCTTCTACTTTCTCAAAGGCCCATGAACAAGCGAAACATCAATCTTCGCTGGGGGCACCGATCCAAGTTCTTGCATAAATTAGCATGCTTAAAATCGGACCGAGATCCCTATATAGGCCAGGGATAGGGGAGGCCGAAAATAACGATTTGTTTCGACAGACTGCAAGGAATAATAAATTTAGTGGATGTAGATGATGTAGCAACGAATGATAGAATTTTAGTTTCGCAAATCTGATCAATATTTGTTCAAAGTTGTTTATTTCGTGGTATATATGTCAGTTGAATTTCAGCCAGTGGAAATTGTTGTCACAGTTTCTATGCGAAAAAGTTACGGTTTCCCATTTCGCCTTTTTGTCGAAAATTTGAATAGAAGCAATTATCACAAAGCTTGGAATCCTTGAATCCTTCCTTTAATTGCACCTTGGCTTTATACTGACATTTTACGTGCTAGAGCTATCGAGAACATTCTAGCCCTTTCTTAAAACCTTCTAGAACCTTCTAGTACTTTCTTTGACACCTTAAAACAATTTCTTACTTTGCACTTAAAAAAGAGCATCGAAATGTAAGAAGCATTAGAGAATGTAAGAGCTTTAAAATCTTCTTGTCTTTCAAATTTTTGAAGGTTTTTTATGGTTGTAGGAGTCTAATTCGACGAAATGAGGTGGAAAGTCTAGAAATTGATTTGTTCTCGCTAAATAAATAAAAGGACCTTTGTTATACAGATGTGATATTGACTATAGTTATCTTGAAGTGTCTAAGCGGTTAATGCATATATTTTTGGACCAGGCGTGCTTGCATTCAAAATGCGAAAGGGACGAAAAGCCAGGAAAAATGGCAATAAATTAGTCACAAAATTTAAGAACAATTAAGAAAGTTGCTAAATCTCTGCAAGTGAATGCGGCGACCTTAGTGCATCCTTTGCTAAAAGAAGAGGCCTAGATTTTTTTAAAAATACGAACATCAATGGGGTCAGTAGTGTTCCATGTGATGTCTCCTCAAAGTATTCTGAAAAGCATATTTTAAGAGCTTAAAAAACTCATTTTTAAAATGTTTATAATGCCTCTATTTAAATTAATTATAATTTCCTTTTAAGTTTAAAATTAGAATAAGAATATTCAGACAGTTTATTGAGGCATGTATACAAGTAGTTTCAAAAACCTTTGGTCAACTGCGTTGAAATTAGCCTCAAAATCAGTGGCGTGGTGGCTTAACATTGGCTAGGGGGCGCACTCTTTCTTGGCGCACCGTAGAGAATTATGCCATGGTTCAACTCTGTCAAGGCCGGGAAACGCCATTAAAAAGGGAGACCACAATGTTTAGATTTTAAGGGCATTCACGAGGGCTACTACCATGGTTAATGACCAGAAAATCCTAGGGACGGCAAAAAATCTTGGGCAATATTCATTAGCTTTCCCTGCCACTATGCAAAACAGTTTCAGGGGTTTGATGAAGGCCGCATCCTGGTTGGCGACAAGAAAAAATCTTATAACTTTTGATGTATTAGAATGGCTGACAATTCATCTAAAATATCTACAACATAGATTTAGACTGAAAGAAGATCCTAGGGTTTAGGGGTTTTATTTGCAAAATTGACAGTTTAGGGGTTTTATGAAGGCCGCCACCATGGCTGGCAGCACGGCAAGACAGGTCGTACAACTTTGATGCTCTTCTAGGATGGCTTAAACTCATGTATGATATTTACAACATAGATTTAGACCTGTAGAAGATCCTAAAAAAATTTCTTAAGCTTCCTTTATCATAATGATAAAACCTCAAAATTGTTAAGGGGCTTCGTAAAGGCCACCACCACTGGAGGCAGCACGGAAAATTTTGAAAGTATAACTTTATTGGAGAGGCCAGAAGCTGCATCCAAATTATCTACAACATACTTAGATTTAGGGCCAAGGAAGATTCATAAACAAAGAAAATGTTCATAAACTTATTTCAATCATCTTGTCCCAGAGTTTTATCTGTTTTGAATTTGACACGACAACCACCTGATGACAATAAGGGAGCACGTTCAACAATAAAACATGAGCATAAGAATATCAACAGAAGTATTAATTTACTAAAAAGTTTGGGCATTATTTTAAAATCTGATCGTAAAAATTTCCAGCATTAGCTTTGTCTCATATCCATCTTTCGTGAAATCAACCTATGGGCGTTTGATAAGGAACTGTCAAAGGATGCTAGGGTGCTATCCCTTCTGGGCAATTTCCCGAAGGCAACAGCACGGGAGATTTGGGACAGCCCGCCTTCGAACAGTACCGGATGTTTGGTTCGTCTAAGCCTGCCCTAGAAGAAGAGGATGCTATCGCATCCAGAGCCCTAACCTGGGTTCCAGAGCGTCAAGGGTTTTCAAAGGGTTGCGCGAAAGTGCAGGCTATTTTGAGTTGTTTGATTCGACGGGCTTTTGGTGCCCCATTTGAATAGGTGGTGGATCGCCTTCGGCGCCCCCTGATTAATCTGGTTGCTGGGGGAGGAAGGGTACCTGCCCTGCCAGACATCTATCTAACAACAGACCTGAACATATTACTCACTTTTTGCTATAAAACTTTCAACGAAACTCAATTTCTAAATTTCTCGATTAAGAATTTCTACTGAACAGGAACCAAGGCTGTATCATATGCAAGCTCAGGCAGCAGCATGGCATTCTCCCATTTGATGACTTTTGGCCAGGTATAATCTATTTTATACCTTTCTTAAAAATTCTTTCAAGTGGATTGCTTTGTGAAAAGTTCTGCTTCCACATAAAATGAATCTTGTTGGTTTGTTGTTGACAATGTCAAAATATGTTTGCCTCATTTGATAAAATCATTTTCAAGAATTATTTGTCAACATCTCATTAGAGAGTATGCTGAAAAGTTGAAACAGCGTTTGAAGTAGAATTATTGCCTTAGTAAAACCATTGCCTAAGTTACGAAATTGCAACCTTTTGAATCAAAGACTTATCTTTTTGATAAGCTGTGCTTCATCCCTAGTCTCATGCGTGGAAAGTAGCTTTTTCAATAAAAATTGGCTTACCTTTCTGTATCGTGAAAGAAAGATGCATATCAATTAAGTGAGGGGGGCATATACTACGTTGACTGGATCATTTGCATCAAGGTATTATGCTGAAATGCATGAAATTATTAGGGCTGCACCCATTGAAATCTGACAGACTCGTTTTCTCGTAAAGACTACAAACGACAAACAGTAAACACAGTGAATGCTAAAAAGTTTTGTTTCCTACCTAGGCTCAGAAACTTTCCAAGGAAAAATCACAATATAGATGGAAAGAGAAGAAAGCACTGAGGCTTTACTAGAATTCCCAGGTAAAGATTTACCTGCTCTCAATGTATCTCTTTTAGTGTGGATGGCCAAGGGGCGGGGTGACCGTACTACTTTTATCAATGAATTATGCTGTTAGTCATAAAGGAGGACATATATAGGGCTACCTTATTTTTACCTGGATTTAGAAGGTCTAGCTGTTCAAATTTGCTGGCCACTGGGAAAAGGGAAGAGGTTTGGAACTACACTGTTATCGAAACATCTGTTTCTATGGTTGACTGCCAGTTTGGTGCAGTTATCTGAAAATGTTGTACGATCAAGATATGTCAACGATGATGAATAAACAAAAGTTGAAAATGGGGAGTAGACTTCCCCTGAACTCTGGAGAAGATCAGACTTTCCTTTGTTTCCTGTAAGGGCTTGAATAAGGGGAGAGTCTGCATAATGTTTTTCTACCTAAATTTGAAATTTAAGATTGTGAACTTATAGCCAAATTGTAGCCACTGAGGTAGCTGGCGTTGAAAAATAACTCGGAAATGTTGCAGCCAAACATAAATGAAGATAATTATTACTGGTTTGAGAAATGTCTCAAAATTTTATAAATGACGCAGATCCGAGAAAGCTTAAATAACTCAAGAAAAAAATCTCGGCTGGAAAAACGAAGATTTTTAGGGTAGAGAAGGAGAGGGACCCTAGGCAAGGGATAGGGGAAGAGAGACGTAGTGAAAATGTTCATTAAGGTAGAGTCAACAAGCTTTATCGTTTTGAAAAATGCTAGATTTTACAAAAATTTGAGCAGAAAAGTTTATGAAGTAGATAGAAGTAGAAAAAGAATGTAAAGAGAAATTCTGATCAACAATACTCAAAAGTACTGTATTGAAAGATTAATAAAACCTTTAAAATAAAAAAGCAGTCATCAAAGGATTCAAAGACTTAAAAAACGTTGGACAAGACATACACTTGAATCCAGAATAGAAGAAGAATGTTGATTATCAGGCTTAAATGAATCAGTAAACATGCCGATGAAGTAATTCGCTCTATTCTTGCAGTTAATCGCAATTTTTCCAGATGACTTGATAACTTCAACTAATTTATAATATTCTTCCAAAATGTGCTTCAATGGTTTGTAGTTTTTCAATTTTTAAGTGTGTAAATCTGTGATACTGTCTAAGAGCTTGAAAGCATTAATCAGGTCTAACCGGGGCTCATTTCTCTTTGGCTCGACTTATCTCAGTTTGTGAGGCAATTTCATAATCCTTGCTTTAAAATCGGTTTTATGTTGTTACAGAATAAAAAAATTATATTACAAGATTATATTTGAAGGCAAAATAAAGATTTAGAGACAATCTTTGGTTGTCATGAAAGACTTGGCCGTGCCGTAGCAGGAAAAACGTCATTTCCAGTCAAAATGAATTTGCCTTACTTCATAAACATAAAATGTAGCCATGGAAATCAAGTCAATGGATCGTGTGCGTGGTAGTTATCGCCCTTGTCCCTTTGAATGACGTCCAAGCCTTCTTTCCTAAGTTTTATTATGCCTACTTTTTTCTCTTTCTTTACACCTTCGCTTTGCCATTTGCTATTTATTCCGTTCTTTCAAACTTTTTCCTAAAACTTCTTCATTTAAGTACATTTTATGTTCTATTAAATCTTCTAAACTTTTTTGAACTTTTATAATCCTCTTTTCACTTTACTTTGATATACTTTCTTTATGTTTTACCTCTTCTTCTGTCCTGATTTTCTGTTCTTGTTTTTCATCTTATTCCTTTCAGTAACAACGTCGTATTTTGATATTCTCTTCATTTTATTCAATTTCAGCTTAGGTTACACTTTTCCATCCTTGTTGGCATACATTAATCATTACTATTATTTAACATTTAACGTTGCACTTTATCCAATGCATTTATTTCATTTTGATTTTTAAAAAACAACTTATCTAAAATCCCAACGGCTTCGAGATGGTTGTATGGAGAGGGAAAAGGAGATATCAATCTGCAGAACTTTATCAATGGTTTTAGATAAAAACACTAGCATTGAAATATTAAATTTGAGCACTGTTCACAATGCTTTCTTGAATCTTAACTAATTGCACTTGAGAATTTGGGTAGAAACTAGAATAAGAAATTCTAAGAATCAATGGCAGTTCCTGGAATTTTCCTGGAAATGTTTTTAATTCAAACAAAACAGTTATTTTGTTCTTTAGAGAAACAGAAGATCACTAAAATAACCAACAATGACTAAATGCTTGTTTCGTAAAGAATCTCATTCACCTGTCAAGATTACCATTTGGCTATGCCCATTTTAACAAGAGTTCTATTGTAATTTCGATTCCGAAAATCAAAAGGTCTAGCTGGCTCAGGAGAGAGTCGTTTGAAAAATCGAGAAAAAAGTCAAAGTTGTATACTCCTTGTAGAAATTTGAAAAAATGATAGGAAAAATTTTCTGAAAGAAATAATTGTTAAAAATAAAGAAGAAATTTGTTCTTCATACTGAATATTTTGATCTTAGAACGAACGAGAGCGGTCAAAAATGTTATGGCCCAATTTTCAAAATATGACGTCACGTCTGTTCTGTTCTAAACTGTATCCATCACTTTACAACCAAGATTATCGATTATGATAATGGTTATTATTTAACATAAAATTCATCGATAAGATTCTATAAATTTTTACAAAAAAACATGCCATACCACTTACAAAGAATAATTCTAAAAGGATTTTCATAAACATCTATTGCTCTACATTGTCTCTTCTCTAGCTCTCTGGATTTCGACTTATCATACATAAATATGCTAAATTCATATCTGAATATCATAAACCTCGCAGACTGAATTTATAACTAAAAATTCACACTTGATACCATTCAAAAGAATTAGAAATTCATTCCTTCCTTATTACAATATACGCATGCACATAGTCCATGCCATGGTCTGCCGGGGCTTCAGCGACTCTTTTCGAATATCGTTTAAAGAGATCGTCTACAATTTCTCTCCGTTCTTCTTCACTTCGGTTGCAGGAAAGAGCTACGGATAAAACATACTTTTAAACACGATTCCTCTTATACTTACTAAGATAAAATATACCTATGTCATTTGAATGAACAGGCAATATATCACAATACAGAATTTATTACATGCTTGAAAACCAGATCTCACATTAAAGCCGTGTTACCTTTCGGAATTTACGAACGATGAAAGATAGCTTGAATAACAAGACTCTCTGACTGTCGATGTTCCAAAGTACCTCGCCAAAAGTACACTGCTATACAAACAAGCCAATTTCATACAGTATTTGTATACATGCATAGCTTGGTGTTAAGAAAAAAGGCCACTGAATAAAGGTATATGCTTTGGTAGAAAACCTTGGTATTTTGTGGAACATGTATTTGTTATTGATTCATTTTCAACACGGCAATATGTTATTACTCTTTTGCAAATATCTACAAAGAATCGAGAAAATAAGAAAACCTATTTGTTTGAATACAAGTCTTAGGTTCTCGCTGTTATTCTGCAATCATAAAAAATAATCTTGTCTCCAGTATCCTGGAATCGGACAAGCGTATGTGATCAGGTTTCTGCCTATCCTGAAAGCTGAAAATAACAAGGAGTTCTTTATTGATCTACAGTATTCTCTCCAACTAGCGGACACCGTCGGGGCACGAGCAAGGTGTCCGCTAATTGGAAATGTCCGCCTTTTGGAAAGTTTTGCAATATAGGTCCCAAATTTGAAAATAGACCCGAGTTTTGTATTTAAAAGGTGTAATCAGTGGTGGCGCCAGGGGAGGGCTACAGCCCCTCTGCCGGAAGCATCTAGCCCCCCATCTGAGGAAGTTATTGGAAAGAGGTTGAATCGTGGAGGTGGCTATGGTCTAGAGATTCCAGTAATTTACCACTTTCATGGACAAGAAAAGTTAGTAAACTGGGCTGTAAAGAAGTTCAAAGCTGTTAAAAAACCAACTAGATTGTCAAAAGTCAAAGTGTTTGAAATAGATATTTAAACAAATATTCATTCGTCTAAGTTTTTTGTTTGCTGGCTCCTAACTTTTTGTAATGTCCACTGATTGGAAAGAAAAAAAGCCAAATTGACTATTTTGTGCAAAAAATATTGTCCGTTAATTAGAGTGTCCGCTTATTAAGTGTCCGCTTTTTAGAGGATACTGTTATTTCTTATCGGACATTGACCTGGGAAATTAAAGATAAATTTTACCAAAAATTGAAGTCAACCATAGTTACTGCGCATTTCAAATCAACAACATTCTGATAGCAGAAATGCTTCTCGAATCCAATGCAGTTCTCACCTTCATTTGGAAATCAAAGATAAATGTAACTAATAACGAAACACGAATAACGCCTGATGGAAGATTATGTGCCTCACCCGAGAAAAATGTGTGGTTACTCCAAGTTCGCGTCGTGGGAACAAACCATTCTGCGTGTTTCTGGGGGTCTCCTCCCTGCTCTCTCCATCGTTGGTTATAAGGACATCGAACAACTTTCGTTTCAATAGAGCACAGCTTCAAACCTGCCTTTCGAACGGGTGAATCCTCATTGACAAATGGAGCGGAATACTCAGCAACGGTGCGATAATAGTTGATAAACGTTGTCCTTTGATATTCTTCCTAAAAATTGTTAATGAAGGCCTATTTACTGAAAACCGTTAAATAACGATTTGATCAATAAAAAATATATAGTAGAAGCTGAAAATTGAAACAATTTCTGTTGCAGAAATGAAAAAAAGCATTTCTTTCAAAGTATATTGTCCGATGAGTTCAACTCAATGTCTTTAGATTTGAAATAATGTGTCGGTCTTGTTAACGAATTTGTTGGAGTGTAATAAAAGAGATATTATTTGAGTTGATAATGGATTAGACTGAATAATAGGGAACTCAGGAAACGCTTGACATCTGTCAAAGAAAAAACAGGATCGCAGAGATAACAACTACTTTGCTACAACATTACCCTTGGGGGGGGGGGAAGTATTTTATTCTGGCAGGCAAAGGTTGCTTTCAAACGAAAAGGCAAGGGACAACAACGAAGACCCAGAAAGGGACAACAACGGAGACCCAGAAAGGGACAACAACGGAGACCCAGAAAGGGACAACAACGGAGACCCAGAAAGGGACAACAACGGAGACCCAGAAAGGGACAACAACGGAGACCCAGAAAGGGACAATGAAAGGAGACCAAGGTTACAGACCAGAACCAAGCTTTTTAAGAGTTCTTTTCTACTGATGATTATGGATGTTTCTGGCATGGCACAAAAGGCTAACTGGACCATAGATGCTGCTGTCTAAGTAGAGAATTAAAGTTTCAGATGGTTTCATGATGAAAGGCCTGTAGTTTACAACTTAGATGTTTGAGAATTCTTTCTAGACAGCTTCTTTGAAATATAAAGACTCTGCGATGTTTAAAGAAATGTTTCCGCTACTCCAGCAATCGTTGTCTCAGAACATTTCTAACGAAATCACGTAAGATGGAATGCATATACAAATACACGGATTTAAGATTTAAGAAATACACGAAAATACACGCATTAGACCGTTAATTGAAGGGTTTTTTGTTCTCTAAATTACTTGTCTTTCTTAAAAAACTAGGCCATCTCGATGTAATGACTGACCTGAGTTTGTCACATAAGAAGTCATATAGACTTTCACAATCATGGATAAATCTGTTTTCACCTATTTTTGGGACCAGTTGCCAAATCGTATGATGAAACTTGAGTGCATAATACATTATCAAAGCGACAGCTAACAAGCATAAAAAGCAAGAAATTACCATATTTAAACGACCCTCCTGCATCATCTCTTGCCATATTTCTTTCATGTTTGTGAACATGCAATTCTTTATCTCTTTGGTATGGCCTAGGTATTGACCATCATCGTCTATTGTAAATTGAACCAAAACAAGGAATCCACCTGAAAGATTAGATGTGCAACTTTAGGAACAGCCTCAATAAGTACTAATTGCGAAACCGGAATAATGGCATTGTCTAGGTAACAATATCGATGGAGACCTTAATCCTAAATGGGCTTCTATTCTACTAGCTTTTTCGAAAGGAAATTAATTTTTCAAATTTCTCTGTTGAAAAGTATTACATCATAATTTTTCAAAACAAACTAACGCCGGTGAAGCCGGAACAACACAGGTCAAGGTAAAATCCTATATATTAGCTAAACAATTTTCAAAACGAGATATACATGAAATTTAATTAGCGAAAATTTTGCTTGAGGATAGAGGAATATAAAAATGATCGATTGATTTTAGAGACGATCGATTAATCACACGATTTATTAATACTACAAAGTTTACATAACATATCATGAAAGTTTTATATTGTAGCACAAACATGTAGTAATAGCCTTTGAATTTTCATTGAGTTAACAAGGAAAATATTATATAAATGTCTTTGAAAAAAACAAACATTTTGAACCATCTTCAAGCTTCCTGTCTGACACTATTCAGAGAATTAACGTCAGATTTCAGAACATAGATCGAAAACTCCACGCTAGAAAAACCCTAGGTTTTCGATATATGTTCCGACGTTTTATGCTTTGAAGGGTGTCAGACGAAAATCTTGAATATGTTTCAAAACGTTTGCTTTTTCACAGCATTTTCAAATTCTGTACCACAAAAATAATGTTTGAAAAAACAATCGTATCGTAAAAATGGAACGGCCAACGAAATAACAAAATATCCATAAAATAAAATGAGGCAGTTAGAGAACATTATTCGGCGACAGTCAATCACACCTTCCTAAGCGAGTCTAATAATCACCACAGTGTTAATAAAATTCATGAGAACATCCCTGATGCAATAAGCCAATAAACTGCATCAACAATACCCTTAAATAAAAATTAATCAAAAACACAAACGGATCAAAAAAACTAGTTTGATTTGTAAAAACGGATCAACTTCAGTTGCAGTTTCATTACCTAAAAAGCAGGTAATTTCTCTTTGAAATACTATACCTACAACCATTGCCAAAGGTACTTGGAACACCCAGTAATTTGCAGTGCATTTTATATCTTTCATTCCATTTCCCACCCCTCTTCGAAAAGTAGAAGGGAGGCTGAGCCCCCTGATCCCCCTGAGCCCCCCTCTTCTAAAGCCCTGGTTTGGACGCAAAAACTAAGATGTGATCATCTCTAAGAATGTTTTTCTAAAAATGATTGTAAAAAAGGCCACAGTAATTATGAAAACATTCCACGATCACGGACAAGGAGTGATGAGTTTTTTCACCTTCCCCCAGTTTAATGTTGACATTTCTGTTTTTAAAGTGAATATGCAGTAACTTTGAATGAAGAAAGGGGATAGATGCTGGTGCATGCTACCTGGCGTCTGTTTCGGTGTTTGTTATGCCCAGGACCTTAGGCTCCTTTAAAGTTTAAACAGAGTAAAACCAGGAGAAACAGCCATCTACGAGAATTTGTACTTAAATGCGCAGACCAGGGGGTTTTAGAAACATATCAAAACATACGTTTAAAGTTATAATGTTCACCTAGTAAGAAAATACAGAAATTATCTGGTAGCAACTATCTGCAAGCAATTCTTTATGCAAAAAGCGTTGTTCCATTTAGTGAAAACATAACAGGAATGAAAGAGATCATAAAAACCTAGGATATCATAAAAATTTAGATGTCAATGGATTTGGATTAAGGAGAACTATTTATGAATCCAAGACAAATATGTTTGATGTAACTAAAGTATTTTAACTGAAGTAAAGAAATAAAAAATCGATCATAGCATATTGCGAGAAGACGAAATTGGAAACACTCGTCGTTTAAAATATCTTGGTAATGCTCTTCCTTATTAAAAGTAAGACAACTCGTGCTTTGTTGTAGTATAACAGTATTCCTAAAGCTCACTTCAAATGGAAAGAGCTAGACCAGCTTTCTAGAATAAAGGTACCTTTCCATCAATTAAAAATAAGTTTTCCGAGCTGCCTTCGAAGGAAATCACTGTAATCAGAACAACCCCTCAAAAAGTTAAAAGGACTTAAAGGCCATTAAGAAATACTAAATTGACTTGAACCACATGCTAATCAACTTTTGGCCAATCAATATGCGTGTGAGTTGTTTCACGTTTATTGGTTGGTTTATTACTGAATGACAGATGGCTTGAACCACTAAGTAACTAAGGATTGCCTTTGTTTAGGGTAGAGGTGATTTGGAACAGCTTTCAACAAAGCACCGTATAATGAGGTTGCATTGGAAAAATTTACCCAAGAAGGAGAATGATTATAATTGAAAGATTGGGGGATAGAATAACACAGCACGTCCTTTCTAGCATTAGAACAAAACTTTCCCCCAAAGTGAACAGCCTCCTCGGTCTTGCAGATCAAAAACAACAGGCTCTAGATGACAATACATTGCAAATCCTTTTATATGGAAATGAAGATTTGCCCTTGGAAGCTAACAAGCTAATTTCAAATTTCACAATTAAGTATCTTTTTGAAACCAAATGCTTCGATTAAAGCTTACTTCTCATACATCAACTAACACCCTTCTTATTTCCTTAATATTTATAATTACGAACGTGTACTTTTTACCCTCTATGTTATAGCCCCAGGGTAGACAGAGTTGATGCTCCCCGAGGTATCGTCTTTGTAGTGTATGTAAAGTAAATAGCGTGTAGTTAAAGGTATTTCAGTAACTTGTCAAGTAACTTTTTGGAATGTATAAAAAATGACAACGAGAACCAGAGATTCTGCGGGCAACGTTTACTTGAAAACCCAGATTGTGAAAAAAGCTATAATGACGACATGCTTCGGATCATTGATAAAGCCCGATCGTCATTCTATTTAGCAGTTTAGGAATCCATCTACATAAACATGAAAAGCCACTATTGTGAAAACCGAAGGAGCTCGTTTTCACCTTAGGAATCCACCAGTAACATTCTCAATAGGCAAGAGGCACTGATTGGGCAACCTCAACAGTCATGTGCTCGCGTTTCTGATTGGTCTATTTCGATCTACTACTGGGTATATGTTTTTTCCTAGCGTAGAGCTTTTGATCAATATTTTAACGTTTACATTCGAATGCAGCTCGAAAATACAAGGGATCCAAGGAAAAAGTTATAACATAAATGAATGCTGTTGAATATATGCAAAATGAAAGGGAAAATTAAAAAAGGAGACAGTAAATTTTCAGAGTTTTTTCGTTTGAGCTTCCAGCCCTAAAAAAGGATAACATCGATTCAGGTTGCATAGAGCTTCTGGAGCTTTATAAATGCTTGTTGATACAAACCTGGTTTGATTTCCTTTGCTCTGTTGACAAGAATGGTCTGCCAGTCTTTGGCAGCTTGTTCCTTGAATAATTTTGCTTCATTTTCGTCTTTAATCATTGTATGGTGCAGTCCTCCAGTTATATCACAAGGCTTCTTGCTGAGCCAGTGCATTGACGTTGCTGAGAATCCAAGATCAACACAAAGAGGTGGAAGGCATTGCTTGTAAAAACTTGTCCCACATGCTGTTATGTAGATATTCGAGAACTTTTCAAACAGGGCATCAGATCCGGGAATCAAACCTGAAAAAGTCAAACATACCCTATTATCACGCTTGAAGGTTGCTAATTCTTTGATCTTGAAACTGAGGAAGGGCTGTTCAGATATTGGAAACACATAATCTTTAAACAGTAAATGCTTTGAAAAATGGTTGTTTGGTTGGTCACATACAAATATATTTTTCAAAAATATTTAAGATGAAAAGAAAATATAAGGGTTTTAGTTGCTGGAAGAAGGCAAAAGAGAATGATTGTTTGGAGTTGAAGTAAGTGTAAGATTAAAAGGAAAAATGCACAAAAATAATCCAGAAGCAAGGTCAATGATTAACAAATGATGAACTGCCATCTTGTGATAGATGTCTATGTAGCTTCTTGTTTCTTCCTGCTGGTGGCAGTTTCAGGGAATGGAAAAATGGTCTGCTTGTCAGCTTAAGACATTGTGTAACAATGTGAGGGAATTAGTTTCTAACATTGGAAGTTGAGGGAATGAATCTTTCTATTATTCTTTTACTTTAAACAAAACTTAGAATTCAGGCAATGTTTGTAATGTTGTAGACACTAACATGGTCCCCTCTATATGACAGTGCAAATCAAGTGCATTAAGATTCTTTCAAAATGACTGGTCTGACAACAAACTTTCAGTTTTCTAAGAATTGACAACATTCTATCAGTTGCCAGAAGTTACCTGGTGAACCTTCCTTTAATAAAGAATCACTTAAAACTATAGTGAATCTACAAGAATGACCACTAGCAGGGTTAATCACACAGCTTGCCTTATCCTTATTTTCGCTATCTTTATTTCATTAGCACAGACAGCACAGGCTGAAAAAGTGGGCATCTCCATTTTCAAGGAATTCCCGGTATTCTAGAAGCACAATATGTATCATAATGTCTAATATGAAAACATTAACAAAAAAACCTTATCTTAAGAAACTAGGAATCAATAAAGTAACTACCAGTATCATTTAGTGTTAGGTTCACATTATTGGCTCATTATCATACTTCAGATGAAAATCTTAAGAAAATCCATAGGACATACCATTTACTCTCAAGAATAATGACTTAAAATCATTGGTTGGCTGGTCTTCATAGATGACATGAATTGGGAGATCTTCACCAAACTTTGACCTTAATGTTTGAATACAGGATGATATGAGTGGCATGGATGTTCCTCCATCAGCTGTACCATAATCAGCAATGTTAAATGTGCTTTTGGGGTCTGTTATAGACAATGATTCAATTGCTTGTTGAATTAGTGGTATTGCTTCTTGAATAACAAAATAACATCCTTTCGTGTTGTCAGAGTAATAACCAGATCCATCTGCTCCAAATGGCAGATGGCTATGAGGTGCCTTAAAAAATGAAAATGTTTTCATTAACGAAAATCAACAAGCCCTTATCAGAAAAGCTTTGTTGGGACTTGAAAGAGCAGGAGAAAATCTGGGTTAATGACATCAAGAAACATATTCTTAGGAATCTGTCAAATACCTTTCACTTTCAGAAATACTATTACCAGCATTATACCGTTTCAAACTGTACTTTACCACACTTGTCAGATTCCTTTGAAATACATTGAAGTGTACTTAAGTATTGAACATATCAAGAACTATCTCAGCAAAACAGCTATAGCTCCTCTAGCCCTTTGTGAAGTCATTGGAAAGGTCTTCTGTTAAGAAGTTCTTGCACCTGTGAAATTTGGCATTGTCTATCTTTGCATTGCTCATGGTTTTTAAACATTGTATCCATATCCCACAATATATTCATTTGACATAACGATTCTTTCTCTATAAATTTTACTGTTTGTATCTATGTTTCATTCAAAATTTCTCTCAATGGCACAGATTTTAAAAAAAAGGTTAACTTAGTTTAGTTATTTTTCATTATGTTTATGGTTCAAATATAGAACTGCCTGAAATTGTCTAGGGTGGGATCAGCATTATTAGCTTCTCAAAAACTTTCTTTTCTTAAGATCAGGAATTGATGGAAAACATAGTTAGCAGAAACTTTATGGGCAAAATTCACTTAGGCACTTAGGGGGTCGTTTAGCCAAAATCCATTAAAATTGTGCACTGATGACAAACATTGAAATAATTGCTTTCATGTGTTTTATGCCAGGAGTAAACAAGCAACTACAGGCACTGCAGAGAAGAAGGGGGCAGGGAGGAATTCAAAATATTAAAAAATGAACCACCAGTGAAGCTTGTTCAAATTAGATTTTGGTCCCCCACTTATTTAGCCCCCCCATATTTTTCAATGCTTTACCATGCCTGAGCTATTACCCAGGAATGCAAGAGTGCACTTGTGATAAGTGTGCATTATGTTATCAAATATCTTAGCAGTCAGGGGCGGCGCGCTGGGGGTATTCAAGGTATTCACGAATACTAATTTTTTTCCAAACAACTTTTAATGCTTTTTATATGTTCCAAAATCAAAATCCAAATAAAATTTTTTTTTGCCCATACAATGCCATTACAAAGCGGGCAAAGTTTCTTTAAAAAAAATCAATGACCTTAACAATCGATATTGTTTTGGCAGTGGGTATAGAGACTTCTTAATCCCTTTTGTTTTCCGATGAGGCCAGCGGCCAGCAGTCACAAGGTATTCAAAGGCCATCCTGAATACACCCGGATTGTTTTTGACTGACCCTGACGTCAGTCACAGGAGATGGCTGTGAGGCTAAACAAAGAATTTTGAAAGTGAAGGTATTCAGAACTTGTCCGAATACCTTGAGCGTACATGTCCCCTTCTAGCTTGTGTTTTCGGAACCGAATACTGCTTGAAAATTTGCAAGTTTCAAAGTATGCTCAACACATATAATCAGAATAAAATGCTGGCCTTATCTGGCTATTTTTTTCATTTTTAATGGCCACATCGTCGTTCGGCCATTGCCTCAGTCCACAAACTGTCGCAGCTTTGTGGCCACACTATTCAGAATCCAAACTGAATACCTTTGAATATGGTGCGGCTTAATAGAAAGGCTTTTGACCGTGTTTTGGTCTTGGATACAGGCCTCAGTTTTTACTGCCCGATAATCTTTCATACATGTTTATCAAGAGTGCAACGAAGCATTTGTTTTCAAGCGGAAGGTACATAATACAAACGAGATCTAGTTTTCTTGCAAGTTGATCCTGGATAACTGAGATATTTAGCAAATAAGCCCTTTTGAGTAAAACATTTTAAATATGATCTTTAGAATATGATCTTTGGAATGTGGACAAGGTGAAGTAATTTATCAAAACTACTTAGACATCATTTTAGAACCAATTTTGAAAATCCTTTCTGTAGGGCTATATAATGGGGTGTGGCATTTGGGGATTTTATTTTTTTGGGTGTGGCATTTTATCGAGTAGATTGTTAGTACCTTGAATACCAATCTAATATTGCTCCAAGCCGCCCCTGTTAGCAGTCTTAATTTTCTTAGTAGGTTTAATAATTGATGTAATGTCAACTTTATTGACCTTTTTCCAGGGTACTATATGTCCAGTATTTGTCAAGTTCAGCAGTAAGTTGAGCTGACTGCAAACACAAAGCCCTAGCTTGATGTAAAATGCATAAAATTCTCTAGAAACCATGAGAATCCAATGTGGTTGGGACTTGATAATGGAAAACAGTAAAAATGGCTTGAAAGGATAGTTGCTTACAAAAGTTATCTACTGTAAACCAAAATGAGATCCTGGCCAATTCTGACAATCTTGAAATTAGTCCAACTTTCGCAAGGCCATAAAGTCAAGAAAACAGGCAAATGTTTTCTCCAGACTTTCAAAATCAGACAAAACCATTCAAGGACAACAAAACAAACTCATAGTGTAGTTCAAGAAGAAATTGAAAAAAGTAATTAAGTGTAAACCAAAGGGCAGCTTTGTCCAAATCGAGATGTCAATAGTTTCCAAATGCCATTGTGGTATTAAAAATATCTTTTTTCTTTTTTGCAGACTATGAAAAACAGTTACACATACACATAAATGTTTTCCTATTTTCCATTTCTTTACAGCTTAAATTTAGATTATTTGTACTTTTAATTTGTGAACCGAACTGAAAACAAATTTTCAAACTTAGTTTGTGATTCATGTTAAAGATTATTACACATATTTAGATACCTACATAAATAAACTTCCAAATAAACTTTGAATAAAGTTTCTAGCTTGAGTGAGACATTACGTCATTCATGGCATCACATACCATAGGACATTCCCTTCACCATTGTACACACGTTCACACATCTATGTCATGCTGATTTCTTCCCAAGTCTAGATCTTTCCTTCTCCATTACATCATCATTACATCATTCTAACTAATCCTTAGTCAGCAATTTGATTTCTGTTTATATGTATGTTAATTTGTATGTAAGTCAGTCAGTAAAGTTCAGTCAGACCAGAGTTATAAGCAATACACTGTCTCTTTCACTGGCCCCGTGTTCTCTGCATGTTTTCAGAGAAGCTGAAAGTGATTTATCAATAAAATAATTCTTTTTACATTCTCACACTATGAAAATCGGTTTAATCAATGTCATTCTATGAAGTTTAGGTGAAAATGGCACAAGGAATTGGCTGCTTTTATTAAAAGGTATCAAATGTAAAACCGTGTGGTGGTTTTCGTGCAAATCGTCAGGCCATATACAACACAACAGCAGGTAACTTGCCCACTTAAATTATAAGGCATAACGGCCACTGATTGAATCAAAAACTTTTAAGTTCTAATCAATAAATGAGCGATACCTCTGGCCTTGAAGTATCCATTCTTGTCTATCTGAGTCTTGCTGTAGAAAGATCCGACAACCATGCAACCTGTAGGCAGGTGTTATGGGTTTTCAATTAATTGAGTTGAATTGAGTAATTCCCGCCAAACACAGGGGCTCTAAAGAACAAAGAAATTTTGCTGGGACTTTTCAAACTTGGAGAGACGGGGAAGGGACCAGGAACATTCGCCGTTTTTTGTGCCCCCTGACTTCGACGTCACTGATCAGTGATGGAAATTATAGGGAGCAGGGGGGGGGGGGCTAAGGCCCCCAGTCAGCGTTCTCGTTGGACGTCATAAACTGATTTTCATCGAGATGAAGGAAATGATGAAGAATAATTTCTTTTAGCTCCTATTTTTTCTGTCTTTACAGGAAAATCGCATAAAGCATTTGGAGAACTTTGAAGACTAGCAGATTCATTGAGAAAACACTCTAGTCGCATTTTCCTTCAAAAATATTTGAAAAATGCAAATTTAATAGGTTTTTTTCCCGACAAGATGAAATGTTTAAAGTTCATAGGACACCCCAAAAATAGGGACCGGTTTTATAATGACCAAGTTCACTGATATAAAGCTAATTATAAGTAATATTATGTTTTAACTAACATTAAAACTAACACAAGCAATCAGTGTATGACAGACCAATTACTCCCAAATTTTTGGGTTTTGACCGACTGTTTCTCGGAAACGCCCTCTCAAACGCTTGATCAACATTCAAATTCGTAATCTACGCTCAAAACTACATCAGAAAATTTTGGTGTGATAAATTCTCCCCTCGGGTGACAATAGCCCCCCTACAGCCTCTGGGCTATAGCCATTCAGTTAAAAAATCCTCGAAAGGTATATATAGGTAGCTCAAGTTAGTTTTGTTTTCAAAAAAATGTTTGTCAAGGCAGTCTGACAAAAGGGTGTGCTAAGTCGCCTTCTTGGGATATTAAAAAGGCATTCAACCCTTGACAAAGCATAACCGCACGCCAGTGCGATTCTAAACATCATTATTAAAACTTGAGCAGAAACTTCATAATTTTCTAGCAAAAACTTGCATATGTGTCCAATGTCGTTGGTCTGCTTGCTCTTGCAGTGACTAACTCTACATGCCCCCTGTCTCTATTCTGTTACGCCACAGCTGCACACGTCATACTTGAATATTTCGAGACAAGGAAAATTTTGAAAGTAAACAGGTTTAAGGTTTTTTGCTTTTCAGAAATAAAGTTTCCCCTCTTGCCAAAGCAATAATCTCACAAAATTATAATTACGCCAACTTTTCAAAATATCATTTGAAAAATCTGTAGCTAATTGCAGCAAATTGCTGTTAAAATTTTCAATTGGGGGGCACAGCCCTCCCCGTGCCCTTTGCAGCTACGTGCCTGCTTTTTTCGGATGAGTGACAAACGTTGAACTTGCCAAAAGCCCATCTAAGATGTTGTTATCTTGTCGGAAAAAATGTGTTTGAGCCCCCTCCCTAAAATGAAAGCCCGAATATCCGCCAATGTTACTAAAGAAGCAATCAGAGTCCAGGAACGTTCTCATCCCTATCATTACAGTTTCTTCAAGCTGTGAAAACCTTCCTTACAAAAACTAAAACAATACTAGATTTGAAACTTTTGTTTCAAATCTAGTATTGTTTCTAGTATTTTTTTTCCAACTTTTGTTCAGTGGTTGACTGTGAGATCATCTTTTTTGGCTTTACCTATGATAAGACTATATAGATGACAGTATTTCGTGATAGAAATTGCTCCAATAAGTAGAGATGAGATTTCGTAAACAACGACACGTGTAGCAATGAAAGTCGAATATTTGACCCGTCTGCAATATTGTATGTATTTGCCTAGTAACACCTCAACAAACTAAAAGATCTTTCTATGCTGACGTCTAGCTCAATTATGCAAAGTAAACAGAATTTATGAAAATAAATATAAAAGTAAAAAGTACAAACCATGCTACAATTCGTATTTACATTTGAGATCGTTTTGTTGTTGTTGTATTTTGCTTTGCTGGCTTTGATCGCTCATTCATTTAGGTGAGAAATAGAATTCGAAGCAAGCTTCCCTATATGAAAAAGGCAAAGGCACTGGAGCGTAACATTTATCTGCAAGTTTCTGGACTCATGTAGAGAAAAAGAGCTACCAATTTCTTATTCTTATTCAAATTGAAATTACACACCAACAGCAAAGTTCTGAAAGCAATGGGAGACCTAAGTGTAGACATCCACATCCTTGCATTTGATGAAATGAATTGATTTCTTGACATTGTTGCAAGCATTACTATTCAAGCTTGGAAAATGTCCAAAACAGTAACCCTTTCCTCTGCCAAACTATATTTTTTCTAGGTTGGTATTTTTTGCATTTAAGGACATTCTCAATAAAGCCGTTGTGTCTACTCAACAAAATTGACAAAATATCAATGGTGTTTTGTAAAATACAACGTAAACGTTAGTAATAGTTCAAAGCCCACAGGAAAAGTGGTGCATTGACATAGGAGCAAAAAATTTCACGTGGTATTTAGATGCCATTGAAGCATTTGAAAATAGGAACCCTATTTGTATTTTGAAGTCTCTGGGACTTCACAGTTCTAGAAGCTGCAAAGAGTCACTTTACTGTCATTGAGAAATATTAAGGGAAGCAGAAGCAGGAAGCGCACAGGGGTGGTTGCCCCCTTTTCCTCGCAATACCTAGCATCCTTCCCTACTCAAAAAGGACCAAGATTAAGGACAGATTCATTTCATGATTATAATAATCATTATTATAAATAGAGTACTAGGGACGACGATAGCTGTAAAATTAACTTGGCTCTATATTTCTAATAATAAATAATTTGTTTGCTGTTGTCGTACTAGATCTAAGTCTAATAGCTATAAAGAAGCTAATTAAGGCCAACTATCTATGAAGAATTAGTATAAAATGAAACTGTCCTTAATCTTGGCCCTTTGCCCTCATGGATGCTGGGCGAATGCAGTCAATCTTAGAGTAAAGATGAGTAAAGAGCCTTTGGTCATCTTAGAAAGCTGAAATAGCAGGTAAATTTGCTGACACATTGACAATGTTTATTTTTAGCTTATCGATTTAGAGACGTTATGTGCTCTTTTCATCTATGGATTGTTTGACTAAGACTCCGTTGCCACTGCTTGAAGCTCTTATGAATTTTCATTTGAATTTGTCAATACAGTACAACATTGTGCCAATCCCGAGAAGTGAACGCCCCATTCTATTTAGCTGTAGGTGTTCAATACAAATGAAAAATTAAATTTTTTTAAAAAATCGATCTCTTGATGCTCGTAATTGGCTTGCCAGTCATCAAGCAAAACTATAGTACAACATAAATACAACAAAAATTGGAGCAAGAGCACCAGTTAATTTGAAAATTGAAACAATTAAATAAAATAGCATACAGGGCCCACGCCACTGACCCCAAACTAGGGGGGCAGCAATGTAAAGAAAACTTCTTCTTCCCCCTTTAGCCTCAATTGTGGCAATCATTTTGCTGACGTTGTTATTCTTTTGGACTTTGGTTCAATGTATGCGTTGTAATCTAAAGTTTTATCTGTATAAATACATTTTAGCTGATTTCAGACTTTTATTTAGCGAAAAATTGGGGAGGCCATGGCCCCTGGCCCCCTGTGGCGCAGTCCTGGCATATAGTCAGTTTATTACAATTTCCTAACACTGAAATTAGGTGTCATGAACATTTGAAATTTTGGTTTATTATTAGCTCAAATTCTTTTGTTATTATTCGACTTAATACCAGACTGCTAAAGAAGGAGAGAAGCAGAACTTTAGAACAGATCTGGGCAATTAAACGATTTTCAACTAATAGTCTCTATACAGTGCATTGAACTCAATGTCAAAAGTTTGGTTAATCTCGTTCTTCATAATTTCATCCCAGGGGATCTTTTAAGAAATTTTCACTGGTGGGGAACTGACACAAAAGGGCATTTTCTTAACATGGCGCAACTGACGGAAGAAACAAAAGCAACAGGGCAAGTACCGTATTTCCTTGAATTAGCCCCCTGGGAGCTTATTTGTTTTTGATATTTTTGGATGGGGGCTTATTCGGGGGGAGGCTTATACAAGGGGGGCTTATAAAATTATTGTAGACATTAAGACGAAATTATAGAAAGACCTCGTTTATTTTAGTAGAAATTTCTTTATGAGCATTCAATTGATTACTACCAAAAGTATGAATTTGTTGTGGTAATTAAATAAACGCCTTAGGCAACCTCAGATGGCAAAAATCATCAAATGGAGGGGTTCAATTTGAGAATTTACGGTAGCAGTGGGGGCTTTTTCGAGGGGGTGGGAGCTTATTGGCAATTTGTAGCTCTAGGGTGAGGGCTTATTCGAGGGGGGCTTTTTCGAGGGGGTGGGGGCAAATCGAGGTTTTACGGTATACCAAGGTCTTGCACATCAGTCCTTACTCAGTAGCGAAAAGTTACATATAAACCAAACAAATAAAGAGGCTTCAGAGCTTTGCATGTTTGCAGGACATGTTTGCTGTCAAAGCATTCGTCGTAGAACTTTCCCGTGAATTTCATTACCTCGTTTTGGTGTAGTGCAAGGCAATCAAAAATCAAACAGAGCCATGAGACGAAAGAAGTAACACATAATTTGACAAAATGACAACGACATAACAAGCAGTCATTAGAGACATGTCAAACTGGCTTTTAAAACATTATTCACCAAAAGGGCACTTGCAAGTGAGGAAACATGTGCCAACTAGAGGGGAAATTTAAGAGCCTGGTGGGGAAATTCCTCACTAGTTTGTATGTTAAAAGATCCCTTGTTGCAAACGTACAAAATTGGAAAGATGATTGTCACAAGTGCTCAAACAGTACATTTCTTATTTTTCTCGTCATATTTTTATTATTATTTTACATTATATTCTTTCAAGTATCCATCTTTTCAAGAAGACTCAAGTTTACTAAAAGCGATCTTTAATTTTTAGACTTTATTGATATTGCTTTTTAAAAAAGGTGAGTCCAGGAAATTTGAAACCAGACATCAGACATCGATTTTGCATAACCATTAACCAGCCTAGAATACACCGAAAGAGTAATAGCTGTATGAATGAGTAGAGAATTCAGAACACAACGGCTTAGATACAGAATTCAAATGCACGCTTTTTAG